GGTCCAACTCTGGCCAGCCTAGCCTCTCGAAGAACGCAACTGTAGCAGTGGCAGTGAGTGGCACCCTGTGCATTGACAGAGATACCCATCCCACATGACAGCAGCGACGTGGCCAATCGCTCGCTCGCACCAGTCATCGACTTCCAAGTTGTCCTTGCAAGGCTAACTTGAGCAAGCACTGCGCAGCAGCCTGGCATTCCTCCTCTCCTCTCTCTTCTCTTGTTTCTGTCCTATTCACACCACCAGCATCAAGAATGACCTACACCGGCAGTCGATATTGTTTTCAACCCTCTTGCTTGTTTCTTTTTTTCTGTCCCTGAACTTTACGTTCACATTCATTTCACATTTGAAGATCTGATCATCACATCACACCAAATGCGCCGGTAAAAGAAAATTCCCCACACCCTCTTTAATAGGATACTCGAACCCGCAATTCCCACAAACCAGTTTCCCCTCGACCACGCCGGTCTCTAACAGCAGATTGTGCAGTTTCTTCAACACTTCCTCATTGACCACCGGGCTCTCAGCCTCTTTTTCCGTTTCAGTGCCGTTCATTTCCTCATCATCATCATCAGCATTCCCGTGTTCGTTTTGTGGCTGTCTTTCTTCGACCACATCCACCGGATTCTTCTCAGGTACTAAAGCCTGCAGTCCCAATTCCGTAGCCGTGCTGACCAACGCGTCCCAGTTGACCCGGGGCAGAATGTTGCGCATGAATAAGGGGTTGAAGTCGATTTCGGTCCGTTCCAAAGTCGCGTCTTTGAAATGTAAAGGGAATGAGAGGGGTGATGTCTTGCATGTTTTGACGGCGCAGGTGAGGAAGTTGGTTGTTAGGAGTTTCATTTTTGGTTAAGGTACGGTGAGTTGCCTGCCCTTCTGGGTTGTTGACGTGTTCTTTGTTGTTGCGATATCAAATGAGCGGTTTGGTTAAGCAATCCAGGCGAATTGCATGAAGTACACCGGTATTTTCGTCACAGTAACGCAGTACATTCCCGGGTAAGCGTCTCGCGCACTGCATCGCAAAAAAGTTGAAATGCGGTTAAAGTTCGGGGCTCAAGTTGGACTACGAGGCAGGACTAAGGTACAGTCCACAAGGGAAGGTTTTCCGGAGTATGTTGGTCGATGAGTAAGTAATGAGTAAGCGGTTGGTTGTGTGCCACACCTAGCACGTACAGTCTCAGAGTAGTATAGTTGCATGTTCATACTACACTGCCAGACTACAGTGTAGACGCGCCATTAGGGGTTGTCTGAGAGGCCGTCGCCTCGCTTAATACACTGCACATCTTGCCGCCTATTGAATCATTGTAGCAGACCGGGGACCAAACGTTTTATTCGGCTGGATCTACATCCTGGTAATCTTTGTACAAAACGAGAGCCGAGGAACAGGACCCCCATCCCGCCGTATCTTCGCGCTTGATGACAATGTCCTGCCATCAATTGAAATAGGACACAAATTAGATGCTAGGGTCCCTGTTGCGCAGAGTCTTCAGGATCAGCACTTACTGATTGCTCACTCTTACATCTCACTCGGTCATTGCGGCAGAAACAATATTGGCATCAACAGAGAGACATTGATCTTCTACATCGTGAAGCACTCTATGAAGACTACCGCCAACAACGACAGACCACGTATATGTATATGGACATCATCCTTCCCTGGGTTCGCTCCGTATTCACCCCGTTTTGTCTATTCCAATGCCTTCTGTTGCTTCGCCTCTTCTATCCAAAGCAGAAACAGTGTATCCCAACATGCATGAATCAATAAAACATGGCTTTGTTGACACTCCCTTTTAAATTGGTTCCTCTCTTGGCTCGATCAACACTTCATTCACCGACACATGCGGTGGCTGCTTCAAGGCATACACAATGGAGTTGGCAATATCTTCTGGATCAAGGATTTGGGCACCCGACGGCTCGCCATATTTCTTGATGGCTTCGATATCTGTCGACATTCCCAACAGATCAGTGGCCACGTTGCCCGGCTGCACGCTGGTAACGCGTAGCCCAGTACTGGCAGTCTCGAGGCGCAAGCTCTGCAAGGTAGCCTCGACAAAGAACTTGCTGGCAGAATAGACGCCCAATCCGGGAAAGACCTTACGCCCGGCATCAGAGGAGATGGCCACAATGTGCCCGCTGCCTCGCGACACCATGGACGGCACGGTGGCGGCCAGACAATTGAGCAAACCTTTGCAGTTCACGTCGACGGTGCGGTCCCACTCGTCAACCTGTACATTGGCCATCATGGTGAAGTACATGACACCAGCGCACGAGACCAGTATGTCCACGGGTCCCAGTTCGTTGGTCGCAGCGCGCATAAGCGCTTTCACCTGCTCTCTATCCGTCACATCGGTCTGGCGTACAATGACTTTACCTTCTCGTACCACCAGTCTGCGCTTGACGGCTTCGAGCGCGTCGAGTCGTCGGGCAGCAAGGGCCACATGACAACCTTCGCGTGCCAAAGCAGTCGCCACCGCGGCACCGATGCCCGAAGATGCTCCTGTCACCACAGCCACACGACCGCTGAGGGGCCCTCTCCGGATCGGTTGCGCGGAGCCGCCGGGAGAGTCATGGTGAACAGGAGGATGTGGAAGCCATCCTCGAGCAAACCAATGACGTGTGTATGTTTCCAGCAGCACAGTGTCAACCTTGGGCCGTTCTACCACAGCTCGGAAAGGACGTGTTTTGGCGTTGTTCAGAACAACAATGCCCCGAAGGAAGTCGACAGTAGGCATGCCGCTGCGGAGAATGTCGACCGTGAATCCACCATCACCACCTTTGGCGGAACCTCTCTTCTCATTCCAGAGAGCCACCCATTTGTCCCAGTCCAGTGGCTTGGTTGAATATCCCAGCGTTTCGAGATCTTGGAAAACCTTGCGGCAGTCCACAGGGTCGGGGTCGCCCAGATGGAAGACAAATTGTTCCGCATGTGTCTGGTTGGCAAGATGCACGATCGCCTTGCTGACAAAGTCAACTGGAGTCATCTCAGCACGCCAACCTTCCACGTCGGGGTGATAGCCTAGATGAATGGATTCCACTATCAATGCCGACAGAAGATCCCAGGCATTTGCAGCACCTGTAGTGCTGTGACCGCTGATGGTGCCTGCTCGGTGTATCTTGACGGGGAGCCCACGACGGCCGGCCTCGAGCACGAGCTGTTCAGCCACCCATTTAGTCTGACCATAACCGTCGAGCAGCTTTGTGGGCACTTCTTCCACATCAAGCATGGTATCTTCGGGCCAGCCCTCCTGCGAAGGTGGCAGCACACCGTTTGTGGACACATATTGAACTGTCGCTCCGCCGCGGCAGGCGAGCCGCAGAATCTCCCGTGTACCCCCTACATTTGCACCTCGTAGGGCAGCGTATGGGTAAACCAGGTTAACCGTGGCCGCAGCATGTACAATGACTTGAACCCGGGATGCTAGTTCGTCGAAAGCTTCTGGCGAAAGACCTAGTCGTTTCCGGGACAGATTTCCGGGCAGGATCTCGACACGTTCCATGATGGAGTCCCGCCACAGGCCTAGATCCAGGAGGTTCCTTCGGATCCGTGCTATACCGCCAGGCCGGTCTTCTTCCGAAGGATCGCTGAATCGTACAAGACAAATGATCTGAGCCGATGTGCTTTCCAGCAGGTCATTGAGCAAAAAGGCGCCCAGGAAGCCGGTGACACCCGTCAGCAGTACTGTGTCAGCATCCTTGACAGCACGAATGGCGGTACTAGATGGTCGGATGTCGTCGTCCAGAATCGAATCCTTTCGCAACACCGCTGGCAGATCGGCCTGGACCTCCGCGGTATGGCCGTCTCGTACCGCTCGTACAGTCTCTAGATGACCGTTGAGCGTGGGAGGGTCCACAAGACGGGCAAGGGGAATACGGAAGCCGAAGTTTCTGGAAAGCCTTGAAGCAAGATCTGCAAGTGACAATGAGTGCCCACCAAGATCGAAAAAGTTGTGTTCTGGAGTGATGACATCCCGAGATGTCTTCAGGGTCGCAGCCCAGATTTCGGCGATGGCGTCGATGGTGATGGGGTCTTGCTCAATTTTGTGTCCATTGGTGACCACTTTCTTGGGAGTGGGAGGCGGTGGCAGACGCTTGAGATCGACCTTGCCGGAAACCTGGTGCGTGGGCAGCTCATCCAGCTCTACCCACAATGCTGGGATCATGTAATGGGCCAAATGAGGTGAGAGCGTCCGTCGTGACGCAGGACTATAACCGGACTCATCTATTTCAACAACCGGTCGGTCAGGCGAGGAATGGTCCTTGTCTCGAACAATGTACGCCACCAACTGCCTCTCAAGGCCCTCGCCATGGGCTACCACCGCACAGTGACGGACGGCCAGGTGTTTGATAATGGCATTTTCCACCTTGCCTGGAACAACGGAATAACCGCGAAGCTTGATCATTCCCGCGACACGCCCTGTGATCTTAAGAAGTCCGGAAGGCAGCAACCGTGCGAGGTCTCCCGTCTTATACATGCGTGCCCCGGGTGTGGAATCAAAAGGATCCGGAGTGAATGCCTTGGCGGTGGTCTCAGGAAGGTTAAGATATCCTCGAGCCAGGAGAGCACCGCCCACGAAAAGTTCTCCGCTAACCCCAGCTTCCACCCTCTGTCCACCCTCATCAAGGATGTAGGTGTGCTTGGGGTCCATTGGCGGACCCACAGGGCAGTACACAGACTCATCGTTCAGCATTTCCGCAATATCACCGCATGCAATCTCGTGGGTCTCGCAGGCACTGTAGCAATTGAACAAACGGACATTAGGCATCGCCTTGATGGCTCGACGGGCGAGGTCAGCCGTCACCACTTCGCCATTCAGCCATAATGTGCGCAAATCCGACAGCCGAGAACCAAGATTTGAGTGGCGCGCCAGAACGGTGGCAAGAAGCGTTGGTGTCATGAGGGTCTCGGTGATATGTTTCGATGAAAGCAAGTCCACGAGGGCGACTGGATCGTAACTAGCCTCATCAGGGACGGCAAAGACCGTGGCTCCTCTCAGCAGCGGACGCAGCATTTCCCAGATGAAAAAGACATTGCAAGCCACACGATCTCCTGGATTGACATTCCGAACACCGAACCGGAGGTTATATGACAGGACGGGAGCCCTGTGAGGATTGGCGATTCCCTTGGGCTTACCGGTGGTTCCTGACGAGTATGACACAAAGGCTAGCCGTTCCAGATCATCCTCTGCAGGTAACGGCGGCAGCTTTGAATCATCGACCACACCGTCTGTTTGGTTCGAGTTCTCGTCATCCAGCGTAATCAGCGGTATGCCCTCCTTGATTTTGCCGACCTCAGCCCTATACGTAACCACAACGGCAGGGCTGGCATCGTCAATCACATCGGCTAGCAGCCCTGGCGGATAGGCCATCTCAAGCACCAAAAAGGCGCCTCCTGCCCGCAAGGCCGCCAGACAGGCAATCACATAGTCGGCACTGCGTGGCAACAGGACACCCACCAGACTATCACGTCCCACACCATGTCGCCGCAATTGTTGAGAGAGAGTCTCGACCTTCTTATCGAGCTCGGCGTAAGTATAGTGCGACTTGTCATCCTCTAGAGCAGCAGCATCGGGACTTTTCTTGACCTGGTCTCGGAAAAGGGCCGACAAGTCTTTGGTTGTGTCGATGATGCCCATGATTTCTGTTGCGTTTAAAAAAGCCTGACCCTGAGATGGTTCGCTCGGTTGCCCGATGCTTTAGGATTTTGTGAAGGCTGTAAACAAGGCAAACTTTCTTCTTGGTATTGAAGAGATGGAAGTATATGGCGGAATCTAGCACTCCGCTCTGACCGGAGCAGGGTTCATCGGGTGTAACTCGTCTATAGGGTGGATCTATGGTCTTCGTTAAAATCGTAAAGAAGCTCTGATTGCTGTATTAATTCAAGTTATAGCTGGTCAAGTCAACTTCGAGTTTCTTTTGTTGAGCGGAGATAAATTCTTCCACGTTCTCAGGCCAATCAGGCGACAGAAATGGTGCAAGACGTCATCGGCTACGAGTCCTCGAAATGGAAGGCACGAAAAAGGGAAAGCACGACTCGGACGCACAAAAACATCACGAGCCTCGTCATTTTTTGATTTTCATCAGCCGTGTCTGGGCATTGCATGGATAGGAGGTACCACGCAAGACACAAATCTCAGCACCGCCCCAATCCTGGCGCGAGCCTGCTGTTTGTACCACTGGCCCGGTTTTGAAGATACAATGGTACGCGAATCTCAACATTTTCCACTTTCTCGTTCGCCCCGCGGAATCAAGGCAGGGCCCGCGTCATCCCCAGTTTGCTTTTTTGTGCTTCTCCGGACTCCATGCTCTCCACGCGCCACATGAGTGCCACAGACAAGATATGACGTGTTTGCGGGTTATGGAAATTTCCACTCTGGTGCCCAAAGAACGGGAACTATCAACGCACAGCGCCCTCTGAAATGAGGGAGAGTATTAGCCGGTGGTCTTTCCACAGAGAAAGGACAGACAGTTCGAAAAGCGGCTACTCACCGAACGTTTATTAACTAGTAGTAAGCTTACCTGGTAGTATGCGCATCATGTACCAGATTTTGGGTTGATGACAGTGAAGCTGGACCTTCTACGATACAACATATCTCAGTGTGGGAAGGGAGTCGACGCCGGCTTCCGCCATCGATCGAGTGATAGAAAAAGATAGTATTGGCATAAAATGGCCCTTCATTTTACCGAGGCAAAGTTTTCCACTCTCTCAATTTCATCGACGCCGTTACTATGCACCCAGTCCCCTGGTGATTGATGCATTTGCACCACCATCTAAATCAGATGGTACTCGTGCAGCAGCTCTCCGACTTCATTATGCTCGAGTTTGCGCAGGATCCAACGTCGCAGAAACTCTGGCATACTGGCATCCAGCTCTTTACCGTCACGAAGCCGACTCATGGCATTCAAAAGCTTGCGAACGTCGTACGTTGAGCCGAACACTTCAGGCACGCCCCTCTCCACATTCAGCAGCTGATAGACTGCCTCCATGGGCGTGCGGACGGAATATTCGGTCGTGAAAATGGTGTCGCGACACGACTCGGCGAACTGCCCAATGAAAGCAAAATTGACTGATCCTTCCGGCACCACGGCTGGACGGTCGCCAGCGTGTCGCGGCATGAAGAAGCTTGTCACATAGGGCATCATGACAGGCACGCATTTGGCTCCTGTCGCAGCCAGCTCAGCGATCTGGTCAGTGGGCACGCCCAAGTGGTACAGCCACTCCTGCGTGATTTCCTCTCCGGTGCAGTCTTGCATGGGCTTCTTGACATAATCCCCCGGCACCTCGACAAGCAGAGAATACACCCAGACCACGATTTGATCGCGTGGCTGCTTCTTAAAATGCGGCTGGCGGTTGACAGTCCAACTGAGCAGCCAGCTGGAGTCCTTAACAGTAACAATGCCACCGGTCACCACCTTACCGCTGAACGGATCTCTCTTGCAAATCTTCTGTATATATCCGGGAATTCGCTCGTCCAAGGTTGTCACCGTGGCCGACTGCCACTTGGATTCTGGGATATGTGCTCCAAAAACATCGGGTCTACCGAACGATCCCTCAGCATCTTTTGCCGCAATCCTTCTCCAGAGATCCCAAGCCGGTGCTGGGCCTTGGTTCAGCTTGGCTGGAGTCTGATGATCACCCAAACCAGAGTTCTCCGTCAAAGACCCAATAGTCATGAAAAGCAAGTCATTCTGACCCAAATCAACACCGCCTTCCTGACCGTCCTTTCGCCAGTGGATGCGCGTTGCTTGCTTTCTTTTGATATTGCTGTTCTGCTCCTGCGACACGGCAAAATCCACATCGACAACCTCAGTCTTGTACTGAAACTTGACGCCATGGTCGAGCAGCCACTTGTACAACGGCAGCACCAGCGACTCGTATTGGTTGTACTTCGTAAATTTAAGGGCCGAAAAGTCCGGGAGGCCACCGATATGGTGGATAAAACGGTGCAAGTACAACTTCATCTCCAGGGCGGAATGCCACTCTTGAAACGCAAACATGGTGCGCCAGTACATCCAGAAATTGCTGTTCAAAAAGTCCTTGCCAACGACCTCGTTGATGCGCTTGCCCTCCATCTCCTGCCGCGTGGCCAAAAAGAGGCGAATGATGTCCTTCTGCGCCGTGGACGTCAGGCCGAACTTGTTGTCGGTATGTGCATCCTGGCCCTGGTTGACCGTGGCCCGCTGCAAGGAGAAGTTTGGATCGTCCTTGTTCAGCCAGTAGAACTCGTCGAGCACCGATGCGTCGGGAATTTCGAGTGACGGGATCGAGCGAAAAAGATCCCACAGGCATTCAAAGTGGTCTTCCATCTCGCGACCGCCGCGGATCACGAAGCCCTTTTCGGGCACTTCGAGCCCGTCCAACGCGCCGCCCGGTAAGTCCAGTTCTTCGAGGATCGTGATGTTTTGGCCCGGCATCTGCCCGTCCCGCACTAGAAATGCTGCTCCGGCCAAAGCGGCCAGCCCTGATCCCACGAACCAGGCCGTTTTGTCGTCCACACCGGCAGGCTTGCGCGGCCGCGCGAACGCTTCGTAGTTTCCACTGCTGTAGTACATGATGCGAGTGAGATAGTAGATAGAAGAAGAGCGGTACTAAAAGTTAAGTATGGTTGCCTGCGAAGCGAGCAACAGCACTAATAAAAGTAATAGTAGGTCGGAGGAGGTCGTGAGGAAATACTATTCCGGTCTCGTGGACTCGGACAAAACTGTAAAATGCACGAGCCGTATCGCGTATCGTATGCCGAGAGACGGAAAGGACGCAATTGTAGATCGATACGAATAGTGCCATCTAGGATTCATGCACCGGGGCTTACTTTCATCACTTCACATGCAGTGTGGTATACGTTAGATGCCTAGGTACCTGACGCCGCGTGATCGTAAACCGATCCCGGCTGCATGGATAAGGTAGGTGAACGGGGCTTTCGGAAGGGTCTCGAGGGTGAGCATAAAGGTCTGGGTCCGCATTATTGGAGCGTTGTCCGTGCTGTCGGTGATGACCATCGTCAAACCGCGGTACATACAGGTACGGGGCGTGTGCTCGTTGAAGTCGCGGCTGTAAAGTGGTCTGATATTGACGAATGCTAGATGGAGCCTTGCGGGACCATGGTTTCGGTCGAATGCTTTGCTGAACATGTGCCTTTTTGCAAAGTATCCGAGCGCCGACTTTCGTAAGGCTTGGGGTTGCATGTGATATCTTACACGTGCGTAGGTACTTGGTTCGTGGTACTTCAGGTACTTCGGTCTGGGTACATACAGCAGTCGTGGAAAAGGTAACTAAGGTACCTAAGGTACCTAGGTACTTTGGAGGAGAACCTTGACGACAAAGGAATGAAGTCATGTATGCTTCGAAACGAGACCCAGCAGGTAGGTACTCGGTACCTAGGTACCAGGTAGGTAGCTACGAAACCAAGGTATGTAGCTATGCACTCCGTCAAGTAACTGCCCGGGCAAAGAAATCAACATCGATTCATCAACATCGATTCTTCCTGGATGTAAATAATATACTGAAGGGCAGACGCATCCAGTGTATTATTGTACGAGAATGTGCATACCTAACTACATACTACAGCACCTTTCTGGTCATTATTTCCTACCATCAGGGCGCGGACCACTCCAACTTCTCCCATCATCAGATGATAGAGAGTCTCGCAGAAGCGACCTTACATACCAGGTACGTACCTTTCGAGTTTGATGTCGCCAATAATAAGGTAGAAAAGAAAAAGAAAAGTAATGTCCGGCACGCAGGTGACTTTCCATCCACGGTGGACTTTCCGGAAACCAAAAAGCCCACTGATTTGAGTCGAATGGAAAGCCTTAAAGTGCCCTCTTGCAATCGGTCTAGTTCGCCAATATGACCTACCATCCTATGGCACACAGGACGACCCCGTAAGGCATCCTGTGCAAGGGTTGGCGGTTGATTATGCGTTCATGTCATGTTTTTCATGAAGTGTGAAGAAAGGAAAAAAGGAGTCAAGAACTGAAGTCGGCGAGTTGGCTTTTTGATACTCCGAGTCTGATTAATAAGGCGGCGCTAGTCGACTATGGGGATAGTGTCTCTTGGCAGAGTATCACTCTGGCTGCAAAACCTGAACTTCAATTCTTCACTCTTTCCAAGCCATATATTCCAACATCGAGTTCTTCATGGTTTGACGAACTGAATTGAACTGAACCGAGCTGAACTGAAAGCATTCGCAGCTTGTCTTATACTTACCTTGGCCTTTATGAGCGTGCCGTGATGAGGCGAGGGCAAGCAGGTCGAGCTGAAGTGCTGCGGTGAACCGCAAGGTGTTTTTCAAGACAGCTGCGGGTGCGACAAAGTTGCGGCTCATTTTTACGCTGGATCCCAATCGGCCTACCACGACCATGTCGGAAGAGTAAGGTGTTTTCTTCGGGCGTCAACTATCATGAGGAAGGAACGAGAGAAGCAACTGGCAGATCCCGCATGCGGCCAGGTAGACAGACCTCTTCTTTCGCACAGATTCCCTTTTTGTTTTTCTTTGACGAACCACATTTGGAAGCATCTTGACCGTTTCAATACACTCCCATGATCAAGACGTGGATCCAGGGGGGACCTTTAAATCCCCCGAATCGCAAAGTGGAAGAGCAATCCTTACGGGCTTTTAGCAGGGCCCTTGTCTACTCCACCCTGCTTCTATTGTTGTTTTTCTCGTGGAGAAGCAGGACTATTTTATATGACAGACATTTTCATCTATCTCATAGACACAAAGAAAGTGACATGACTGTTCGGATTCATTGTCGAGCTAGACTCTATCCTGGCATAATTGTTGTTTTTTGTCATGCGCAGGCTGGGCTAAGTTGACTTGATTTGATTTGACTCGCTCGTTGCTTACCTGTTGAGGTGGTTGACTTGTTTGTGTTGCTTCATTTTGTTCTCATTACAATAAGGGTATCGACCGATTCTTCGAGCAGAGTCCGCAGTTCTGCTTGTGGTGCGTCGACAACAAGGTAAGGTACGTGTAGGTAGTGTATCTATCAAGGTACTCTGCTTGTACTTTGCGAATACACATCACGGAACAGGAGATAGTACTAGCTAGTAGCTGGTCGGAGACAAAAGTACCTATGAAATGCAGCGGATCCCTTGTCACTGGTGCTGTTGGTAGAAGAAGTCAAGTTGGCTACAAACCAGGTATCTAAAGTAGCTATCTATATGTTGACTACTGGCTTTTCGATAGATCTATCTCTGTAAAGGAAATCCGTTTGGACAGTTTATTTCCCTATCATTGAACCCTACCTACAGTTTTATTCGCTCTTCGCTCTTCGAGCGACGAGAGGACTGGTCATGATTTGATGGCTTGGGCATGCGCACTCTGGACATGCTACTCTGAGTGGATTGAAGGGGTTGTACAACTACACCAACCTGAGTCATGGAGGCTGTGGCAGAGGTGCAGTATCTGCAGTGAACAGAAAGTGGAAAGGAAGGTTTCGGACGGAGGAAGGTCGGCTGTAAGAGACGCTCGCTGCATTTGACCTGCTTCATGTACAGCGAGGAGCTTCATGTAGTAAAGCTACCGTGACTGTAGTTTACTGCATGGTTAGTCCCTACGAGGTTGGAACTGGAACTGGTTCGGGTCGAATTTCTCTGGATGGCTGGCTGCATGGATCTACCTGATCTCAATGAGGTTCGCATGGTGTACTAACCGACGACCTATGTCCGCTGTGTCTCGCATTTCACCAACAACAACAACCAGCTCAAGCAATCACCTAGGCATGCCAGTCTCTTCTGCAATGCCTTTTCTTCAACGGTAGAATTTCCATGCTTGCATACCAGTTCCATCCAGACTCCACAATGTCATGGTCCAACTCCGACCTGACCAAAGACAAGACACAATCATGACCACGAAGACGAGAGTGTCTGTCAACATAGACCGATCATGACGATCGATCTATGCACCAGCACAACCACTGACGCCAGGAGCAGCCTTGAATTCCTCATCTTCGACTTCTTCGACCGTCGCAGCGTAGGCCGATTTGCTAGATTGAAGATCAGTATCATGTCGGTGTAGTGAGTACAAAAGGGCAAAGGAACATACGCAGGCTTAGATCCAGCAGGGGGCAGAGGAAGAAGAGGGGGTCCCATGACGGTCAGAGAACCATTTCCGCCAGCATTTCCAGTTGCGACCTTGTCTCCAGTAGCGTTACCAGCTGCAGCTTTCTTGACAGGGGTCTTGCGAGCGCGCTTCTTGACTGGCTTCTCAGCAGCGTCGTCACCAGCGTCATCATTGTTTGCCGCTGCTTCGGCTTCTCTCTCTGCCTTGGATTTGCGGGCGCGCTTCTTGGCAGGAATAGTAGGAGCTCCTGTAAAGTGATGGACTTAGTAAGTCAAGAACATGATGATACATCAAAACAGTGAGGCAGAAGTGTTGGCCTTACCTGGAGTGTCCATGCCAGCGTTGGCTTCAGCATCAGCTTTGAGAGTTGGTGTGACAGGACCGTCATCGCCAACTGCGCCATCATGACCTTCGGGGGTAGGAGCAGCGGCTTCTTCACCTCCAGCCTTCTTCGCAGTCTTGCGTGGGGTTCTTGGCTTGCCGTGTGTGACCTCCGAGAAGTCACCGTGCGGGTCGGCGTCCAAAAGCTTCTTCTTGACCGCGGACCATGAGGATCGAGCAGACAGTCCTCCCTTTGATCCCATTCGCATAGCCAATTGCTCGAAGTCGATCTGGACAGAAGTTAGCCTTTCCAGGATGCTTTCCGAGACATGCACAGCAAAGAGCCATTTCCAAGCAGAGTTCTGCTGAAGAATGGAGGAGGAAGCGTAACTTACTGGGAGGGGCGCCTTCATACACTGGTGGGCGTGAATTATGACCTCCAGGTCCCGTGGAGTAAACTTAACAGGACCCTTGGGCGTAGAAGGAGCGGGGGTTGTTGAGTCCGCCATGATGGAAAAGGATCAGGATGGCTTCTTGTTGAAGGTGTTGAGTAACTGTCGAGGTGGAAGAGATGAGGGATCTGGAAGGTTTGGAGGATGGAGGTGGGAGAAAGAAAGCAGGCCGCAGACCCGTCAACTGCGGATATTTATAGGCCGTAGCGAAACCTCAACACAGAGGGTAACCTTGGCGTGCTGGAAGTGATGTGCTTCCGCAAAGAGCGTGGTGTCAAGCGGAGGCCGCCCGAATATGAAGCCCGGTATGATGTCGAAGTGAAAGTCGACTGGCGATATGCATTGGATCATCGCCGCCATTTCGAGACCGCATTGCTTTCCAACCCAGTAAGTCTTTCATACACTTTACCCCAGATTCCAGGGGTCACATCTCTGGCCGCCCTTCCTCCAGCAGACTGTGGACGGACATAGAATTGAGTAGGGTTGGGTCTCAGGAGACTTCCTCGCTCGACCAAAGGACCGACCCATTCAAAGCTCACTGGACGGAACGCGCTCTTGATCGGCTTGGTGTTGGTAAGCTTCAAAGAGACCATATCTGTGAGTGTCGACGCCCGCATGAACCTCAGATCTAGTACGGCATCGACCGGCAAACTTTTGGCATATTCCATGGCAAGTTTGGGCGAATGCTGAACAGAGGTCGGAAGCCTCAAGAAGACTTCAGTCACTATTGGCCTCAATGTCCAGTTCACATAAATGAACGGTATGAAACCGGCCAGCCACACTGTCAAGGTCAACTGTTAGCTGATGATCATGGCTGGCATCGAGATACATACCGCCGGCGACAAGCCAGAGAGGACTCCCATTCACCCAGTGAGCTGGCGCGACAATGATGGTGACAAAGCAGAGCGCGATTATTGTCGCGAAGCGGAGAAATGTGAGCATATATATCCGGCCATTTCCAGCGGTATATATCCGTAACCTCTGTTTGTAGACTGCAAGAGTTAGCACTCTCTGCCATCCGGTATTATTGCGAGTTGTCTTGTCGTACCTTTGGGCTCAGTACGAGGAGGCAAGCTTCGTGTCAACTGCTCAATATGTAGACGCTCTTTTGGCGACAGGGTCAAATTCGGGGCGATCTCAGCCTTGGGTATAATCTTCATAGGCACTTCAACCTTGCGGCCGCTATCCACTGCTTTTTCATCCTTTGCGACAGGAACCACTTCAGTACTAGCTTGAGGGCTTGGAGGAAGTGAAGGGGATGGCGAGGCTTGCGACTTTTTCTGAGCTTTCAGCTGGCTGTGGACGACTTGGATGGGAAGGTTGTCTGCCCGTCTGGGTTGCTGTGGGCTCTTCAGCAGCGGTCGCAGGGTGCTGAACTGTGTCCGTCTTGAGGCAGCATACTGTCTGGCGCACGACTGGAAAGCTGCGCGGACGGCCAGGAGCAAGACAGGAGGAGGACTACCCATGTGTGTAGCCGCGACACTGCCTAGACAAGGACAGGATAGTGGGATATAGTTGTGTGTATATATATATATGTATATATCACACTGTAAACTTAAAGAATGAATTGTCGAGGTCGCGTTAAGTCCGCGAGATGGAGAAAAGATGTTGGAGAAATAATACTAGTCCTGATTGAGATCGACGCTAGTTCATTCCGCCAATAGGAATGTGACAGCGGAGAGATGAAACAGGCAACTGCGCCGAGTGACAAGCATTGTCCGCCGACACGGAGTAAATACAGTACAACTACATGCAGTGTGTAGTTCACACGCTGACAAGATGGTGACAACCTCAGCAACGGATGGGCCGCCAGTGTCTGGGATAGCCATGACTAGACATATCTAATGATTATAACTACATTGTTCTGAACCCAGTCCGCAGTCATGTGGTGCTGGCGTCTCCATCGGTTGGTGACAAGCCTCCTGTTCCTGTCCCCTCGAGTCCTCTCATACACACCTCTATCCGAGAACACCCTCCTACATCTGCTTCCTCAGCCAAAGACCGCCGATTTCGATATTCATACCGGAAACCTTCTGGCTCCAATATTGATCCCTCGGGTCCCGGGCACCCCTGGCTCTCAGATCGTCCGGCAACACTTTGCCGACTTCTTTCACCAGTCACTACCCGAGTGGTCACTGACTTTTCAGAACTCGACCTCCAAAACACCTACTCATGGAGACACCGAAGTACCCTTCGTGAATGTGGTTGCTACTCGTGATCCACCATGGATGCAGCCGGGAAATATCGGTCGACTGACCTTTGTGGCCCATTACGACTCGAAATACAAACCGGACGGCTTCATCGGGGCCACGGACTCCGCTGCCCCATGCGCAATGATTATGCATGCCATGCGGGCCATTGACGGGGCGCTGACCAAGAAATGGGAAGCCGCGCAGGCTCAAGGAGACATCGATGTGGATCTTGAAGAGTACAAAGGCATTCAAGTCTTGTTTCTGGATGGGGAGGAGGCTTTCAAGGATTGGACTGCCACCGACAGTATCTACGGTGCCAGGGCGCTTGCCGAAGAATGGGAGCATACTCCCAATCCTGCAACAAGCACCTACAAAAATCGACTGGATTCAATCGACCTTTTTGTTCTGCTCGATCTCCTTGGGTCGCCGGAAGACCTACCCATTCCCTCGTGGCAACACAGTTCACACTGGTCGTACGTCAAAATGGCCGAAGCGGAGGAAAGACTTCGGAAACTAGGCCTCTTCAAGAGCAAAGCCGGTCGTACATGGTTGCCTGAAAAGGACAAAAAGGAAACCGATGTGTTTAACAGCTACTTCATGCAAGACGACCACCTTCCATTCATTGCTCGTGGAGTTCACGTTCTGCATCTTATTCCTTCTCGCTTCCCCTCTGTGTGGCACAAGATAACTGATGATGGCGAGCATTTGGATATCCCCACGGTGGAAGATTGGGCACTTTTGACGACTGTCTTTGCTGCCGAGTATATGGAATTGGAAGGATTTTTCGAGCGGTCGAAGGATACAAAAGTCAAGAGACATGCCGATGTCATCAGTAAAACTGAATTATGACAACAGTGAGAACATGTCAATGTGGTAGACTGTTTGTCTTGACGCGAAACACCCTGCACGAATTTATGAAGCTTATAAATGTCCCAGACCCAACCGTGCTTCAAGCACATTGGAATCGAGAGGACGCTCACCTGAATGTCTCGGTATTCCGTCAGTCCTAAAATGCTACGGTGACTTTTGTTGAAATGAAGCTGCCCCTGTCGTTCCATACAGCATGCAGTGGGAAGGGCTTCATGCAGAAATAGGAGATATGTCTCTGAAGGCCATTAAAGCCTCCCTACCACAAAACATTGAGCGTACTTCGTCAGGCAGGATCCTGGGAAGAGCACAGCGATAGCTTGAAGAGCCTGGGATAGCCATACGAAGGAACCACATAACAACAAAGCATCTTTCCTGTTAATGCCTGCCACTGGCAGTGGCCTGTCCATAGTACTCGTAGATCTCGATCAATGCAGGTTTCGATCAATCAGTCCGACTACTCCCGACAAGAACATACAGTATCCCTTAGATACCTAGCCTTACTATAGACTGCCGCTAGGTGCTCGGTGTAGACAGTAGTTCGTTCCCCTTGTTGGCCCCCTGACAGGACGCAGCCTTGCCTTGGCATAATACCTTAACTGGTATACCCTAGGTATGATCGAGATGCGATACGGACAGAGGACCATATTCTTTTCACCGGTGAAAAATGAATGAATATCTTCACGATTATTACGGTAGGCAGTTCAAAGTTCAAGTTTCGAGTCAATGATTTTGTTTGAGAATCCATTTTGATTTTACAGTACCCCTACATGCCACCCCTTGACCGACCATTGCATTACATTACCGAGCACCGGTATGACCACTACTCTTAATGAGTTTTTCCAATTCCGCCCTCTCGCCAGACATCTCCACCATCTCCCTAAAGACGCCATCTTTCTTCTGCAGCAGATTGGCAGGCGTATCGAACTCGACGACCTTGCCTTCCCCCAGCACCAAAATGCGGTCAAAGTCGGCAATGGTACTCAGCCGATGAGCGATGACCAGCAACGTGCTATCCGTAAATTCTTCCCGGATGCTGCGCTGAATCAGGGCATCGGTCTCCATGTCGACGGCGGAAGTGGCTTCGTCCAACACCATAATCTTGGGCCGCGACACTATAGCGCGCGCCAGACACAGCAGTTGCCGTTGACCCTGGGAGAGGTTGAGGCCGCCTTCGGAGATTTTCGAGTTGAGCGACCGGAAGATGTTTTTGTTGGTGTTTAGGTTTGCAGTTACTGCTGCGGCATGGGTTCCACCATCGGCACTACCATTACCAGCCTCGTCCGCGTTGGTCCTTCGAACTGGAGTCGCACTTCCGCTCGCCACGACCGATGACCCGGCCGTGATGTTCGCGGACGAAATCAAGTGAACCCTAGCCAGAGCTTCACGAAGCTCAATGTCCGTGTGCTCATTGAAGGCGTCGAGATTGCTGCGGACGGTGCCGGAGAACAAGACAGGGTCTTGTGGGATGATGGCCAGCCGGGACCGTAAATCGGACAATTTGATGGTCGAGATGTCGATACCGTCAATGACGATTTTGCCCGACTGTGCCTCGAGGAAGCGGAACAGCGCGAGCGTCAGGGACGATTTGCCTGCTCCTGTGCGACCCACCACGCCGACACGCTGGTTGCTAGACACACTGAATGTCACGCCCTTCAAAACTGGCGGCAGGTCCGGAGCGTATGCAACCACTAAATCATGGACCTCAAGTTTGCCTTCGGTGGGCCATGCTGCCGGAGCATCGAGGCCGCCCTGATTTTCGATCGTGATGTTGCTGTACTCGACGATCCGCTCGGTTGCGTTCATGTCGAGCTCGACGTTTGAGTACTGTCTGAGCAACCAGATGACGGATTCTGACAAACCCAAAGCGAAGCTCAACGCGAAGCCGGCTAGAGACGAGTCAATCGTCCTGATGCTCACGATCAACGCGGCCGTGATGGCGGCAAACACCGCGCCGACCATGTTCAGTCGCAGACCCATCCACCGGTTGAAGAGCCACAAGTGCCAATATGCCCGGCAGTGCTTGTCGATGCGAGCAAACATTCTATCCAGGTAAGCGTCTGCCTTGTCGAAAGCACGGATCGTGCCGATGCCCGTCAATACCGAGCCGAACTGCTCAAACACGGGCGATTTCGCATTGCTTTCGAGCCGTTTCACTTCTCTAGCGCCCGCGAGGTATCGGATGGCGTAGTACATCGAGACAACCAACAAAGCGATGGCGAAAACAATCATAAACGGAGACACAAAAATCCCGGCAATCACCACGGATAGTACGTGCATCAGATTGTGCAACATGAAGGCCAGGTCCATGGAAATACGCGAGTCGAGCATGTTGAAGTCCGACGTGAAGCGGTTGAGAATCCGGCCCAAAGGTACAGTATCCAGCCAACGCAGAGGTGCGCGGAGGACCGCAAATGCCAGTTTTTCGAAGAGCGTCTTGGAAGCCCGGATCGAGGCAACAAATACACAAAAGTACCGCACAGTGCCGATGAGCCAGGCCAACAAGGAGATTCCCAGGTAGACGCCGAGATAGTATCGCAGATTCGGGTCGAGTTCTGTGGCTGCCAGGCGAGAATGGACGTGCTCCCACGCACCGACGGATTGCTGCACGAGCCTACCGTGGAATACTGATTCGGTCCGGTATGATCGCGTCCAGATGCTGATCCAATATGACCTGGCCAGATAGACCGCCACCCAGAGTCCGAAAACAAACAAAATAAATGCCCAGTAACTGTATCCTCCACAAGCCTTGATATAGGCGGCATAAATCTTGTATTTGATGGCTCCGACCTCGCGTTCTTCTTCTTCCGTAAACTTCTTCGGAGCGTTGGGCTGCTCGGAATCGTCGAATGTGGCCCGAGATCGACGGCGTGTAACTCCGTCCCCGGTGTCACTGAGGGCTGACTTCCGCCGTGAGCGGCGCCGCGATTGACTGGTTAAAATTTTCTGGAGGCCCGAACCATCGTCGATGGTGAGAGCATGATCCTTGTCGGCCGCCTCTTCTTCCTTTTCCTCTTGCTCCTCGTCTTGGGCAAGAATAGGCCCCAGCTTTCCTGACCGGCGCAACTCTTCGGTTGGGCCGGCTTCTTCAACAGTACCATTCGACAGCAGAACGCTGTAACTCGTTTTGGGAAGACACAGCGCAACATGATGCGTGACCAAGATCCTCGTCCGTCCTTGCCCAAGTTCGCCTGTCAGTGCTTGCTCAAACAAGTGTCTACCAACATGTGCATCGACTGCGGAGAAGATATCGTCAAGGACCAAAATACCCGCTCGAGAGTACAAGGCCCGCGCGAAAGACACCCGCCACTTCTGGCCGCCGCTGAGGTTGATTCCGTTGGCGCCGATGTCTGTAAGCTCGCCATCTTGGAGCATTTCCAGGTCCTTGGTGAGTGCGCACGAGTGTAGCACTTTCTGGTATCGATCGTTATCGAAAGGCAAGCCAAACAGAATATTGTCTCGAATGGTGGCGTTTTCAATCCATGGGATCTGGGACACATATGCGATTGCAGATGGGATGATCCAGTTGCTCTTGTTTGCAAGGGCATCGTATCGTTCAGCTGGGGAAGGCGGTTTCGGCACGACCACCTCGCCTTCGAGAACGTCGGCCTCGCCAATTATAGAAGCAAGGAGTAAACTCTTGCCAGACCCTGTTCGCCCGGATATGACGCTGAGTTCATTCTTCGGGAACTCGAGGTTCAAATTACGCAAGGCAAACTGATCAGCCTCGTTCTTGGGATCGTCTGAGGGCCAAATGATGGTGGCATTTTTGAAGGCTACCGTTTCGCCCGGTTTGGTGGTTTCCTCCCGTTCAGGGGCGTCAAGGTACTCCTGAACTCGTCTGGCCGATACAATGGCGTCGAGAAGCTCTGTCACCATTTCCGGAATGACGGCCAACGTCATCTCAATCGCCTCGTATACTGAGATTGTTGTGAAGGCCACCGACGCTGTGAGTTCTTTGTTGATCACGGCATACGTGGTCAAAGAGATGGCGGCCAGCATCACAGGTCCAAAGATCCATATACTGATGAGCGTCGTATCGTAAACGAACACTTGCCACTGCGTCTTGAGCTCCTTCCGTCGGCTTTCCAGTATTTTTTCATACCAATTTTTCTCAAGAGCACTGAACTTGATCTGGCGGATCCCTTGAAGTGCCTCTGTTACAACGGCCATCTTTTGATCCCGAAGCTTCATAAGATCATCCTGGGCATTGGCATATCGCCGCGCAGCGATGACGTTGATCGGTGTGATGATAATGGGAGCGGCCATTCCAGCCAGTAGCGGAATAGGACCTATCAGCTTCGTCAAGAACACAAAAGCAAAAATCAGATTGACGACAGCCCCAAGGAAGATGTAATTGAAAGTTGCAAAGTCGGCAATTCGCTTGGAATCCACCCCGACCAAGTTGATGGTACTCTGTTTGGACTTCTGGAAGTCTTCGTCTTCGTCTTCTGTGGGTGCACGGTCTTCTCCCTTCAGACCAGAATTCTTGTTCACCACTGCCTCGCCATTCAACTGGACTTCGCCATTGGCCGTTGTCTCCTCTTCATCTTTGGGGCCGGCCCCTTTGACATCCTTTCGTCGCATCGCCTTACCAAAAACCACGGCGGAAAGTTGCTCGTAGACAGGAACGCATAATCTTAGGAAGACAACGTAGAACATCCATGACTCCAGCCAGGACGAGAAGGTAATAGCTCCACCAAGTCCAAACACCAGCAACCATGATCGAAACGCCACATCTTCACCCTGATCCCGAGCTTCGAGAGTACGCAGGATGAAAAAGAGTGCCACTTGGGGCAGGAAGTTGGTGACGGAGCAGAGAGCTTGGTAAACCCATTGTTGGATGAAGGCCCATTTGTGGGAGAAGAACAAGGTCTTCCATAGCTTGTCCTTCTTCCTGACTGCCTCAAATCGCTGTCGGAGCTCTCGGGACCGCACTTGATGGCCTATCTCTGGAAGATCGTTGTAGTCCAGTCCTCTGTTCTTTACAGCATGGGAAAGGATTGGGGAAGACCACGAGAAGGTTAGCTTTTCCAGCACGGAAACTGTATTTTCGCGGTCGACAGGCTTGCCATTCCAATACACATCTGGTCTTCGAGGAATCAAGAAGCTGGTAAGCACGAGCAGAAGACCACAGACAATTTGGACGATGGAGAGGGTCAAGTGGATATCGCGGGGCAGGGGACTGGTCCGTGATCGCCATAGTGACAGATTTTCGAGGACCACCGCCAACGCTATGAAAAAGGCCGACAGTCCCGAGAAGACACCTAGATCGTAACGCTTGCGCGACGAGGGGGTGATGAAAATGGAAACTGCTTGGAATAGCAGCAGCAACTGCTTGGTGTTAGATACAACCATGGCTCGGAGGCAGGATTAGAAACTCACCCACGTTGCGAATTGAAACCACTGCTGAACTGAAAGCGACAGCTGGGGACGAGTGGTTGTCAATATGGCAGTAGCTAAAGCGTCCAGACAAACGACAACAGACAGCACGATTAGAAGAAGCCGTTGAATGAAATCGGAAAATCGTTCTTCGGATTCGGCAGTTGCTATACCGTCTTCATCCTCATAATGCTCCGTGAGGCTCTGGTACTGGTCCTTCTTCGCTCGAGCTCGCGAGATGCATTGGGACAGAGCAGGGATCGAAAGCGCGGTGACAAGCAGGAAACATGATATGGAAATCGCCAGAGATGTGGTTGACTGCTGGTGATTTGCGGCGGCCTCCATGTTCCGACGGCCTCTGAACCACGGCAACTCTTCGACTCAGAGGACTGCAGAAGCAACACAGCCTGACATTGATCACAAACAGTTATACTGACGAACCACGAACGAGCAATGTATAAAGGGAAAGATGGAAACCATGAGAATTTCATGTATGGCCGCAATGGCGGGCCTATGACGATAGAACACTTTGAGTCACATACTGCAGGGCCAGTGGGAGGCGGTGTCACTGGTGCAGCCTGGAGCGGTGGAGCTGAGCTTGCCCGCTTCAGTGAAACCTGAACAGGCTGTTGAGTCATGGTCCGCTTCGAAAGATGTAGAAGTAGGTAGTGCCACAAGGACGAGATCAATGATATTACAACATAGATACCATACAATAGGCAGTCCAGCTTGTACGGGTGCATCACACCAACATCGTATCACTCTACAGTGGTATACGACTCAATCTCTCTGATATGCCTATTCCAGTGTTCCAACAAGATATACCACGTTGTAGATCCATGACACCGGATATTCACGGCTCTTTAGGCTCCCTATAAAATAATAGGCCACCCATAGTTCTCCATCCTCCACCCAGGACCCTGGATGGTCGGTTCGGGCGCCAGTAAAAAATTATGGCCAACGCCACATCTCGGTCGATTATGACTACCTACTACATTGTAGTTGTATATTATACGGGCTGGTATGACAACAACTGTACAATGTACAATGAGACATGAGAGCAGACAAAGGAATGAGAGAGCGAAGGCACCGTATTCGGTGCCCGGAGAATGCGGTCAATCTCTTGACTAACAGATTCTCTTGAATCACAAGTGGATACAGTGTATATGACGAACATGCTCTATACAATTCCCCTCAATCTCCTATACATGAACGCTGCAATCAACAATCTTCCTGGCTCCCGGGGTGCAATTGGATCAATTACTGCGAATCAATCACCACCACTTCGGCTTCGGCGTCTCCCACGCTCTCGACTTTGAGCAAATCACTAGCGTTGACACTGGTCACATACGCCCCGTCTCCCTCTCCTAGAATAGCATCTTCTCGTCCGTCCAACCGAATCTTCGCCTTCCCGCCCTTCGTATCGGGTAGATGAATATACACTTTTCGACCCGACTTGGATGTCACGGCATCCCCAGCACCGACCTTGTAGTGGAACGCCTCGCCAGGAGGGATGATGCCGGCGCTGAAGACGACGTCTGCGTGAATGGGTATGGTTCCCTCCTTGGCCGGGATTGCGACCTTCTCGTCTTCCAAGGTGGCATCAGGACCCGCCTTCAGTGGAGTGATTATGGTGACAAAGTCCTTTCGCTTGTCTTCCTCCGAGAATGTGCTGGTGTGATAAACGGGCGGCAAGTTCTTCTTCCAAGGGAGCACCCAGATCTGGAGGAAGTGGACCCAGTCTCTGTCGTGCTCGTTGTATTCGCTATGGGATATCCCGCTTCCTCCCGTTGTAAACTGCACGTCACCCCTGTGCATCCGGTAGAACTTGTTTTTGTCTTGACTTTCTGCGCCCTTCTTCTGCATCGAGTCTCGGTGCGTCAGTTCGCCCGAGAGTATATAGGAGAAGATCTCGGCATTGTTGTGGAAATGCGTCGGGAACCCTTGGCCGGGCATGACTCGATCTTCGTTCAAGACGCGAAGCGACCCGAACTGGGTGTATCTGGGGTCATACCACCCAGCGAAAGAAAAGGTGTGTCTGGTGTCCAGCCAACCATGGTTGGCGGCTCCCCTGGTCTTGGAGGGACGGGGGACGATCTTTGCATGCGAAAGATGAGACATGGTTCTTTGTAGGGATTTGGATGTGTTCATATGCGAGTGTGAGGTATCGCGATCCGTGCTGTTGCTGTTATTCAAGATGTAAATGGCTGCGATGGCTGTCAAAAGTGCTGTTACAGTGGTCAAGAGTGTGGTGGATTTTGAATGAACCAGGTTTGAGAACATGGGGGACGAAACAGAGATAAATACTCAGACCTGAAGCACCGCTAGAGAGCGATGGAGATGTCGAGAAGGAGCTTGAAGTACATTATACAGAGCTTGGTCAGAGTTGAAGACCGAATTGATGGCGGAGACTCGTATTCATTCAGCTGTGGCAGCATTATCCAATCCTTGGGTAAGCGGAGTGGAAAAGAGAGTTTCGGATTGAGATCAAGATGCGGAATGAGAATCGACGGGGCCGCAGGCTGACTAACATGCGACAACATAATCTGCTAACACATGATTGGTTATCAAAAAGCTGGCCCTGATTACATCATCCTCGCTAATCTGCACTGCGCTGCACTGCTGGTGTCGGTGGCGCTGGGCCATGAGACGTCTCCCATCCACACCTCGACATCCCAGTACAGCATTGCTCTCTACTAGTCCAGAGGTACACCGTAGCGGTGGTCAATTGTCCTTAATGCATAGGTAGGGTGCCGACTGACCAAGCCGTCTCCTTCCCCGCGCTGGTCGTGTTGATGAAGAGACGCACCGTCGACAACCCTTTCATCAAGACCGAGAATCAGTCGTGGGAACTATCATCACCCGCCTCGCTAAACCGCTCCATTTCTCCGCCGCTGACCAACCGGCGCCATCGAGAGGACCGTGACAGATGTGAAAGGCAAGGGTCGAGTTCCAATTCCAGTCGGACCTTCACGCCTCCCAACACCACAGGAAAGTCAGACACTGCCGCGGTCGAGGCTGGCGAAATCGAGATTGAAGACCATGTCTCGTTCTTCTCTTCCAAGCTTCTTGCAGCGAGACGTCCCGAACTCCAAGGTCAACCGCGGCTATCTCACGAGCAATGGCTGGACCTCTATCAGCGGAACCTGACTGACCGAGGACACCACTTTGTGATCCACCAACACGACCACCCCATCGCAGGAACTCACTATGATCTCAGGCTACAATGCAACGCGACCAGCTCGGTCAGTTTCGCCATCATGTACGGTCTGCCCGGAGACCCAAACAGTAAAAGGCTAAATAGAGGCGCCACGGAGACTCGAGTTCACAATCTATGGAATCACTTGATCGAGACGGCTTCCCACGAGACGGGCACGATGCTTCTCTGGGACACCGGCGAGTATACCGTGATACCATATGAATCCTCTGGGTCGAGGGGCAACCGCAGCAAAACCACCACCACAGGGTCATCCACCGACTCTGACTCGGAGGGCGACGGGGCAGCTAACGGTGGCTCAAACACCGAGTCCGAACCCGTGAAACTGCACCGCGCGTTCCAAAACCGCAAAATCAAGCTGCGTCTGAGTGGAATCCGCCTGCCAAAGAACTACACTATCAGTCTCCGGTTGAATCCAGAAGACGACCGAGTTGGTCAACCACTGCCACCAGCCTTCAAGCGACGACGGACCAATCCTAACTTGACGGCAAATATCCCAGCGCCACCTCGACGCCGGCGGACTCTGACACGAGCTCAAGTGGAGACATCGTCTGATTCCAGCCGACCAGCGTCTCCAGATCGGCCAGACCTCGATTCTGCAGACGAGGTCGGGGTTCGGCAGCACCAGCAACCCAAGACGATGACACGTCTACCACGCACCAACAGCACAGTCCTGTCACTGCACCGGCTGGCTTCACCTCCTCGACTGAGTCGGGCCAAGTCGAGTACTATTGGAAACAGTGAAGGAAATGGCTTACAGAACGCGAGCAGTCCCTCAACACCCACTAAACCTGAAGCAAGTCCAAATCCAGCTCCAAGTCCTGTTGGGTTCAAATTGCCCAAGTCAGACAATAATACTGCCAATAATGCTGGCAATGGCAATGGCAATACTACGCTGGATGAAGACGCTCAAATCCGCCTACACAACGCCTACCCCGGCGCCACCAACAGCATCAACAGCATCCACCAGCGTCGCTGGTTCCTGTCTCTCGACCGCGCGGCCAGCGGGTTCCGTCCGACCAACGAGATGGCATTCGGTCGACGGATTTGGGAGCGAGCGCCTGCATCATCGAATCATCCAAGGGGGAGGCACTCAAGGGCCGTCGTAGAAACAGACACAGAGACAGACACAAAACCAGCTTGTGACAATCTGGCCGGCTTTGAACCCTTTTACGTCCTGGGCCGCGACTTTGAGACGAGCGTTCTCACGGGTCGTAAGGCGGCGGACGTGGCTAGGGATGAAGGGTTGATTGGGTTTAGACCGCGGGGAGGGTGGAGGGCTGTCACGGATTGATCTGGTTTGATTGGGGATATACGGTCACGGTCTGTATGAACCTGGTTGGGTACTTGAAGTGGTACCATACCATGTTATCGTTGCCTATCAAAGACAGCCAGACATTTACGCATTTGCATCTACCGAGGTACTGAATGTGGTGTTGGAGCGTTCAGAAACTCACAGTACTGAGTGACGAATGAACGAGTGGAAGAGAATACTCAAAAGAGGAAAAAAAAACCGTCTTAATGCGAAGGTGCCGTCTCCGAGAGCGATTTTGATTCTTGACTTGAAAATCATTATATCATTTTGGTTTTTTTCTTTCCCCCCCCCCCTTTAATTCCGCCCATCCCATTCTATCCTTCAAAACCCAGCACTCGTCAAGATTCTTCTGTACCCGTACATTCTGCCTTTACCACCTGCTTCAAGTTTTTAGATGGAACGAAATTCGAACGCTGTCAAAGAAAGTAGAGACAACATCCAACGCGGCGTCTAAGCCCTCGCTAAGGTCTGTAACCAGCCGAGCTGCCACAAAAGCACTGTATACATACACTGGCATGTCGTATCGTCAAATCAAAATACCTTATCTCGCATTCAAAATCTCACTACATGTACCTGGCCCTATCCTATACGTCTTGCGATCTATACGGTTCATACGCCGCCCCCTTCTGGGGCGGATAAGACTGTTGGTAATGAGGTCCAGCCTGAGGCCCAGCACCAGGAGCATAGCCGGCATATCCACCAGCTGGGCCCTGCTGATGGTTCATGTTCGTCAGCGGCACGGCCTGATGGTCGCTGGGTCCCAGATATGGACTGCCCACACGCTCGTAGGTATATGGTGTCTTTTCAGCACGGGTGCGACGGGCCTCTTTGCTGCCCGGGTGGTAAGGGCTGCGCCCACTACAACAACAGACAGAGAGCAGCCAGAAGAAAGCACCGGCAGTAGCCAAAGCAGCCGCGATCCAAGTGACGACAAACGCACTCTTGCCCACGGATGACCTAATTCCGAAATCTTTCTTGAGAGTGTCGTTGAGGGCGATCTCCAGCACGACATGGATGGCAGTCGCGGTGCCCGAGGCGCCAATGACCAGGACGGCCATTGCAGCCGCAAAAAAAGTCGTGAAAAACGAACCCCAGCGGGAAAAGATTGCCGAAATCCCAACCAGCAGCGTCAGACACGTCGCGGCAAGTCCAACCACATATAACACGAACATGGCCTTACTGGCTGCGTGGTACGTGGACAGTCCATCCCGGAACGTCTTGGGGAGGTAGTCGTCGACTGAGATGCCCGTGTCGTTCAACCCCCAGACCTCGACGGGGTTGAACCAGAAGTCGGCTTTGGGGGACGTGCAGTTGGCGTATACGTCGTTGCCGTTCCAGCTGCAGTAGCTGCGTAGGTAGACCGTGTAGTAGTCTTTCATGCCCAGCGATTGTTTGGCTGTCTGCAGCGCTCCGCCTAGGACGGTCGTGTTGCTTCCTGTGAGATCGCTGACGAGGTTGGCGGATGAACTGAGCGTTAGGTTTGTCATGTTGATCTGAAATAGTCTGGTTAGTATTGTATGGGACTAGATGGTATAGGCGAAGGCCTGGCGGCTGTTCACTCTTGATTCCTGAGCCGTGGTTTCACCGTACCTTTAGAAAATATAGATCATTGATCCCATGGTCGCCGCTGGACGAGCCAGCCACGAACACCAGAACCACACATATTAAAACTCCAATCGAAAGCAGAAAAGGTGCTGCTATACAGCATATGCGGCCGGCATTGACCATCTTTTGCGTTCTGTCTTTGCAATCACCTAAGAGGGATTTGTGTTTGGTGTCGTGTCGCGCTCAAGCGAAGGCCGCTGCGCGCTGTCGACTACGGTGATACTCGTTAATCGATAGGGGGACTTTTTTCGAGGACTCGGACCCTGTGACGGCTGGATGCGGGGATTGATAGATGGGATCGACCGCCGATGGAGTTTGACAGTTGCCTGTAATGATGCACTTGGCTTCTATAAAGAACCCCGGGACGGGTAGATGACGAGGATGAGGGATCGGTTTATGGTCGATTGTTCAAGATTGTGGTGGAATAGAGGCGAGAAGGCCGTGATAGAAGTAGTATAATGTTTACCGCTAGGCGTGCAGCGGACGGGGTCGCCGGTGTATCACCGCGAGTAAGCCTCGTGTTGGGGGCTTGATTTAGCGGCAGCTGGCGTGCGGCGCAGGGTCCGGCGGGTATGTTTTTAGTTTTGTACGAAGTGAGATGGCTGGTGGATCTGATCTGATCTGACCCGGCTTTTCGCTTTGGTAATATTGCTGGCCGTAGCAGGAAACGAGCGATGAGGAAAGTGTGCAAGTGAGAGATGTAAGACTGTAGTGTCGGTAAGGTAAGCTGAGGAGCTCAACGGACAAGGGCTGCCAGTGTTTTATGCACCGCAGAGCTTCTCACTGGCAGTTCTGTTGTAGACGGAACCAGTTCACTGCAGTCCACAGTCGACGTGCACTGCATGGCGCAGTCCTGGTGCTGCGTACCTGATGTACGAAGAGGACGACGTTTGACGTGCTGCTAGGGAAGTGGCTCAGCCCTCTCACGTTTCCACTCCACCGCCACACCATACAATTGAAGTACAAGGCAGATCTCTCGTACAGAAGAGGGACAGGTTTCAATATAGCCTTCGTCGTCACTGGTTGAGTATGCTATAGCAACGACTGGCGCAGTTCGAAGACAACTGGCACACCATTGGCATCGGTTCTACCTAGGTATCTATGGGTTACGCAGCGATGTTGTTTCGGTGCAAATCGTCCTCGTACAGTACGTGGACATGGGGTTCCTAACATTTAGGCCCCCGAAATGCAGTCGTACGCCTAACAGCAGTGGTCCTTAACAAACGATTCGACAGTCGGGCGTTTTAGTATTGCAGCAGCATCCTTGAAGCACATGTGGGTGCTTTCGAAATTCGCCGAGTGGTAGCGCAGCGATAGAGCTGAACAGTAGAATGAATACATATATTCGGCACCATGATCTACGCTGCATGTACTGGGACATAGGTATGATAAGTACCTAGTATTTTGTCTTTGTCGCTTTTCCTGGAGTGCTTACCAGCTCACAACACATTACCTTGACGGTCCATTCTATTGTAAACAGCCTCGATACAACTACTGTCGACCGATATCCTCGTACTGGTAGACCTCGAGCTGTACTATTAATAGATCATCATGGCCTCGTGCCAGTGTAATGGTACCGTGGCTGATGATGTCCGAGGAGGCTGAGATCCAGATCCATCCTCCACTTCTTCACCATCAGTGGCATTTTACGCGCATCCACGTACCCCAGACTCATACAGTACGGTATATCGCACCGCAGTTAGCCGGACAGCTTTGGACCTTTCGACCAGTGCGACTATTTTATCGTAAAGGGCCACGCAATCAATGACTAGTACCCGATCAATTCTCGATCACGTTATTACTTCATTACTGCTGCTCTGCCTGTCGCATACTAACAAGGTAATATCTCTCTCACCCTCTCGAGGAAGAAGAACAAGAGCAAAAACAACAACTCTTTTCTGCCCACACCCACCGCTGTATACCAGTGTCCACTCCAGGTTCCTGGGGAAGTCGACGTGCCAGAGGTTGACAGATCGTGTATTGCGTGCGTCGGCAGTCTCTTGAGGTGAACAATCTGGTACTGGACAGCAAACCCCAGCAGCCAACATGGCACAGCACAGAAGAGCTGTGCTTCTCGACTTGACGCTCGCCTGGTTCTCTTCCTGTCGCCAATCGACCGCATTTTCCTCGCGTGTGATCTGTGCGCCTGCACTGCGCCAGATCAGTCTCGGGTCGGATTGACTCGAACAGTGACGAGACTGGGCGCATCGCAATCCATTACCCTCCAACGCCAACCAAATCCGTGCGGGTATTTCTTCTTGAAACCTCAATTCCCAATGACGCCGCCGAGAAGTAATGGGCAACCCCTGTTTTCTGACTTTATCATGGTTGTTCAGTTAGGCTGCGACCTGGTGTTGTCCTGATTGACCATTAGCCCTTTGACTCCGGATACGAGCCGCGCCGTTAAGGACTCACCATTGGTTCCGGCCGGAGCTTCTTCTTCTTCCTCCTCTTCCTCCTCTTCATCCTCCTGCTCATATTCGCCATGCTGATCCGCCGGGACCCAGCTGTCACGGTCGCTCTTCATAGGCTGATCTTGGCCAGTCAGGTCGACACCCTCGCGCTTGGCGGCGTTGGCCTTTCGTCTCTGGCTCAGAGTGCGCGCGCGAGTGGATAGACTAGAGTGGACCTGGGCTTTGGAGGAAACCCAGTTGGTCAAGGCGTCCTCGCAATCCTGGATAATGGCCTTAGATGCCTCATAGCCATCGTAGGCCTGGCGCGTCTCGCCAGGAGTGACGGGAGTGTCATCGATCAACTCAAGCAGGTGCTTGCCGTAGCCGGCAATGATGGCCACCTTCTCGCAGTGCTCGCGCACGGCATCGAACTGGTAGTTGAAGGCTGCCTTGAGCTTCTCTCGAGTGATGTTGGACAGCTGTGCCTCGGCCACGAGCGACTCGGCCTCGGCTCGAACCAATTCCTGCTCCAGGACCACAATGCGAGGGCTGTTTGGCTCCTTGTACTTGAGTTGAGCAATCTGATCGGTGATCTTCTGCTTACGGTCGCGCGACGGCTGGACAGAGGCTTCAATGTTGCGGATAGATTTGATCGTGACGCGGTATTGGTCATATCGATCGACGAACTGATCTTCCAGTTCGCCGATCTCGTAAATGAGGACCCCAAGCTTGTCGGTCACATCGCTGACATCCTCGTCGCAGCCTTCACCCCACAGAGAGAGTTGTTGCTGTAGTTCCAAAGTTAGCCAGAATGTACATTTCTCCAGCCTGGATAGCAGTGATCTCAGGGCGAAGCACATACAGCCACTTCCATTCTTTCCCGCGCCACGACTTCCATAGAGCGCATGACGTTCTTCTCCATCTTGACGAGTTGTGACAGCTTCTTCGCGAGCTCAGGCCCGAAGGCGCCCGCGGCCTGTTTTCTCAACGCATGTCCTAGTCCTAGAGTCAGCGCCAGCTGCGTCAAAGGCAGCAAACAAACATACCGAAGGGGGATCGACCAAACAGGCGGCCGCTCTTAGTGGACGATGGCGGTGGAGGAGGGTTTTCAATTTGGGAAGCTGTAGGGGCGCGCGACTGGCGCATCGAGTATGTGCGATGCATTTTGAAGGCTGGTTGTTGTTCTGACCCGAAAGAGGTGAGAGGAGGGGCTGATGTTCAGAGGCCCTGAAGCAGGTTTGGAAGGAGCGCTTGTGCCGGAGGAGGGTAGCGATCGATAGTGGGATCGAATGTATATTGCGACACAAGACTGGAACACAAAGATGCAGCCTTGAGGAACTTGACGAGGGGGAAAAGGTGTACGGAAGACAGAGGTCAGGGGACAAAAAGGATGGTGGCAGGTGCAGGGTGGTAGTAGTAGTAGTAGTTCTAGTAGTAGTAGCAGCAGTAGTAGAAGTGTCAACCTAAAGTGATGATGCGGATGGCGATGACGTCTCGGATGGAGGCGGGAGACTCGGAGTGGGAGCTTCCAGCGCCACATCCAGAGGTCAAAAGGTTGCACAATTGCACCTACTGTAGTCAATTATCAGCTGCACAGGGCAGAAACAGACATTGAGCATCCGAAGCCCAGAGTCTCCAGGCTCTAAGGCCCCAGCGGAGGAGCCACTCTGGCACCACTAGTAGTACCAGCAACCTACTTCCTGGCACTACTGTATTCCTCCCCAGGTACCTAAAGTACTGCAGGCATAGGCATAACCTTGATTGATAGGCATCCCTGCAGCACCCACAATGTACGCCGCGCGCTGGCAGGAGTACTACTGCCACCTACTACTAGTAGTAGGCGACTGCTGCCAGTGCACTACCTACGGTAGGTAGTATCTCCCCAACCTTCCTTTTCATCCCTGCTGTGATGTGTTGTTGTGTTCCTCTCTCGCTCTTCATGTTGGCTCTCAGTCCACTCACAGCTCCCTGCACCTACTTCTTGCTCCCGTTCTCATGTCCAGAGTGCGGCTGTTGCTCCGAACCAGGTACCAAGACCCACAACGGTTGTACTGTGCCAGGGTGGTTCCATACCATCACCACACCTGGACATTCATGAACCATGGTTGAAACAGACCTTGGCCGGCCACAAGCCACACCAAGCTCCATCCTCTCAGTCACTACTGTAGAAACTCCGTCATCCATTTGCTACTCCTAATATTCCATCTATCGGCCACTTATCGCCTAATGACAGGCAGCGAGGCCAGCCACAGTTGTCAATGGCAACTCCACCTGAAGCCGTCAGCCGGGAGCCGTCCTCCTCCCTCCTGTCTCTGCTATTGTCACATGTTTCACACCTTTGAGTCGAGACCAGAAAAACATTCGCAGACCATCCGTGGCCAGTTCCACCAGGAAATGGAAAAAGATTCCTTTAAGCGGCGCAGGCACAACCAATGATCGACTACACTTCCATCGGCAAGAACTTTGTCTTGGGCTGCAGCTAGCACAAGCCCGAGCAAATCGATTTTGACTTCCAGAGGAGAGACGGACCGTGAACTAAACTGGTTCAGCTTCATTAGAAACCACACGACACAGCTGACTGGTGGGGTTGGACGTGCATTGCTAGTACTGGCAGCTTGGGAGTGCTGTGGGCTCGTGCGTCAATCTCGTCGTCGAAGCAACAAGCCGCCCACGTCATCGACGTGCCTTTATTGTCACTATTCACAAACCATGAAAGCTTTATCGAGAAATGGTCCCCAGATGGCCTGGCCGTGTTTAACAATCTCGACGGCAGCTGGGATCCACTATTTCATCATACAATCTTCCTGTTCAGGTGTGCCTGGCGCTTGTTGATATTCGATCGATTGAAGAAGCCAAATGATAGGTTGACGACGCCAGAGGCTGCACAGCCCCATGATCTGCGCCGGAACTAGCACGTCCATATTCTTCTGCAAGATGGACCATCATCTGCAGGGATTGAGAACTGCCGGGGATTGGCCCTCTTCAGTTACTGAAGTCTGTCGCAACTGAGCCATGTCTATCACGTCCCCAGTTCCGGATGGTACCCCTCGTCCACGGTAACTTCCCCATGATCCCCTGAATATCAATACGAGTCAAAGGGTTATACGCGCGCAGCTACCCTCAGCAGGAACAACAAACACGAGGCTTTGCGCCATGCGCTTCTCCTCAGTTGTCTCGTGACTTGGACGCAGGGTTGGGCGACACAGATATACCCAGGGACTCCTTAAGCCTCCTGGTGCGCCATGCCTGCTGCTGCGCCCTGCCTCCGAGCCGCCTGTCATGGGGCCCGATCTTGCGCTTTCGCTTGACCGCTGCAAGCTGCGAGCCCTTCCTTGCGCCGCCTGGACTAGTTGTCCTTGTTCCTTTCGAGTGACTGCCCGGTTGCGGCCCTCTACGATCGCGCGACCGACTTGTTGCGGAGCCTTTCCTGGTAGATTCGCCACGCTCCGAAGAACGTCCCCCTCCTCCCAGGGATTGCCGATGCGAAGAGCGCCTCGGTCGTGCTGACGGCACCTCAAAGGCTTCCTGATCCGATTCGTCCTCGGAATATTCTCCCAGATTGCTTTCCTCGGATTGATGCCCCTGACCGTTGGTATCGTAGTCAGAGTCCTGAGAATCATCAATTTCGGGCGCCGTTGGAAGGTCGTAGATAGAGCCGTCGGACTCGTCTTCACACCCATACTTGGCCGCAACGCGGTGGCGCTGGCGTTGGTATGCGATGTAGGCCTCTTGGAGCCCGCGCGCGGTAAAATCACTCTCCACCCCAGATCTCTTCCGCTTTGGAGGTCGGGATAGTGGAGACTGACTGCTCTCCTGGGCTTCATTGACCATCTCATCTGCCAGCTTGTTGGTCCCGGTGGTTCGGGCAATGTGGTCCGGACCCACCGGGATGAGCCTTCGTTCCCCGGACGGTCTCTCTCCAGGCTCCCAAAAATTCCTCACCACCTCTTCGGGGTAGTTGTAGTTGTACAGCAGTTCTTCGCCGGCTTTGATGGATCGCTTGGCAAACAAGCCGACCCTGACCACGCCGCTGCACAAAAGCTTCTTGGGCTCGACGTTGATATTCTCCTCACGTTGCGAGTTGTTCATGAATCGCATTTTGTTGCCATTGTTGGACGCATCGATCTCCTGACTCTTGTTGATGACAAACAGATATTCCTGGTTCAAGACGTGGTACATGGCTCCGCGACGGTCCCCTTCCGAGATACTGACAATCTCTCCAGTGTACTCTCCAATAAATTCACCACTGGCGATGTCCGCGCGGCTATACAGGCCGTACCCTTGCACCTGACTTGGGGCCTTGCTGGTCGGGGCAGGAAGACCCAGTTGGATCCGATTATTCCGGCATCGACCTCGGCGAATCTCGTCGTTATACTTATTTGCCGAGTCCAGGACATCGACGACGCCACAGCGGCCACAGAGGGCAGGATCGCATTCACGATTGAGCTTCCAGCACTCACAACGACTGTCCTTGAAGCAGACTTTGTTGCCTCGCATCGTACAGGTGCAGCCCCGGAAGCGTCGCTTGCAGGACTGGTCACAGCCGCAAAACCTTTCGCAGTGCACCTTGCTCTTGAAGCAGCTGCAAGCCGGGTTGTTGTGGCATGGCCCATCATGTGAACAAGGAACAAATGGCGGCCGCTGGTCCAGTTCTGCACTCCTTGATACATCGACCAATGGTTGTAAAGCCTTCTTGTTCTTCTTGCGCATGTGGCCCTGGTGGTGACGATGAGTACTGCTGTCCGAGGTGGCCCCGGAGTCGGCGGCAGGATGAGGATATTGGGCGATACGGTAGACCATATACTGAAAAACCATGACACAGCTCACATCCTTGATGATACGAGAGATGAGACAAGGACCCCGCTTGTTGTTCAGGTAGAACCCTATGAGCCGGTCAACCAGGAGTTTTTGCGACTGCGACATGAAAGGCTGGAACTTGACTTCCGACACCTTGATGTCGCGTCGGCGGCTGACATCCCAGAAGCAAGAGGTGCTACAGAACTCGTCGTCGGCCAATATGTTTCTTGTCGGCTGGCTCGCCGCTGCTGCGCGACTGTCCCCGGCAACATCGCCGTTGGACTGCCGGCCGATCAAGTTTGGGAGCGTTTGAGACGGGTCGACACAAAACACTCCACATACATGCTTGGTAGCGGCAGTGGCATGATGGTGGTGATCGTCGTGTTTGTTGCGAATGGGCAGGGCCATGAATTTGCGCAGATTATGGTCTTGCTCCTCGTCGTTGATAAAGGCCTTGAGCTCTTCGGCACCTTCTTTTGTCCCGTGATCGTCCTCGATAGGGTCCTCGTACGACCCGTGATCGGGACAGCGGTGACGGAAGCAAATGACACAAAGACCCGGGGTCGTCTTGGTCATAGCTTGTGGATCTTCATATCGCGGCTGCAGAAGTCCGCCCAGCGCAACGTGCCATAGACTGACGCCACTCACCCGGTGGAAGGCATGGGCAACCAGTCCGGCGAAAGCAAGACTTCGGTCGTCCGGTTTAGGGAGCTTATTGAACGTCTCGCTGAAGTGGATACACCTACTTTCAGGGTCGGCAAGCTCACACGTCCTGCACCGTCGCATCTGCTCCTCCCTCCAGGCCTTCGCCGACTCGGGCGACCAGTCATAGTACCCGACCAACTCGCGGCCCGGATCGAACCGATCTTGAGTGAAAAAGTAAAGCACGTCGGTGTTACGGATGCCCAAGGACGAAAAGATTCGCTTGGCCCACGGTTTCCACAGCCACACCAATTCTTGACAGTCTCGCTGAGACTTTAAGCTGGGATAGTTGTTTTTGAACCGTTGCTCCAATTCGAAGTACTTTTCGGTCGCGTCGGGATCCTGCACCTCGTCTTCGGCGTCATACGGTCGATATTTGGCCGTCCGATAGTTGGGCGCGAGAAAGCTGGACGATATGCGGCCTATGGACTTGTATTTCGGGAGCAGGGTCGCCTCCGTGTAGAACGGACGTTCGGGGACTCGCACGGCCGTCAGCTTCTTGTTATGAAAGCGTTCGTGCGGCTTATGCCCATGCACATGCCCAGCTTGGGCGATCTCCGACCCAGGTTTCACGCCGCCAGCGCCTGCAGCAGACTTTCTCCGTTGCTCCATAACGGCTCGAAACGGGTCCTTGGCTGATGGGTCGAGTCTAGGCCTGTGGCATGTCCTCGCGTCAATGGTCGCTTGTCTCAACTCGGCTTGAACAAACATTTCTTGCCACGCCTGGAGTTGCTTCTGCGCGCTCTCGACCAGTGCCTCGATCTTTTCGACCTCGGCTTCTATCCTGATGTCAAGGAGGCCGGTTTCCGGCATATCGGATGTGTCGCTGTCGTCACTGAGTAGTGGATCACTTTGTTCGCTGCTGCTCAAATCTGAGATATCGTGCATGACTCTGGGGGTTTCTTCGTCTAGTGGCGTGGTACTGTTCGTCTTCCTCGGGCTTGTAGTCGTACAAAAGACATCCTTTGGTTCCAACCGTGCGGTGGAGCTTCGAGGATTTGGGATTGCGTCTGCGCGGACCACAGATCCGCTGGGCTGAACATCATTCGAACTACCTTCGTGCTGCGAAACGATCTTGGCGAAATCACTGGTCGACAGGAACTTCAACTTGACTATCAGCGACCGGCGCCCGGTCGTTGCTGGAGCTCTTGAATGCGGCATCGTTTGCAAAAGGTCAGCTGGTTTGACGGCTTGGCTAGATCGAGTTCGTTCAGTAGACGTATTAGACCCGCCTTGAGCGGACTGAAGCGGCTGTGCGGGGTGGATGACCTCGTGCGGCATTGCGGACTGTGAAGTGCCTTGGGTGGCGGGCGCTTGCTGCGGTGAATCTGTCGTCTTAGTTGTAGAATAGACGCAGTCACGGTCCCCTCCTTGCTTGCAAGGTCCACAGGGTCGAGCACCATCGCAATTAAGCCTGACACGATTACAATTGACACAAGCCGAAGAACTGCCAGGAGCAGTTGAAGGACTCCGAGTCAGTTTCGGCAGTGTCGGCGGGGATTTGGCGCGTTTCGTTCCCATAACATCCGTCGTACCTCCTGTTGGTGTTCGCGGTCGTGCAGCACTGGCATCGTGTATACTATGTCCGGTTGTTGTGGGAAAAGTTCGAAACACGACTCTGGAGCCGCTTTGCGGCGGTGAGTGGTACTCGTTCACTGACGCGACTAGGGGCCTCTGCCGAAGACCGCCGGGAATGCTACCGGACTGGCTTGAGGGTCGCTGATTTCTGATGAAGCTAGGCGATTGTAGATTGTTGGGCAGATATGCAGCGCTGTTGTTTGCTGCCGGCGCCGCCGGGTTGGGAGAGCTCAGGCCGGATGACGCGTCCAGTCGAAGCACTTGCGGGATCTCTGGCCTCACGTACGGTGAACTAGTAGTTGGTGGATAGAATGGCGCATTTCGTTTCGTGGTCGACGATGATGATGGCGGATCCCTTGTCAGATCGATAGATTGGGGAGATGGTTGTGGTTGTGGTTGTACCTGGCGTCTCCTTGGAGTCTCATCTTCCGAATCACTTAGAACAATGACTTCGTTTGAACGCGAGGCACTGGCACCAGAGTAGAGGTTGCGCAGAGTCGGGGAAAGGAAGAATCGTCCACTTCCGGACCCAAACTGGCGAAGAGATGATGGCGGGTCAAGGGGATGAGGCCTTTGGTGCCCGAACGGGCTGTAATTGAAGTGACGGTCGGGTCCGCTCATTCTGGTTCATTGTTGTGGAGCGGCTCAGGCGTCTTGTGTCACGAGCACGCGTTTGTGTAACGCGGGTCAGGGAAGTGTTGACAATGAGAGTTGCTCCGCCTCGGATGAAAAGATGAAGGGTAATATGTACTCAACTTGGCTATGTGACACTGGGGTATCTAGCAACTCTAAGGCGTAAAGGGCTGTGAGGTGCGCCCACTGCATACAGTGAAGTTGAGATTGGGGCTGCATTGAACCGAAAGTTGAACTTCGGGAGATCGCTTGGCGCGCCGCAGCCTGGGGACGTTTCCGAGGACCACGGGCGGAAGGCCTTGCTACGTCTGACAAAATGAAGGGTTTTGTTTTTGACTGTCATTTAAGGCTGTACACTCTTTCGCGTAGTTGGATTTCTTGTGCCTTCTGTCAGACAAAGCCCTCTGACAGCATCTGTTTCCATTGGATGTCCAGCGTACAGAAGATTTTCCTCTCCGCGATAGTAGATCTACAATATCATCGATGGTCGGCTGTGTGGCCTCTCCGTGACCAGCCTCATGCCCGACTCTCCACCAGATGGATGGCTCCTCAGAGTGAGTTTAGTTGTCCTCGCCGACGGGAACTACCTAACAGGAATATCTTAGTCTGAAGGCGCCTGTCTGCCAATTACTGCTCTTCAATGTGTTCAGGTGAAGGGACAACTGCTTGTGATATCCGGCCAAGGGCCCCATCTACATATTTATGACCAATATGGTCGCTGTGCTCTCTCCCGGCATGTATTCGACGTGCAGCCGATTCATGGGATCCAAGCGGCCCTTGACCCTGCCGTTCTTTCAGGGACGAATGCTGTCCCGCTTGTCCTCTGGGGTGGCTCCGTCGTGAAGTTTGGGCAATTGACTGTCGTGGACGATGAAGACAGTATTGGGAATCTCCGGGTCAATTTCGTGATACTGCGTGAACTTACTTCACCAGACTGGATCTTGGATGCAGCATTGCTGCCGTCGGGCACCTTTCTTCTGACGGCGCACAATGTCCTTCTACAAATCAATGCCCCGGTGGAATTCAAAGGTCATGCATCATACACAGAAACGACCGCCGTCATCAAGGGACCCGGTTCCTTTTTATATTCTGGAGACCTCTGTGTTGCAAGCCCTAATCTTATCATAGTTGGATCCGGCACTGTTTTTGGAGAAATCTTGGTTTGGACTTGTTCCCGGGAAAGCGAAAGTCATCAGTGGACGACATCTGTTAGGCACGTCTTCCACGGGCATAGGGGTTCCGTCTTTGGCGTGGCTGTCTCTGAGCGTCTGACTCTCAATGGATCCAGTACGCGGCTGCTCGCAAGTTGCAGCGATGACCGCACCATCAGGCTATGGGATATAAGCGACTGTGACGAACCTGCCCATGATAACTCATCGAATGTCCCCCTACTCGAGACTGGCTTCGGTACAGCCTCACAGACCGAAGATTGTCAACTAGCATCTGCATGGGGTCATCAATCCCGCGTCTGGGGTCTGGAGTTCATGCCAGGGCAGACGTACGGGGACAGTTCACGCGTCCTTCTATCCTCACAAGGCGAGGATGCTGTATACAAACTATGGAGCTACAGTCCTTCCTCAACGCCCATCGCAACCGAACAGGATGGTGATGTTCTCCAGTCCATTTATCAGGATCGACATCATAGCGGCAAGAATATCTGGTCAATGTCGCAGCTGAAACTGGGAGAGCGCTTGATCGTCTGCACGGGTGGCGCCGATGGTCAGGTTGTGTTGCGACGTCTTCCAATTCATGATGGCCTGATCATGTCTCCTGCCTTGCTCTCCAGGAGTTTCAAAGAGGTCACGGGCTCTGCCCAAGGTCTGAAGCAATACCTCCTGCTAAACCAGAGTGATTGCCTCGCGACAACTGATTCGGGTGATCTATACCAGCTAAGCACACACGCAGGGGAACTCAAGCACCATAGAATCTACGAGAGTGCCACGAAGGGCAGTCTTGTGGTCTGCCATGCTGATGTCCCCGGCATTACGTTCTTTGCACAACAGAGGGGCCCACTTCTGGTCTGGCGTACGGGAGCGAACGCAGCCATCCAAACTCCATTCGTCGAACAATCGGGCATATCTTGGATGCAGGTTGCGTCGCAGCCTCCAGCAGATACTCAATTAGGCATGATCTGTCTCGTGGCAATGCTTACGGACGGAAGAGAAGTTGTCCTCTGGCTCACTCCGAGTGAGGCGTCATTTCAGGTCAAGAAGACCATGCTTGATGTGCCGAGCACTTTCACAATCACAGCATGTTGTTATGATTCTGCTACAAAAACCCTCATTCTAGGATCCCGCGCTGGCGCGTTAGCACTCTATGGCTCCTTTTCGTCGAGTTCAGAGACATCCGGCGAAGCTCTGTGTGTTCGACATGTCCATGGGACGGACTCGGTGACCTCAGTGGCCATTCTCGACACAGTACAGAACGGCCATTCAGTGACAATGCACATTCTCACCACAGGGCGTGACGGGAAGTACACCATTCAACGTGCTATTTGGCCACAACCTCCCACGGGCAGCATGTATCCCACAATCCACGCAGTTCATATCTCTTCGCCGCCATTCGGTCCCTACATCGAAGGCGCATACTTCACTCTCCCGGCATGTTCTACTCCGACTAATACTCCAAATCTCATACTTTACGGCTTCCGTTCGACGTCTTTTGTTGTCTGGAATGAGACTCAACAATCCATGTTGCTATCCGTTGAATGTGGTGGCGCTCATCGCTCCTGGTCATACAAAGATTCGAGTGTTGCCAGCAGTGAGGGTTCCCATCCTGGCGAACTGGATGTCTGCACAAGATCTTTCGTGTGGACAAAAGCAGGTAAAGTCAACTGGCACCGCAGTCAGGGCCAAAACCATACTATACTTCAAAAAGGCGGACACGGCCGTGAGATTAAAGCGGTAGCACGATGTCCGGCCAGTCTTTACAACACCACCATCGTTGCCACAGGAGCCGAAGATACGACCATCCAACTCTTTGCTGTGGAAGATTCTATGAAGAACAATGACCAAAAGAACTGTTCTTACGGCGCTTTCAACAGAGTTTCTACTCTTCAGGGACACACGACCGGTCTTCAGCACCTCCTTTTCTCCTCCTCGGGGGATTTCCTCTTCAGCAGCGCTGGATGCGAGGAATTCTACGTATGGCGACTCACTCCCGACATACCCTGCATTGGCATCGGCGTCGTACTGTGGGATATCATGCCTAAAAGGGATGAAGATTCAGATGCTAGAATCATGAGCTTTGATTTGATCCAGAACTCCTCTACTATCCCCGAGAATGGAGCTTCTCAGCCTACTACAGACCCAGCTGGTCTGACTGCTGCCAAAGAACAATCTTGCGACTCATACACTCTGGCCTTAGCGTACTCCAACGGCAAAACGAAGATTGTGCGCTACCAGCCTGCATCCACGAGGCAGCAGGGAATTTTCGAGGCGCAGCGCGAGATAATATACGGCTCTTTCTGCGTACTACAAGCGTTTCTTTTGCCCACGGTCCCACTGGTGGAGGATGGCCCAAGTGCTCAATGGGATGTTCTGTCGGCCGGCACGAACGGGTACATCAACCTCAGCACCGGCACGGTCGGACTCCAGTCGCATACATCGGAGAAGATGAAGGATGAGACTGCAATGCAAGTCCATCGAACGCACCAAAGCAGTGCTCTTGCAATGGACGTTGTGCAGCTGGGTGAGGCGGTGTTCCTGATCGCTTCGGCAGGCGATGATAACGGACTGGGTGTTACGCTGCTCGACTCGGTTTCGTCCTCGACCGGCACCCCAGTCCCTGCTAGCAGCACGACGGCCTCGCGACCACGCCTTAGGACCATTTTTGTCCCACGAGCCCATGCTGCAGCTGTAACGGCCCTAAAAGTAATGCTATTACCACGCACATCATCATCATCAAGGATATCTGCAGCCGTCGTTACAGCAGGAAATGACCAGCGCGTCAAGGTTTGGATTGTCCATATCGACATTCCCTCCAGTACCAGCAGCAACAACAACGACATCATGCCCAACATCAGGGGCCTAAAACTTGATGACGACCCAACATTGAATTTCATGCAGCTCCAGCGAGCAGCTAGCGCGTGGACATCTGTGGCAGACGTGAGTGGAGTCGAAATCATCCCCAAGGAAGCCGATAGGAGCTCTGCTCTATCGACCATGTCACACACAGATGACTCGGGTTCGACGGGCACAGACGGTCGCTGTATTGTACCAGAAGTGGACGCTTCAGATACTGACACGGCGAAAGACAGTCCCAGACCATTATTCAACTGCAAAGTCCTAGTCGTCGGCGTGGGCATGGAATTATTGAACTTGCAGTGGGATCAGTGATACCTACCTGCAGAGGACTGAAAGTCACGATAGTCATCGTCAGAGATATGGCTTAAGGTCCATGTAGCTTTAAAGAGTAACATACATGACCCGGAATGGTGTCTCATGTACATGACCTTTCTCCCTCTATCGATGTGCGCTACCAAAGACTTGCTATTAGCCGCTTCCTCGTCTGGTTTTCATAAAAAGAGAGCCAGTATACCAAAGACAGAGAAGGAGACATTTTGTCCTGTAAAAGTATCATGATAATGTTGTGGTATGCAAAAAGAAAAAAGAAAATAGTAGTCCCTATGGGTTTCGAACCCATGACCTTCTCCGTGTGGAAAGACATGATTAGTCATTGTAAAGGAGACGTGATACCACTACACCAAAGGACTAGATTTGTGTGCACATATCAGAGGTTAAAATAAGCTCATATAATATAAGTTTAAACAACCTAGCCCCACCTAAACCCAGAGGGAAGTGTTCTTCTCCGGGGTTTTTGATAAGCCTAGGGAGCCTAGGGAGCCTAGGGCATCGAGCCCCGACTGCATAACATTTCATTTCTACAATGTATACATTATCATGAATCCCACACTGCGTGCTATATGGTTGCAATACTACTGGGCTTGAATTTAGATGCATGCCATGCAATTACATGTTGGCACTCCTTCCAACTACGTACAAGGGCAATGTAGGCAGGGCCGGTTTCGTTGTATTACTAGTAGAAGAACTCGACAAGACACCCTCGCCGTGGAACCACCACTGGACCTGGATCTGTTGCCGCACATGTGCTTACCCGTGTCCGCGATCCTCTGATCCATGAGACTGGGCGGAAAATCATGTCCTTGGAGTCGCACAAGCAGAGTGCATTGGTACTAAAGATTGACTCATACTAGTATGATCTGCATTTGATGAAGTTGAACTACAGACCCGCAACGGAGAAGGGAAGAAATAATCAGTGCGGGACATGACCGGGAAAGACCGCCCACGACAACCGTTTCATACGAATCTGTGTTCTGCTGTCTATTGCTTTGAATCGTCAACAATCCTGAGTCACAGGTCGGCCTCCATATAAGAAGGCTCTGTAGACGGTTGGGTGAGTTGTTTGTCTCAAGGTACCATGTCTTCTTCTCCCAAGCATATGCCTGCTTCTTCTGGGATCGGGCCTCGCTGGCAAACACTTTCGTTTCTAACGATCATTCTCGCATTGGCCATTGGGATCGGGAACACCGTCCTCGAACATGGCGGGCCAGCCCGATTTTTGCTAGCATACACGCCTCCTGCTCTTCTCTCGCTAGATCAGCGGGTCCACAGAATCCTGTCGCGAACACCCTTACTCGGTGAGTTTGTACCACATGTTATATCCCCGAGCCAGAGAGTCTAGAGACACAGCCGTCTGTCTGGCTGGTTGCTCTTACGAAAGGTCTTGCCTGCTGATACAAACACCGCAATATGTCGTTGTAGACGGACATGATGATCTGGCCGCGCAAGTGCAAGAAAATTTCGGCAATCGCATCTACAGCACAGAGTTCAAGTCCAAATTCGAACAAGGTCCAATGCCAGCTCACTTGGATCTCCCTCGCCTTGCTAAGGGAAAGCAAGGCGGGTTTTTCTGGAGTGCCTGGGTCGATTGTCCTGCTGACAGGTACGACTTTTCCAATGAGAACTATGCACCTGGTAAGAGTTTACCTATTTCTTTGCTTGTATTACAGTTGGTATCTCACAAGGGTGGTCAATTAGTTGTCATGAAAGGATTAGCACAGGTCGATGTGATCCGCCGGCTACAGGCTGAGCATGCGGACCTGTTCTCGCCGCCAACACTGGAGAGCACAGCGGCAGTGGCGGCGTTCCGACGCCATGGAAAGCTCATTTCGCCCATCGGGGTGGAAGGGCTCCATATGATTGGCAGGAATGCTTCGTTGCTCAGACTATACCACTCTCTCGGCGCGAGGTACTTTACTTTGACGTGGAACTGCCACAATGCCTTTGCGGATGCCGCGGCGGTCAGCGTCGAGCCGGAGGATCCAGGCGAGATGTTTGCCGCTAGGCCGGCCAAGCCTCATTGGGGAGGGTTGAGTCCTCTGGGGACGAAGTTGATGGATGAGATGAATCGGTTGGGAATGATCGTAAGTAATGGACCTACCTACAACGCGAGCCAAACGAAGTTGTGGAAGAGAATGATTGGGATATTTGATGGATTCGGGATTATATGCTAATGTTATAAGTAGATCGACCTCGCTCATGTCAATGCAGCGACCATGCACGACGTCCTAGCTGGCAACACCACAAAGTCGTACGCGGGTAGTCGGGCCCCCGTCATATTTTCACACTCGCGGCTTTCGCGCTGTGTCCGCACCCGCGCAATGTCCCGGATTATATCTTGCCGCTGGTCAAGAAGACCAACTCGGTCGTCATGGTCACGTTCGTCCCGGAGTTTGTTTCGTGCGTCAACTCGTCCAAACCGGACAGATTGCCTACTTTTCACCCTCCGAACTCTACGCTTGGTTTTGTCGCAGATCATATCATGTATATTGGTAACAAGATTGGTTTTGAACATGTCGGCATCGGGAGCGATTTTGACGGGTGTTTCGATACGCCCAGGGGATTGGAAGATGTTAGTAAGTTCCCGGATCTGGTGCGGGAGCTGTTGGTCAGGGGATTGAGCGACGATCAAGTCGAAGGTATTGTTGGTGGTAATGTGCTACGGGTCTGGAAGAGGGTCGAAGAAGTTGCACAGGAGATGCAGGCCAGTGGCGCCTTGCCGATGGAAGATGAGATCTGAATTGCTATAGTAGTTCGGGGCCAATCATGGAGCACGACATAGAAGGATAAAAAGAGAAAGCCCAATATAGGAGCGGCAGTGCAAGCAGCTTTCGACCTACAGCGTCGAAGGCGCCATAGACGCCACGTGTAAGGAGACGTCCCGAGGATCGACACTTCTACAACACCGGCAAAAGGTTCAGCAAAGGGGCTGGGGAAGATAACCCTAAAGGGGGTATAAAGGACATGTAATGAGATATGGGTATTTGACGCTGCGAACAGAGGCTCTTAGCGCGCAATCCTGCGGGAACCGTAGAGCAAACTGGAGACAGATGAGGAGCCACACGCGCAACTTTGAGCAGGGTGATTTGGAAAGATCGCGTAGCACGCAAAAAGCTGGGTCAAGAACCGCACAATGTGTTGCTCGGATGTGGAAAAAGCAGTATTCGAAGCATAAAACGGGCTGGCGCACTCGGAAACTGGATGTTCGAATTAGTCAGGCACGCGACCACCGCTTTGCATAAGTTCATGATGATTTGCTTCGCCAGGTAGCCAGGATCGGTCTTGTGAAGGTGACGCCGGTTTTGAGTCTTTCATCGTTGGTATTTTTTGCTGGCACGGCTTCATGCCAGCTGCACAATCCTCTACCTGTGATATGTGCTTTTGTGACGCCCGGAATCAGTTGTCCGTAAAACCATGCCCTTGGACAATATGCGCATGTTGTGGCTCAACCCGATCAACCTGCAAAACGTTCACACGCCATTCCATTCCACCCGTCACTGCCTCAACACATCGCAACTCGTCTAGAATTTCTTGAAAGCCTTGACGGCCTTGCCAGTTCGGGGCAACACACGGAGAACGTTGAATCGGACCTAGGACATCCTGTCAGTATTTCCCAATGCGATTCTGATAACGTGCGGCATGGGCTATCTTACAGTCTTGCTCAGAGGTCTGCACTGGCCGACGGTGACCATATCACCTTCTTCAACACGGAAAGCAGGGGAAACGTGAGCGGCAAGGTTGGTGTGTCTCTTTTCGTATCTGGCGTACTTGGGGACGAAGTGGAGGTATTCTCGGCGGATGATCAAGGTTCGGTGCATCTTGGTCGAAACGACGGTGCCGGTAAGGATACGGCCTCGGATCGAAACCATGCCGGTGAAAGGGCACTTCTTGTCTGTAAAATGCAAAGCGCACAGGTCAGAATACGGTTCCTCCTAACACTCTCATCGCCCAGTTGGACAGAAACAAAAGTTCCAATTGTTCCGTAAATCCCAAGTCGCGCTGATCCAGGAGTGGGATTTGGAGGCAGGATTCGACTGACCGATGTAGTGTCCCTCAATGGCGGTCTTGGGCGTTCTGAAGCCGAGACCGACATCTTTGTACCATCTTCGTCCACCCTTGCCGACTCTTCGGCTCTTCGCAGCCTTCGACTTGTGGTTGAGGAAGATGTGAGGCTGCTTCTGGTAGGCGCGCTCGGACTGGACGGTCAACTCGGTCGCCATGGTTGCGGTGGTTGACGAAGGGCGGGAATTGGGTGATTGTCGTCGTCGGCGTGGTCGTGGAACTGGACTGCGAAATGTCGACTTGCAGGTTTTCTAAAAGTTGAACCCGCTTGTGCGCAACATTCTTGGCGACCAGTGGCCACTAGCCCCAAAAGAGGCTGGGTCGTGTCTCACGTGACTTTGGGCTTGTCTCGTGTTTATGATTTCCTCTCTGGGTCTAGTGCGTCGCGCCCGCAACGCTGCACTGGCTCTGGCTCTGGCAGCATACCTGCTACCGCTACTACTGGTACTGGTAGCGGGCGTTGAAGGTGGGACGCGGTTTTGGTCGTGGTCCTCGTTTGTTACAACACCGCCATTATTACCCTAATATGCGAGCAACTCCAAAACAATAACCCTCTTTATCGTATAGGCTTTGCGACCGTCGCGGTACGCAGCAATGGCTGATTCGGCCGCCGATCGCAAGGCTACCAGATCCAAATCGCGCCAGTCTATTGCACATCTTCCCTCGGCGAAGGCATCGTCCTTCAAGGACAATGTTACCACCGACGTCGCGGCGCTGCAGGCGCAACATAGCGCTGCTCAGATGGGGAAGAAGTCGCGCGGCAAGAGCTTGGGACCAGGAGGACTTGAAGCATTGAAAGAGTCCGATGGTAACTCTATCAAGGTGATTGCAACCAATGTCGCAAAAAGCCCCATGTTATTGACACTTCCTAGACCTCAGCTTCTTTCCAGATCAAGTCAATTCTCAAACCCACGATACCTCTCACGCCGCCCAAAGCAATTCCTTCCTTCGACGAATTGCGAAAGCGAAGCACAGGAAAGGGCAGATCTCCAAGCAAAAATGGCGGTGAAGAGCTCCTCATTGACTTCTCAACCCCGGGGCCTAGCAGGCAAGATGGAGGAGAAACTTCATTGTCTGGCACGGAGAACGTAGCCGATCCTTTTAGTCCAATGCGACGACGCACGCCTGGCCGCAATGAAGCGGACGGTTCTGAGAATCTCGAGCGAGAGCGAGAGGCAGAACTCAAACGCCAAGCTGAGAAACAAGCGATTTTGGAGCGCAGAGCTGCCAGGCGTAAATCGTTAGCGAACCGGAGAGTGTCTTTCGCGCCGGAGGCAACCTTACACACGTGGAGCGTCATGGAGCTCGCTGAAGATTCCACCACCAGTTCTGCATCTAACTCGACCCGAAGGCAATCGTCAATGACGGCGGCTCAGTCTCCTGCCATTGCAGCTCCAACACCAATGAGCCCCGTAGTGCCTTCTACACCGATTGAACAGCCAGAGCACCAAATTGTCGCAGAATCGCCGGCGCATCAACGGGATCTTCACCAGAAAAAGCGGCGCAGGAGGAGCTCAGGCCTTGCAGATCCGATGTTAGACGCTTCGCAAGACGAGGTTTTCTCATCTAGCCCCTCTGGGGACGTTGCGGCCAACAGCAGTCCCCTACGCGTGGAGGAAGGGATTGATTCCTCGGAGGATTCCGACACAGATGGTGACACGGCCATGAGCTTAGACGAAGGCACTTCAAATACTGTTGCCTCCCAAGATTCCAGTTCAAGCACTCAGTCTAGCTTAGAGGATCGTCTCCGTCAAGCCGCGAGTCACGCCGGCACGCGAGGCATTGATTACGATGAAGACGCCGACGAGATGTCTATGGAAATGGCCACAGGTACCGTGACCCATGCATTTCAGCCCTGGACACGCAGCCGTGGCGAAGAGCAGGAGCATACAGGCATGTACGACCAAGAGAATGTAAATCCTTTCTCTTCTGTAGGGCAGGTTGCAACTCTACAGAAACCGGGAGGCGCTGAGGCAGAGGAGGATGACAACCAGACAGAAGGCATGACAATGGATGTCACAAGGGCTGTCGGTCGCATCGTATCCAAACAGTCTCCAAGAAGGAAGGAAGCAAGATCGCCAATATCACGTCGAAGAAGCAGTGTTGGCCGCCGCATGTCCTCTGGAGAAGATTCCACATGCGATGAACCTATGGAATTCACGGTCATGCAAGGCGGCATCATTGATGACGAGCCTGAGCCCGCAACTGGAGACATGACCCAGGTACGAGGAGGCGTCGAAGATATGACAATGGATTTCACAACTGCTGTGGGCGGGGTTCTAGGCAGTTCTGCGCGAAGAGAATCCGGCATTTCTGAAGCGACTGAGGAAAATGAAAGCATGGACATGACAACTGCTGTGGGAGGCATTCTTGCTCCCATTGAGGAGCAAACCGAGCCTCAGACTGATGTTGAAGATGAGCAAACAGCTGCTATGGAGATGACTCAGGCCGTGGGTGCTATTCTTAACGAGCCTCCGCCGGGAGCGAAAAGAATAACCAGAAGATCATTTGGCAATCGTCCCTCTGCCAACGATGCTTCGACGACGCCGAAGGGGCGGCCTATGCAGCAAGCCAGTCCAAAGTCGACGCCGAAATCCCAACAACACCTGGCTTCAGTGGCGTCAGAAACTGGCAGTCCAAGTCTTGCACTAAAACCACGGTTGTCTGGAAGACCGCAGCGAGCAGTGACGAATCCTTCCACCACTCCCCAATCCAAGCCGCCAAGCAGTACGCCCGTGAAGTCTGCAAGCAGGTCCCAACATGGGACCCCATCCAAACAGATTACTCCTCTGCCAACACGCGCAGAAACGCCCAATAAGACGCCGCTTTCTGCCAATGTCAAGCACCGAGGCGCGTCACCGAAGAAACTGTTCAAGGCTGAGATCGAGGCTAGGTCTTCACCGGGATCCGTTAAGCGTGAAGTAAATATGAAAGCGAACAGTCTCTTCTCGAGAGACGTAGAAACAGGTCAACATACTCCAAGCGTGGTTCTGAAGGCGTCAAGACCATCGTTGACACGACGAAGATCGAGCGGCATCGGGATTGATAAAGATGGCATTGGGTCACCTCGAGTCTCTGAGATACTAGATCGCAGAGCCACAATTGGTGATAGTGTACCTCAGTTCAAACTGGGGGCTAAGGAGCCGGCGCAATTACGCTTTGAAGATCCACAGCAACTCGAGCATGAGGTCGAGGCTGAGCGAGCCGAAGAACATCGACGCGAAAGTGGGCGGTTCATAATGGAGCAAGAGGCTGATCAACAGCAAGAAGAAAATGCGACAATGCAGCTCAAAGATATGATTGACGCCTTGTCTCCGGCAAAACCAAAATCCGGCAAGCTCAAAGGTAGAAAGAGCCTGGCAGTCGGCGGCGCGAAGGGCATTCTGGGCAAGAGGCCAGCAGAACTCGATATGGATGATGATGAGGAGGAGGCGGACTCGACCCCTAAGCGGCTGAAAGCCGTCTCTCGAGAAGGCAGTCCCGTAAAGAAAGTTCATCTTCCAAAGCCGCCGAGCAAGGACGAAACAACAGGCAGATTGAAGTTCCTTCAGGATGTCACAGTCGCGGAGAAGCTGACCCCTACTGTCGCCAACTCCTCACCCAAGAGAAGTACTGTTGCAAAGAGTCCATCCTCTGTCGGCCGGTTTCGCAATGCTGAAAGCGACGGCAATGGCAGGCCAACCTCTTTCGAGGACAAACTCGACAATGTTGTTGGGGCCATTGATGTTTCTACAGCTCAGATGGAACAAGGGCGTGTCGAAAACGAACAGGAAAAAATCTCCTTGCAGGAGTTCCTGAACATGACCAATATCCATTTCATCGAGCTCTCTACAACCAAGAGAAGACATACGATGGCGCAAACAATGCCTCCCAGAGAATCCCAGGAAGGGCTTGATGCCAACCCCACAGAGGCGACATTCGTCGCCGCAGCCACAACCCTGCCCCTCCTCGAACTATATCAACATGCGACCAGAGAGTTGAAGTCCTACATTTCTACCGGCCGAAAGATCATTCGCACAATAGAAGCTGAGACGCTCGCGGAACAACCGCCACTCTTCCGTGAATACCTCGACGCGCGACCGGACGTGAGAGTGGTGATGGACAATCAATTCCGCAACGGCAAAGCCAACGCTCGACTTCAAAGCAAGGAAGGGTGGTACCAATGGCGGGGGCAGCTCGTGGATGGCCTCAGAGTTGGTCTTGAGGACATTAATCAAGGAATAACTGCGGACATGGCACTTCTTGATCAACAGAAGGAAGTTTTGGATAAAGTCCTCCCTCAGTTAATCCATGAGCAATCCCAACTCGAAAAACAAAAGGCGTCTCTGAAGCAGAAGCTGGAGGAACTAGACAGTGTCGACCAGGGAGCTCTCAACGAATGCCGCCGACAATTGCGGGTTGCCGACGACTACTACCTTCAGAGGTCCGCCCTGCTGGACACTCTGCGAGAACAGATGAAAGAGAAAGACGAGGCTCTTGCTTCTGCAAAGGAGTTAAAGGTCGAAATGAACGACCAAATTGCAGAAGCGGATCGAGTGAGGGAAGAGCACAAGGGCTGGCGTGCTGCTGATGTTCTAGCAGCCAAGTCGCGAGTGGACGACGTTGAGAAACGGACAGGCTGGCGTCTATTGACCGCCGAAGAGGAAACGGATGAACCCAACGATTGCGGGCCTGCATTGACTATGGTATACAAAGATGTCCTGCGCTTGTTCTTCTATCCGCAAGCCTTCCAGCGCAACGCAGCCGGTCCGCCTCGAAGACGGTCAGGGAGAAAATCTGCGTCTACCTCGGGTCCGACCGCTCCAATTAGCCTGACATTTGCACCCACAAACGATGCCGACGATGACGATGAATCGCGGCCGCCTGCGGAGTTGCCGACAGAAAAGCGCTTCCTCTTGCAAATGATCCGGAGTCAGCTGCACGTTTTTGCCATGATGCCAAAGGGGTCTGTGGCGTCCAAAACGCTATTGTCGACTGTTTCTCAAGGCTGGGATCTCGCTTGCAGATTGTCCGAGGAAATACGGCTGCTTAACCTGGTCGGGATCACGACAGCTTCAATACTAAGCGATGAGCGGTTGGCGGTTAAGGTGGTTTTGGTGCTTCCGAATCGAGGCGGACGCATTGACCTCGAGTTCACTCTCACAGCCACCATTCTCAATGACGGTGCCATTGTATCTTCCTCCAATGTCATTGCCAGTCCTATCTACGGTTCCTTTTTGAGGTTGTTGAGTGGCGGCAAGAGCAGGAAAGTCCAACATGCTCTAGGGAAGGAAGTCGAGAATAGGACGCTCGGTGAAGGTGCTTGGATCAGTGCTGTTCAAGGGTTTCAGACATGGCTTCAACATCAACAGCAACAGCAGCAGCAGCAGGCGACGTCAAAACAGCAAAAGGTCGCCACCGAAAAGAACATGGACCGGAGTGTCGTCGAGCCTAATTCCACGGCTTCGTCTGCTCTTGATCCTGGCCAGATTGAGACCGCAACGGCCGCCCAGGGTTCGATTTCAGCGACATCAGCAACGTCGACTCAGCCCGCAGCCTCAGCCTTGGCCGTGGCTGCACCACCTACTGCCAGTGTCAAGCGCTCACCTCTTGCGCCAAGGCGGACCAATGCCATCCAGAAGAAAGCATTGCCAGTTCCCAAACAGCGCCTTGTCGAGAAATTTGCGTCGTCCGTCTCATCAGCTTCTGCCGCTGCGACTTCAGGGAATAACAAGGAGAACTTCAATCCGTCCCTTTCGACTTCTGGGGCTGCAGCAGCTCACAAGATGTTTTCTATGTCACAAATGTCACATGATGAGGCTGCTGTTGTAGAAAAGGATTCCGAGTCCCACACGCCGCTACAGGTGCCTAGAGCGGCCATCCCGCCCGAAGTGCAGGAGGCCATGATGCGGACTCCTATCAAGCGTGTCGGGGCGTTGAGAAGGAGTCCGATATGATTGGTTTGATTCTGATGGGACGCGGCGGTAGAGTAGGTGAATAAGATGATGATGTTGGTGATGCATACTGTTGGTGCAAGATGGCGTTGTTTTGGTTTTGACGAGGTGCCAGCAATGCGTGCCTCGTTTCTTTGTCTTTAATGACTATGCGGTGGGTTTCCTTTCACTTGCGAGGGCCTGGAGTATCGGCTATGATGTCTGGTTGTGTCTGGTCTGGTTTGGCTCGCTTCCCTTTTGGTTGATAGGGGTACTGTAACTCTGTTACAATAGTTGTCTACCTAGATTGGATAGTTGGACATGTACAGTGCAGCTTGCTCCTATTACTCTACTTACCTGCTTATCTTACCTATCTGTCTGTCTCCTTGTTCCGGTTGTCTGTGATCTTTTGTATCCAATCCAGTCAGTGCACCTGTTTTACGATAGGCAGTGATAACCTGGGGTGCATAATGTACATACTAGTAGTAGGTAAACGGGTCAAGAGTAGTAGTGCAGTTTTGAGTACAGTACATACAGTACATAGGTACACTACAGTCAAGAAAGTACAGTACGGCGAGCTCAGCGTTACTACCACCCGCCGCCACCACCTTTCCCACCACCAAACCCGCCAGACTCATCACTTGCAGTGATAGCCTTTTTAGCCGCACCACGCTGGCTCTTCTGCTGAGCGGCCTCATGCTTCCTCAATTCTTCGGGAACGCGACTGATCGAGCTCTTCATGAGCATCTGCTTGAGATCGTAAAGAACATCAGCATCCTCATTGCCGAGGAAGGTGATGGCGACACCGCTCTTGCCCGCACGACCGGTACGGCCGATACGATGGGTATACGACTCAATATTGTTCGCCATATTGAAGTTGACGACAAGAGACACATCGGGGACGTCGATACCGCGACCGGCGAGATCGGTGGCGACCAAAACATCGGTTTTGCCGTCGCGGACGGACTGCAGGGCGGCCTCGCGCTGCTCCTGGGTCTTGGAGCCGTGCAAGGTAACCGAGCTGAAGCCCATGGACTTGATGTCGCGGGCGACGGCGTCGCAGTTGCGCTTGATGTTGACGAAGACAATAATGGGAGGGCGGAACTCGCCCGAGGCCAGGATCTGCTGGAGCCGTTTCTTGCGCTTGTCTTCGCCCGCGACAAACTCGACTCGTTGCTCCACTGTGTCCACGGCCTCGCCGACATTGCCGATTGTCACGATCGCCGGCCGCCGCAGGTATTTGCGGGCAATCCGCTCCACCGCCGGCGGCATGGTCGCCGTGTACATCATCGTCTGCCGGTAGCGGATGTCCCTGCCGCCAATGTGGCTCGACATGGCCCTGCTGTCTTCGGCAGCTTCCGAGTCCGGCTTTTCGTTGCTGACAGGAAGGGCGTCGAGGATCTTGTTGACGGGTTCTTCGAATCCCATGTCGATCATGCGATCGGCTTCATCCATGATCACGTAGCAGCATTGCTCTAGAACAATAATCCGCCGCTCAATGCAGTCCACGAGACGACCGGGCGTGGCGATGATGATCTCGGCTCCGTTGCGAAGGTTGTAGGCTTGTTCCTCGATCGAATGTCCACCGACAATAGACACCACGGTGAAGCCCAGGGGCGTTGCAAACTTTTTCGCTTCAATCTCAATCTGTTGCGCCAGTTCACGCGTCGGCGCCAGAATAATGGCGTAAGGGCCGTTGTTCCGTCGCATCTCATCTTCGTCCAGTCGAGGCAGTTCTGAGATATAAACAAGAAGCGGAAGTAAGAAGGCGGCCGTCTTACCAGACCCAGTCACAGCCACACCGATAAGATCTCGATTCTGGAGGGCGATGGGGATGGCAGCTCTCTGGATAGGTGAAGGGTCCTTGTAACCGACTTGCTCGACAATCTGCAACAACCGTCTGGGGAGTCCCGACTCTTGCCAGCTCCGCATGGGGTTGGGTATGCCGCCACCTTTGGTGCTGATGTTGAAGTCTTCCTTGAAGATACGCCAGTCTCGTTCGCGCATTTGATCCAACCTCTTCTCGCTCCAATGTTTGTCGATCGCCATCCGGTTGGACTCCTCTTTTCTTTTCCGCTCCATTTCAAGAATCTCTTGAGCTCGTGCTGCTCCAGCTTCTCCATCCCTCGACTGTAAGGCTTCGGCATATTTTCTTGCTGCAGCCTCCGCGGCCTGGTCGTCAAATCCACCTAACCTGCCTCGTCCGAAGAAAGTGGGTTGCGCCCGCTCGTTGTAGATGGGATTGTAATCAGGCGTGGTGTCTTCCTCCGTGTTCCACTCGAAATTGAACTTCTTCTCGGTCGTGCGCCGTCGCTTCTTTTGGGCCGAAAAGGTCGAAACATTCATGTTCGCCCCCATGTACCTCTGTCGAATCAACTCGAGTTCTGCCTTTTCTACAGGATCCTCTTCAGCCTGTCGTTTCTGGGCTGACTTTGAATCACTTCCGCCAAATGCGATTGGCTTGGGTGGGGGAGGCGGCGCCAAATCGACACCTCTGTTGGGCTCCCGCGACCGCATCGCAGCAGGACCTGTTGGGATATCTCCATTGCGTTGGGCTCTCGGTCGGTTCGGTACCGACGAGTTGGACTTGGATTGCTCGGGCTGCGTCGGTGGACCGACCGAATCCTCGCGAAGAATACCATTTTGCGATTTTGCCGCGCCTGCCGCCTCGACTTCCTTTGCGCGTTTCTCCAAAGCCAACCGCTCACGCTCCGCTCTCGTCAAGAACTTTGGCTTGCTGGCAGCCAGATCGGCCTCGCGCTTCTTCTTCACCAGCTCTTCCACGCTCAGGGGCGTGACTTTGGGCGCTTTGGTAGAACCCCATCCTTTCTTCTTGGGCGGAGGCTGAGGCCTTGACTCGTCAACGGAAGGCTCGGGGAAGTCACTCGGTGGTGGTGGCACGGGCTCTGGCGGCGGAGGCGGGATTGCGTTGTCAGACGGGGGTGGAGGCGGCGCAACATCTGACAAAGGTGGAGGTGGAGGAGGGTTCGTTGCTGTAGACGGAGGAGGCGGAGGGGTCTGTGGTCTTGAGATAGGGTCAATAGGCGGTGCTGGGACGTCAATTTCTTGGTGGCCGTTCACCATTGTAGTCGCCATGCCGGCGTGTCTGGACGCAACTCAGAGTTGCGAATCAGCAGGACGGACTGTAGATAGGAATCTGTATGAACGGTGACAAGACAGGATATGTTCTGCCGGTCTCGTTGGCTTGGACTGTGGAATTCTTTACACAGAATCCCACCGCGACGTACTTTCTACAATGTTGTAGTAGAAGTTCTGAACTTTGCACTTGAAGATGAAGGCGAATGTACAGATCGGTCGTTCAAGACGCCAAGCGGCTGCGGTCCCGCATTTGTGAATTGATAAACTGGCACGTGATAAGGCTGAGATGTTGCCTTGTCCGCCCCCGAAGTTTCCATCGCCATCTCTTCGACCCTCCGCCCGTTCCCTCCCATGGCAATCTGTAGGTCCTCCCTCTCGGACATTGATCTTTTAATCTTTTATCTGGATCAAACGTAATATACGACCCATGAGAGAGGCCAGATGTCCCTCGTTTCACCCAGTGGAGCACACCATTATAGGTCACCTCAGCCCCACCCGTATCTTTGTATTGTACACTGACCCAGTGAGTGAGTGAGGCGGCTCCCTGGAAGGACTATTTGACGGAGTTCAGGTACTGTATCTATTTCTCCGCTATCAGTGTCAGCAATCCGTTCTAGAAACACCACTTACAAAAGATCCGCTTCGTTTGTGCCCCCACCCCGTTCCGTTCTGTATGACAAATATATAAAGGCTTAGATATTTATGTTTCCAATATAAAGATTAATAATCAGCAAGACCACCTCAGACAAACACATTCAATCCAACAAAACCCCCTGTGATCTTGTTTGATACTACAACTTTCCTATCCCCCTTGACCTATATCCAACCTTCCAAACATTCCAGCCATTCTGACTAGGCTCTCAATTTCCACCAACACCAACACCAATTTCAAAATGGCCAGCAAAACCACTCCTACCACCACGGACCAGAACCTCCAATTCATACTCTCCGTCAAAGTCTGGATCCCAGCATCCAAGCAATCCGAATTCTTCTCACTATTCAAACCCGTCTATGACGCCTGCGTTGCCGAAGAGGAATGTCTGTTCTTCGTGGTCGGTGAACCAGAAGACGCCGGCGACGGCAACATCAGCATCAGCTGGACCGAAGGCTGGACCAAACCTGTGGAGTGGTTCATGACGGTGCAGATGAAGAGAGATTACTACGAGCCGTATATGAGTACGACCGAGGCCATGTTTACGAAGCCACGGTGGTTTGAGATTCTGAAGCCAAAGGATGGTTACACAGCTTTTAAGTTGCAATCGCAATCGCAATAGCAAACGCCTGCAATGAGTGCCGCCGGCGAGGCCAAGAGCAGTTAAATCAATCCGCGATCACTGCATCCCAAGTTGTTGCGCTGGGTTAGGAAAAGGTTGTTGTGTTGTTTGGAATTGAACAAAGTGTTCTTGTCTCTTCCCTTGACACAAGCAAACGGTCCACAGGGGCTCGGAGTCGAAACGTAGGTTTATTCGAGCAGATGGGGGAGGAGCTTGCATCCCGTGGCCGGACATCATCCCGTGGTCGCAGACGCTTGGGGTGTGTGGGAGACCATGTAAACAAAATGAAGCATGTCACAAAAAGAAAAAACACCGGACCTTCATCAGTACAATCATTATGATTTTTGGTATTGACAATTGAGACCTCATACACTCGATTTCCGAGATATTGTAAGAAGGGCCTCAAAAAAAGAAGGTGCAGTGCAGCCTTCTACCGAATTCCAATCGCTATGCCCAGATACTCATACCCGCCTTCATGACGGTTTTCAGATGAACCTACCGCGACCAGAGAATGGCGGCCAACGGAGGGTTCGAACAATATTGTTGTCACACAACATTATGCGTACCGGATCGGCGGAGGCTATAAGGACAAGGTTATGTTAGTACGTACTGCACAGGTTGGCGCGGGGTGCGAGGAAGAGTATCAAGTGACATACCTGACCATTAACAACTCCTACAATGCCCTTGCTGGGATCTGTGAGTGCTTTGGGCAACTTTTGAACGGAGATGGGTCCGTTGATCTCCCGATCAAGGGTCATGTACTCTTTGGCGGCGTCCTTGGTGCCCTTCTCCAACAAGTATTTCATGTATGTGGTAACGAGCTGCTGAACAGTGGACTCGCCGAGACGGCTCTTCGTAAGGATCTCATCGACCACGCGTCTAATTCGGTCGTGGTGTGCTTGTTCCGTGTCGGCTGTTGTGGGCTGTTCAATCTCGAAACGAAGATAGTTGGTCCAGAAAGCCGGGCTGTCGAGATACCAATGTTGGTTCTTTTGGAACACTTGTCGAGCTTCTTCCGGTGCGCCTTTCACCTTCCACAACAAACCTGCCCATTCCGCCACGAGAGCGGCTTTGGCTGAAAGATCGATTGTGGGGGCGTCAATGTGACTCTGGTAGACGGCCAGGGCAGCATCGAGTCCAGAATGACGGCGAGTGGTGTTCGCAAGAGAGACAATGGTTTCGACGTGTCCGGGCAGTTGAACGAGAATAGCCTCGTGAATATCCTTGGCCACATCAACTCGTCCGGTCATCTCTTCAAAGTAGGCATATTGAAGTCTGACGGTTGGAAGAGCGATGGGAACAAAAATGCAAGCTGCCCGCTGGTAGATGTTTCGGACTTCCTCTTCCTTGCCCGGTTGGCCAAGCATCCACCTAGCATACCTCAACCAAAACTCCTCGTATTGGGCACAGGTTACCAGGCACCGCTCGTACAAGAACTGGATGCGCGTATAATCGCCTTCACTCTCCTCAAAGTCGAGGTACTTGCGCCAATTCGCCAATTGGGCTTCATCCAAGTCTGTCACATGGAAATAGGGTCGCTTGATTTCAGCCTCGTAGGTCCATCGCTTCGTCGTCTCGGTCTGTGTCACCCTGAACAGTTCGAGATGGTAAGCGTCGATCCGTACCCGCAGCTCGCGTTCCACTTCTGTCTGACTGAGACCGGCTTTGTATCCGAGACCTTCATTCTCGAGATCCATCTGTAACTGAGTGAGAGTCCCGGGAGGCACGATGGCAGTCAGTGGTCTTGTTTGAGCCATTTGCCGGTACTTTTCAAAGTACCTCGCATACTGATGCATCGGAATGCTGATAATTCTGGCGAGAATCGCAAAGATTCGATCAAACGACTCCAGACGCTCTTCGAACTCGATGTATTTGTCCCAGAACGGGTGGGCGAGGAAGTCGAGGCCTACGTAAACGGCGCCTCGCTCAAAGAGCCTATTCATCACTATTGTCAGTTTCGTCGAAACAACAAAAAAAGGGGTCAGGAGATAGGGGGCGGAGGAAGCAAACATGAATATGCCGGATCTAGTACGCGGTATATGTGAGAGTCCCTGAACCATCTGCAACATGTGTTTGCAGGAGGAGTGATGATGATGGGCACAGGGGCCGTCCGAGAAGCAAGCAAATCAACGCGCCTGACTGACGATATGTGAGAAGCAATCCAGAAGGGAAATGGCTGACGACGATCTCACCAATCTTGAGGTGGCCGTCGGCATTCTCTAATAGAACCGAGAGAGCGGTCTGTCGTCGTCTCTCTGACGTTCGAGGCATGCTATGTTTAGGTCTCAACAAGAGGGAATCTTATCTGTATACTTACTCTCGGATGACGTCGGCGTCGTGGCAGGTCTCGGATTTGAAGGCGCAGTAGTTGGTCCATAAGTCGACCGAGTTTGTGATGCTTGCAACACCTCGTTCATAGACCTGCCCCATTATCAGTATGCGCTTTCAACTTGTAGAATCCATGGCGCTATTCTCTCACCATCTCGGCGGCTTCGGTCCCGGCTATGGCAAACTCCATGTCGGCATATTTCTTCCAGTAGCCAAAGAACAGCGGAAATTTGGCGAGGAGACGATCATATATGTTTCTGATCGTGGTAATCGCTTGTGAACTTGAGTTTCTGTTGATTCCGCCCTCGAGCGACTCTCCTGCGCGTACCAACTTCTCCCATATTTCAAAGTTGTCTGGATCATCATTCTATCGCGAGATGAACGTTAGTGGCCTGACCCCCATGAAGGATCTAGTCTCAACATACCACCTCTGCAAGGAGCTTTCGCAGCTCGGCACTCTCCTCGTCATTTCCACCGTAGGCGTCCATATGGACGTAGTCCGGTAGGCAAGAATTATAGGAGCCGCGGACTGTGATACGTCTAGGAAATTCTGCGGTCGCTGTCTGCTTATGGGTGATAACAATTCTTTCGCACAGATCGTCTGTAATACTGAATGGAATACGTGAGCCTGTGGCAGCTAGAGTGTAAGGGTATGTCTAAGGAAGCGCGCAGGCTGAAGTACCTACAACTTGCAGTGAAGTCAAGTCAACCTGCGCTCTGGAAAGTCAATTCGTGCCAAGACACGTGAAAACAGCCTTTCCCGTACTTCACCCGGATTGGGCCCAAGGACGATGCCGCCCTGTGGACAGTTCGGACCGCCGCGCTCTGCAAGTTCTCGACATCCTGTAACACGTTGAAGTACAAAGCACAGGATATTGTCTCTGTGCTTTTTTGTCATCGACTGTCGGCACTCATTTTCCCTACGTATCACGCCCACTACGACCGACACCTGAAGTGATCACCTCACCCGGAGGCAGCGGGCTCAATAGCCCTTTTCTTCACCTACCAAACTTTTTGCGTGCGACCGGCCATTGGAACGAGAGCTGATCGAGGAAAGTTGAAGTTGTAACATCCACCATGGAGGGCGCCGTACAGAAACTCAACCTGCCGACGCGGCTGGTCAATTTCTTCGCCCGATACCCGCCGCAACTATACTCTGCCAAATTTACTGGGGTCAGACTGCCTCTGACGCGGAAAGAGGCCAAAGAAGCGGCCATTGCCAAAGCCACGCAGAAAACCACAATCACAGAATCTACTACTAGTACAACACAAGGCGAAACCGTGACGCGGATAGAGGTTGAAGCCTCTGCAGAAGTCACCACGACACCACCGACAACAACATCTTCATCATTATCCTCTTCATCTAATCAACCTACGATACCCACGGTGGCAGCGAACGATCTTCCTCCGAACCCATTCCTCCCGCGCAAGAATCCCATTACCGGACGATGGGCTGGCGCCAAGATCGGACTGCGTCGACAGGCAGAGCTGGTCAAGCTGGCTCAGAAGCATGGCATAGAGGAGCTTTTACCCCCAAGTAGGAAGTCTTCGGCCTTCAAGGAGGCGCGGTTGCTGGAGAGAGGACTGCGTGTCAAGGGTACAGGCGAGGGCCAGAAGGTCAAGGGTCACAAATGGGAGAGACATGTCGGCGCGAATCTGGACAAGAGGAGGGCCGCCATGGAGAACATGCCGGAGATGATCAGAGAATGGAAACAGGTAAGGCTCCTTTCTGGCCGTCGTGCTTGCAGGATCCGTTATGCTAACTACATTTGCAGAGAGGACATGGCAGAGGATGGAAGAAATATCCGAAATAGTTCTTTACTTTTTGTCTATTTCCATTGGCTGGTGTATGCACGCCGCATCTCTCTGTATAGATCGCATTGCACTGCGGCAGTCGGTCGAGCGATTAAGCATCGCCTGGCATTTATACGTCAATATTCAGCCCTGATACTCCTGTGGGTGGCTGAGTATCGCCGGTATCCTCAATCAGCCCGTTCCCCACTTAGACAACAAGGTGTGTGTTATCGGGGGATACTGTTGTTGCTCTATGGCATTTTCCGGGGCATCTCTCTTGTATATACAATCTCCTCAGGTAGCTCAACAGACGAGGCTGTTTGTATAAATATAATAGCTCTGACTTCGAGTGCTAAATGCAAAGACCAGCGGCAGCCGAGCGCTAAGTCTAGGCAAGTTGTCCAGATACCGCAAGCCAGTTGACTAATCCTTACCAGACCGCCAATGGGGCTGCACATGCCGTCATCTGCGCAGTACGTCCCCTGGATTCCCGGAGGTGACTTTGAGGCCGACTTTTTGATGACACTCGCATGGCATGGGGTTTGGTCCATCACCATGGCCGCTTAAGTGCATATTGTCCGGCAAGGGCGCGAGATGACCAGTCTTTGTATCATTCGGAGGTTCGTCAATGCTGCTCGAAACCGTGCACCATGTCTCCCATTCGACAGCCTTCTAGCCACCTCAATATTCACCGCTTGCTGGCACGGCTGGGGAGGTCGAACTGCTGCCCGGCTGGTACGAACGTCGCTCTGCGGTACTAGTTTCGCTCACCTGTTTACCGGTCGATCACTCTGGTTTCGCGCCATCAGGTAGGCTTCTTATCCGTCTCTGAATGGGGCGGAGACGACGACGGTAGCATGGAGCTTGTCGAGGGTGGTCCCCAGTTGTAGAGATGGCTCGGTGTCCCTGAGGGCGGAGACTTGGGCGGAGACTTGGGCGTCTTGGATCCGGTCGAAGCAGTCAGTCAACTCAGTGATCGGAACCCGGTGGGAGTCAGGTGCGGCCTGCCTCAACAACCATAACTGGCCTCGTCAACTCGCGGTGTGCTCTCATGCCGCGGCGATATTGCACGTAGGCGTAAGAGGGATGCGTCTCGCACCATGGTAGCTGAACAAACCCCTAGCAGGTGGCGCAGTTTCGAAGCCGCAAAGTAAGCTTTGGGCACTGACTGAGAGTCTAGATGAAGGTCTTGCAATGCCTTCTCTTCACCAGTGTTATCCATAAACAGAGCAGGAAACATGCCCCGACCATCATAACAAGCCCACTCCAGAGCTGTAAACCAAGGTAGCCATGGCCACCAATTCCAACCAGGGCCCCTCCAATGGGGCTGCCTATCAAAGAAGCAGTGGCGCCGACCGCCTGAGCCATCCCAAGGCGCGCCCCGAGAACTTTAGGGTCGGGACAGACGACGGGGAAGATGCTGGGTGGAAGGGGGATTAGAGCACCACTAAAACCTCCTGTGGACTGTAAGCATTTGTGCAAAATCCAGGTTCTGACCCTAAGCTGTGATGTTGAGTACTTACCATACAAGGCCGCAAATGCCAGAAAGGAACCTGTGCTGTGTACACCTGCCCATGCCATGCAAAGCACTCCGGAAAGGGTCCCACAGGTCAACCAGGGAATCATGACCCCGAAGCGAAGGGCTGCCGTGGCGGCTAGCAGTCGTCCGACAACAGACACGCCCTGAGCTATCACAATAGAATACAGCGCCAAGGAACGTGACAAGCCCAGTTCGACCTGCGCATAACTTGCCATGTAGAAGAAGGGCACCATGTAGCCACAGAACAACTGTATATCAATCGTGCATCAGCTCAGGCTCTCACAGGAGGGGTTGATCCGCGACTTACGAAAAAGTTGGACCATGTATACAACCAGAAAGCCAGATCTTTCAGTGCTGCTATGTCAAACAGCTTGCGAACTGTCCCACTAGAAATATCGCCGGTGTTTGCGGTCCCCCAAAGCAAGAGAGGAAATGCAATAATGTAAGACCCCATCATGATGAAGCCCATCACCCTTACTGTCCATGCAAAACCCAGAGAGTCGATGGCTTGATCGAAGGTTATGGTATATATAATACCTCCTAGATTCGGTCTGTAAGCAAGCTGTAGCCCCAACGAGTCCGGCAGAAAACCAACCAACTGGTGCACCGCTGGTGACAATTCCCATGGCCATTGCTCTCCGCCTGCTGAACGACCGACTGACAAGGGCTAGTCCTGGGATGTACAAAACGCCACAACCCAAACCCAAGCAAATGCCCTGAGTCATGAAGATTTGGTAGTATTTATGTGAGAGACTAAGCATGAAGATGCCGAAACTGGACATGGCCGCCCCACCGAACAGCATCATTTTGTAGTAACCCAGGTCGAATGCTGGGCCAGAAATGACGCCGGTGAGGATCAGAAGATAGGCTGCGATCGTCCCGACCCAAGAGATGTTTGATGGTGACGTGTCCTTCAGAAGGTCGAGTTCGTAGTAGCTCTGGAAAGGACCAAACGAAAAGGTGAACCCCCTTGACGCAAAAACCGGCATTAGCTTTCTAGTCCGGACATGTCGAGAAGAGGTTCATACCAGACATTGAAAAATACGAGCCAACATCCAAGCACTTGAAGCCATGCTCTTATGCCTCCGTCAGGGACAGCTGACGGCGGTGGCGGACTGAGCGCTTTCTCCTCGATCGGAACCTCAAGGGCATTGGGAGAATCATGAACCGATATTGTTTCGACGCCCATTTTGGCGACTTCCTGCTCTGGGTATGCCATGCCAGTAATAACAAGATTGGTTCCAGGCACTGTTGACCGTATTCTCCAGCCTCGGTCGAGTTGTACCGACCCCTCCCAATCAGCCAATGTTTGGTTCACACAGAACACATTTGAGTGTGATCAATCCATAACCATGATATGGGAGAACAGTCGAGATCTTCTAGGGTTTGCGGGATCCGGGGTAAATTTGAGTAGACTGGGGATGAAGAAACGGAAAGGACGGCAATGAAAGTACATAAGATAATGACAATTGCGGCAGAAGGGTTTGGCGAAGTCGTCCACAGTAATAATTGCGGCAGCCAACAGAACTCGTACTAGTAGACTAGATGAAAGGGTGAGCCGAAGTGCCGGTGTAGGGGTCATCAATCCACCTATGGCTATTCGACGGCTTGAGCGTCCATGAGGATGTCAATAGCATGGTCTCGTTGAACAACACTGGTAGTGCCCAGGAACCGAGGCTGCTAGCACAGGCCTGGCGGAGGGTGAAAGGGGCTTCCATTATAAATCGGATCTTGGATCAGCGTGGAGAAAGATCGCGGAATCCTTGACCGGCATTTGATACACATGCTAAAGATGCCATTTCCCATCTGGAAATTGTTTGCTTCATCTTCAAAGCGAAATTCTTTCCCGATATCCCTCCGCATCATGAGGAGGCCGGTAGGTTTTCGGGGGCAGGGAAGCAGTTGGTCGGCTGCAACAGTGGAAGGCAGCTGTCCTTTGACTCGCTGCCAAGGGTCCTCGCTCGTGCCTGAATGTGGGGAGAAAGATGTTCTTGGGTCTTGACGTCCAACGGCGGAACTCCAGCGCGAGGCGTACAACTCCGTTGGGGGCAGGATGTGGATATTCAAGGACCGTTGTCGTTCTGAGGACAGCGAAGAAAAACTGAGCACTAGTACAAACACTGCATGTGTTGTTAGCGTAGACTAGCCTCTCGCTATGCTGTAAATTGTATGCCTAACTTTTCTGTAGTGCAGACACTAGTGGCTAGCGTTCATATAACCTTTAAGGTAACACCGCTGGCACTTCCGCCGAACTTCGCTGTTTGCGTGACACGGCTCTCACATTGCCTCATGTTTTGACGGGACCGTGTTCGACTACTCTACCCGTGGTTAGCAGTAAGGTATAATCGACTCCCCCTGCTGCTGGGATCATACACAGTCATCATTACTTCGACATATTATGTACCATGCCCTGATCCGGACCCACCATATCACCTCAAAGAAAAAGATAGCACGCCTCAAAACTGCCGCCAAAGCGCTCCAATGCTTTGCTCTGCTTCGCTCTGGCGGCGTCCCCGGAGTCATGTATGTTCGGGGCGAAGACAAATACAACGTGCAGAAATGGGTCGACACAGTCCATGAGTTACGGTACAAAGACTACCAGCTCGTCGCCCCAGTGCACGCTGTCCCACCAGATACGCAGCTCGAACGAGATGCTGGCGACTCCGAGCCATCACTAGGTATACTAGAAGAAGTCGACACCGTCAAGGAAATGGCTGCCCATATGGAAAAGAGAGGACTTCAGAAGTGGTGGCGAGTGGCCATGAGATTCGCTCGTGAATGAAATTCAGCCATGAGATAGTAGATGGCTGAGACCCGCAACACTTGCAAAGTATCCATGCGACACATCCGTATCACGGATTGTGAAATTGGAGGCATTGAACCTCGTTTGAGTTCCTGTATGTCCGGTGCTCCAGACCAATGACGACAATATTATGTTCTAGCTCTACAGCAATATTATATTGCTGGAACTATCACGCCCAGAGCACCCTTCACGCCATGCAGAACCGACCCAGACAATATCTTACAATTTTTGGTACTCGAGCTTGCCCTCCAACTTCTTCGCCTCGGCCACCTTCCGCACAGCCTTGTTGAAGTCATCCTGATTTACTGCATCTCGGTAGTCCTTGATGGCGAAAAGTCCGGCTTCGGTGACGACGTTTCGCAAATCAGCTCCGTTCAGCCCATCGCTCATCTTGACCACGCTCTCGAAATCGATGTTGCCTTCTGTCACCACACCCGCAGCATGGATTTTCAGAATTTCCAATCTGCCTACCTCGTTCGGTAGCGGAATCTCGATCTTTCTGTCAAGCCGTCCAGCTCGTAGCAATGCCGGGTCGAGTGTGTCGGGTCTATTGGTTGCCATGATGATCTTGGTCTTTCCCAGATAGTCAAAGCCGTCCAACTGGTTCAGCAGCTCCATGAGCGTTCTTTGAATCTCTCGATCGGCCGACGTGCCTTCACTGAACCGTCTTCCTCCAATAGCGTCGATTTCGTCCATGAAGATGATACAAGGCTCGTGTTCTTTGGCGTACCCAAACATCTCTCTTATCAACCGGGCAGATTCACCAATGTATTTGTCAACAATGGCGGAGGACACAACTAGCCAAAAGTTAGTGGACCGCGATTAGCAGCGAAGCCAAAGAAACCCACCTTTGAGGAAGTTCGTGTCAAGACTGCTCGCAACAGCCCTGGCCAGCAGTGTCTTTCCCGTTCCGGGTGGCCCGTAAAGTAACACGCCTTTGGGAGGTTTGATGCCGACTCGTACGAAAAGCTCCGGGTTCTTTAATGGTAATTCGATGACTTCCCTCAACTCTCTGATTTGCTCATTCAGACCACCAATACCGGCAAAGGACACTTGCCCGGGGTCTTCCAGTGACATGTTGTAGACGAGGGGATCTACTTCCCGCGGAAGCATTCGCATGATTGTAAGGGTCGTCATATCCAGCGCCACTCGCGTTCCTTGTTTCAACTTGCTCTTATCGACCTTGGACCGGCAGCCAACAACGTATCTGGGACCGGAGGAAGCCTTCACAATGACTAATATATGTCAGCATCCCGAATGTCATTTATAGTATGACCTAACGCACATCGTTCCTCGTCGAGTTGTTTCAGCACTTCACCAATAATCTGGCCGACACTCTGTAACGCTTTGATGTTTTCTTCCGTAGTTTCGAAGTCTCTTTGAAGACCTTTAATGTCCATTCTCAGTGCTTTGAGCTTCGCTTCCCATTCTCTCGACTCCAGCAATTTGTTCTTGTATTGCTCAAGGGCCTGCTGCCGCTCTGGGTCCCCGCCTCCGTCCATACTTGCGTATTGAAGGTGGACGGGAAACGGCGCGGAGAGGGATTAGAGACTCAAGATCGTTTAAAAAAATTTAGTGACCGGGAAGGAAGATAGTGGAATTGATGCGGCTGCAATGTCAATGTCTAGAGGAGACGTGTTTAACCGGGAACCTTTTAGGGATCTGATCAGATGGCGACGAGTACGGCAGCTTGCGCAGGTAACCAGCGACACGCGGTACGAGCAAGGAGCGCAAGGCTATGTCAGTAAGGAAGGTTTGCCGGCAAAAATCACGTGAACTGCATCTCCCGTATCGAGTTTAGCTCCGGCTTGGATCTCACCACTTGTTGTGCCCCTCCATTAGTGGCCGCAGCCAGAAGGAAGCTGTGACGAGGTTTTGGTTGGGAGGGGCACAGCAAATGCGGTTGCACAGCCAGGACTCGTTGACCGCTTTGCTGAGCCGTGTGACTGAGATCCTCGTAGCAACCTCTGCCTCACTGCCCCACCGAAACAACAAAAAGTTGACTCCGTGGTCTCATCATCCTCCATCTTCTTGCGACCTCTATATCTCTGTAACAGCCCCTCTAAGAACATATTTCTACCTTCTTCTCCTCCCATTCACATTCACACGCACACTCGAGCAAGGCTCTATTGAATATTATACAACCACCGTCACACCACTTGAAAGTATCCGGTAGGTACCCCCCGGTAGTAGTGATCTACCAGAGCTTCTCCCCTCACAGCATCCTCTCTGTTCTCCTGCCATAGCAGCTTGATTCAACAAGCTTGCTCATCCCGCTTGATCTTGTGGTTTCTGGTTCTTCCCCAACATCTTCACTCCAGCCATTTCCCCATATCTTCGGCCTGCGCCTGTCCTCCTTCCGTCCACCCGGTATCTTCCATACGCTGACCCACCACAGCCATGCCGATTGTCAAGATCCACGCCCGGTCCGTCTACGACTCCCGAGGCAACCCGACGGTCGAGGTCGACGTCGTTACCGAGACTGGCCTTCACCGTGCCATTGTTCCTTCCGGCGCTTCCACCGGTCAGCACGAAGCCTGCGAGCTCCGCGATGGTGACAAGTCAAAATGGGGCGGAAAGGGTGTCCTGAAGGCAGTCGACAACGTGAACTCGATCATTGGCCCCAAGCTGATTGAGAAAAACATCGATCCCACCGACCAATCTGCTGTCGACAAGTTTTTGATTGAGCTAGATGGCACTGAGAACAAGACCAACCTGGGTGCGAATGCAATTCTCGGTGTTAGTCTTGCCGTTGCAAAGGCCGGCGCAGCCCAAAAGGGCGTCCCGCTATACGCACATGTTTCGGACCTTGCGGGGACGAAGAAGCCATATGTGCTCCCGGTGCCTTTCATGAACGTCCTCAACGGAGGTTCCCACGCCGGTGGCCGTCTTGCGTTCCAGGAATTCATGATAGTTCCCGAGTACGTATCATAGTTCCCGGCTACCTGATCGACAAAGCTGACAAGGCTTGCAGTCAAGCACCTACTTTCTCCGAAGGCCTTCGTTGGGGCGCCGAGGTGTACCAGAAATTGAAGGCTCTGGCAAAGAAGAAGTACGGCCAGTCCGCCGGCAATGTTGGTGACGAGGGTGGTGTCGCTCCAGATATCCAAACCGCCGAAGAGGCCCTTGATCTCATCTCGGCTGCCATTAAGGAAGCTGGATACGAAGGCAAGATGAACATTGCCATGGATGTCGCCTCGAGTGAATTCTACAAAGAGTCGGAGAAGAAGTACGATCTGGACTTCAAGAACCCAGACAGCGATCCGAGCAAATGGCTCACCTACGAACAATTGGCCGACCTCTACAAGTCCCTGGCCAGCAAATATCCCATTGTCTCGATTGAGGACCCATTCGCCGAGGATGACTGGGAGGCTTGGAGCTACTTCTTCAAGACCAGCGACTTCCAGATTGTTGGGTAGGTAGCTTTCTGTCGCCGTGATAGTACTTATGCTGACATTTCACCAGTGATGACTTGACCGTGACGAACCCTAAGCGCATCAAGAGAGCCATTGAGTCCAAGGCCTGCAACGCTCTTCTGCTCAAGGTCAATCAGATCGGCACGCTCACCGAGTCCATCCAAGCTGCCAAGGATTCCTACGCAGCTGGCTGGGGTGTGATGGTCTCGCACCGCTCCGGCGAGACGGAAGATGTCACCATTGCTGACATAGTGGTCGGCATCCGAGCTGGTGAGATCAAGACCGGTGCGCCCGCCAGATCCGAGCGTCTGGCCAAGCTCAACCAAATCCTGCGCATTGAGGAAGAGCTGGGCTCCAATGCTATCTATGCCGGCAGCAACTTTCGCAAGGCTGTCACCTTGTGAAGAGCACAGCCAATATGAGACATGTACTAGCGGTCTGATGAAAAGTACCATTATCAATACACAACCTTGAAATAGCTTTAACGGAAGGGGACACGATGCCTCGCATCTGTCGCCCACCACCAGCAGAAGGCATCAAATAGAACGATTCCAATCGCCAAACAGACCCGGTTTGGTTTCTTGATCTTCGTATGTGCTATAAAACATAGCATTGAGCCTTAGCAGGTTATACAATGAGACGTAAATTCAAGGGTAACTATTGTGCTCTGGTGGTTGCTTCACCCGCGACTCGGACCTGGGTCGGGATGATTGGGCAGCAATAATGGTCTTGGCGGCCGGGCGCTTCTCGAATACGTCGATCGTCGGCCCGCGATCAAAAAGACACAAATTCCGGCATCGCAGTCCACGACGCTGATCCAACTCTTGCACCCTCGATTTCGCTGGACCGCCCGCATAGATAAATACACAGGGCATCGAGCAACAGTTCTACCGCCATGCCTCCGAAGAAGTGGGGTGAGTCGTATTATCTCCTGCGCGGAGGGTCTTTGTCCTGGGACACTTTGTGCGCACATGCTACGTGCGATGACGGTCGACTAACCCGGTTTTCGTAGACGATGAATCGGAAGAATCCTCTTCCGAGGAGTCGATAGATGTCCCAGTGGCGCCGCGACGCAAGTTCGAAGACGAGGAAGACTCCGAAGATGTACGCCACACCTGTGCCAGTTTGCCCGCCCCACCATCATACTGACAATATTGGACGACTAGGTCGCAGACAACTGGGAAGAAGAAGAAGATTCCGAAGCCGAACGAGAGAAGGCAGCAAAGGCCGCGGCAGCCAAAGCCAAAGCCGATGCTGAAGCCGCCGCCAGCAAGAAGTCGAAAGCGCAGCGAATAGAGGAACACCGAGAGGCAAACAGACGAAGACGCCAGGCAGAGCAGGACGAAGAAGACTCGGACGAAGACGAGGCGACCCGCCGTCTGCGGCTACGACAAACCGAACAAGAAGCCGACCTGAAGCACGCGCAGGACCTCTTCGCCGACGTGGGATTGGGACCGAAAACCCGCTCGGCGCCCAACAAGGCCGTGATAGTAGAGGACAAGGAAAACCCAGGCCAGACCATCGACCTTTCCACCCTGCCCTTGTTTAGACCCGGTACCAAAGCACAGTTCGACGCACTGTCGGCTACACTAGTGCCTCTGCTCACGGCAGCTTCGTCCAAGCCACACTACCCCATCTGGGTTGCGAATTTCGTCAAGCAGATCTGCGCCGACCTGCCAAGCGCAGAGATCAAGAAGGCAGCAAGCGGCTTGACAGCCTTGAGCAACGAGAAGCTGAAGGAGGAGAAAGAACGAGAGAAGGGTGGCAAGAAGTCCAAGGCGGCCAAAACCAAGACCACACTCGCCGCGACCCGGGATATGGGCAGAGGTGTGGCCGACACCACGAGTTACGACGATGATGGTTTTGGAGAGGATGATTTCATGTGATTTCCGTACTATCAGCCAGTCTATCTTTCGCAAGGTCATCGATGATACAGTACATTGCATGAGCCGAGGAGAATTGCGCCAGTCGATGGATGAGCCATGGGAATTTCCTAAGATCACAGAATTGCTTTAGACCTTTTACTTTGCCCTGCTTGAACTAGTTGGGAACGATTTCAGAACAGAAAAGAAGACACATAGAACCTCCACTGTGATCGCTAATCGCTGGATAAGCAGCCATTTGTGGCTGGACGTAGAGGTACAAAATACACTGTAGTTCGGTTAGAAATGGCCTATGGCTCAAACCACACTGACTGTCATACTGATGTTCTAAGTGTTTATTATTATTAATCCCGCCTTGTGCTATTTATGCCAAACGAGTTTCTTATTTCTCTTCTACTTCCATGGTCCATTGCAGCGAACGATCTCGCCATACTAAAACAGTCGCCGCTGGTATACTACATGCATGGACATCCTGGCCCGATGAATAATTGTATCCTGCCCACATGGCGCCAATGTACAAGTCCAAAACTGCAATATCAACTATCCAAACCCCCAACCATGCCAACACACAAAATACTAGGAATCTGGAGGAGGTGATTTTTCAGACCAGGTACTAGGTATTCGATCAATTCTCGAGAGGAACAAGTCAAAATTGGCGGATTCTGTGTCGCGAAAGGGCGAGGGGCGCCTTTTGCATATACTAGTACGGCGTGCAAGTACCACTACTACTGCTGGGACCTTACTGTACTACCTGGTGCCTTCAGCCCGGCTTTCTTTACTACGGGACGAACAGATCTTGTTTGCTGTCATGAAGAACCAAACAGAAACAGAAACAGAGTGGTCTCGTTACCGACTCGACCGCGACCGACACATCAAATACTGGAAACGATGCGCGCAACTACTTCCAGAACCCTACACATCAGGCGACTCCAACCGGATGAGTTTTGGGTTTTTCATCGTCGCGGCACTGGACCTCCTAGGCGCACTTGAAAACGAGACTGTCGTCAGTACGGACGAGAGACAAGGCTGGATCGAATGGATTTATGGCTGTCAAGTACCGCATACAGGCGGATTCCGAGGGTTCACGGGCACTGTCTTTGGTGCGATGAGAACGCCCCAGAATTGGCATTGGAATCCGGCGAATTTGCCAAATACATATTTCGCGCTCGCGACGCTGGTGATTCTGGGTGATGATTTGAGCAGAGTCAAAGTCGACGAGTGTAGGAATTGGGTGAGGGGGTTGCAGAGGCCGAATGGGAGTTTTGGCGAGTTTGTCGGTGAGGAGGGTGAGGTGTTGGGAGGGGATGATCCGAGATTATGTCTTTGTGCGGTGGGCACGTTGAGGATTTTGCAGCTGGTTAGAAGGAGACGGAAAGAAGAGGACGGAGATGAACGAAAAGAGGAGAAGGAGGGCCTTGTTGGGATTGATGAGGAAGGGTTACGGAGGTTTATTGGGAATTGTCAGGTAAGTTCTGAACAGAGCCTACGGGCCCCAGGAAAGGGGCATATGGTTGTGGAGATGCGATGGATAGTTCCTACGAGGATTGAATAGCCTGTGTGGCCGTGGCTGACTTGATGGTGTGTGTGTTATGTTATAGAGCCATGAGGGAGGGATTGGCCAGGCGCCTTTGCTGGAAGCCCACTGTAAGTTCAGTTCTGGTCCCCTGGGTGTGGAAAGGATGAAGGGGTTTAGAGGTATGAGAGGAATGAATGGAATGGCTAATTGTGAAATGATTAATAGCCGGTCTGAACTATTGTGGAATTGCCACACTTTCGTTCCTGGGCATGATGCAAAACCCGCCGGCGTCGATACAAGAAATGGCCAGCCAGGCTGGACTGGATATTGAAAGCTGTGTGCGTTGGATGCTTGATCGACAGACGACATGGATTGATGACGATGATGAAGACGAAGACGAAGACGATGAAGAGGATAATGTCGAGGATGACGATCAAGACCAAAAGGGAGACGAGGACGACAAAGAAAAACGACACAATGGGCAAGCTGATGGTCGACGGCCAGACGAGCGAATATTGGACCTGTCGTCGCTGAAACCCGGCCTTACGGACAACAACAATCAAGAGCTCACTGCTGGATTTTGTGGCAGATGCGGGAAAATGGCGGACACATGTTATTGTTTCTGGAATGTTGGAGCACTGGCGGTGAGTACTGCACCTTGTATAGGCTGCCAGTGGTGGAGGACGGCGTCTTCGTGTGCATGTGCTGACCTGTTTCTTCATGGATAGATCCTTCAACAACATCAACTGGTCAATGTGGATGCCCTGAGAAGGTATCTTCTGGGCCATGTTGCGCATCTCGTGGGAGGATTTGGCAAAGCTCCTGGTGAGCTCCCAGGTAAGTAGGCTTCCTGTGTGTAGTTTGACGATTGCCGAGCTGACCAGGATGGTAGATCTCCTACATTCGTACCTCGGCCTTGCAACACTGGCTCTATATGATGAATCAGGGCTGAAGGAGTTCGATCCCACTTTCTGCTTCAGCAAGGACGCTGTTGAGAAGCTGAAGCGACACTGACGGAAACCTCCATCTTAGAGAGAGTAACTATTCATTGACGATGTAAAGAACCACGAAGTGCCAGTAAGGCAAAGAGGGATTTTGACAGTGTACGCCGGTTTCTGGACGCTGTTTTATTCTGGCCGTTCAAGCATCATTTCGACCTGATCGTCCAGAACCCCATAACTTTGGTCCCTATCTCGGGTCGTCGGCCGCGAGGTGGTCAGTGTACAGTATCCACCATTGATTTATTCCGCATTACTAGTACTGCAGATCGATGATCCGAATGTTGACCATGGTTGCGATCGAAAAATCAATTTCACAGAACCAGGGACCTTCTGCCTCATAGGCTCGTTTACTAGTATTCCCGCCGGCAGGTTGTTAGTTTGCACTGCCAACAGCTTGAGGAAAGCCAGCAACACTCGAAACACGCGATTATTTGAGTTCAGCCACGCATCAAATACTGTAACTGGTACAGAATGTGAGGATGCGGCTAGCGAAAAGAACGGGGGGCCCAAACACATCTGGAGGGCTGAGCGAAGCCTCTCAGCCAACTGATTCCGGGCAATTCAAGCAATTCGTTGGCCATGCCATGCCAGCAGTGATAAGCACTAGCTATTCTTAGGCCAGCAACCTTGCCATCTCTCACAGCCTGCCTGCGACCCGGTCAGATCCAGTCGTGTCGCCTCTTGCAGCACGGCGGACGCCAGGGCAGCAGTAGTTCTTCACTGGAGCAGGATCTGAAGGTGAGCCTGCCATGATCATGGGACAATTTTCCTACACGTTCCCCTGCGTCGTTGCGAACGCGCCGTTGTGAACGAACATAAACGAAACCAACGTTCTCAAGCCCGACGACAGCAACACATAGAGAGTCGAGGAACAAAACCTCCTCGCGTTACGGTTGAAGCAGCCCACCATTACCATGCCGAAACGGACTCTTTTCACCAACATCACCCCTCTTCCTCCTCAAGTCTCGCGCGAGGTCGCGATAGCCATGCTGCATAATCACGATGAGATGATCGAACTGAATCCGCTGGTAATCGAGCATCACCCGATCAAAACACCTCGCGATGCGCCCGCCGACGAGTTCCTCGACTGTGCCTGGCAGGAGCTGACGGACAAGATCCATTACTTGCCCGGCGGGTTGGTCAAGGGGAAAGTGAGCTACAAGGCCTGCTTCCACGACACGCCGTACGGTCTACAAACACACATCTACGCGCCCATGGGACTTGACATTCGGGAAAAATGGTCTATTGGGGGTTCCTTGCCCGGTGAACCCCCAGAGCCGCGAGAACTAGGAGTAGATGTGCCCAGACAGGGTCTTTATCTGCGGGAAGATGGCGACATGAGGTGCAATCTCCTGTTGACGTCGTTTGTGCGCAAGAACCTGGATAATGCGCACAAGGTGTTGGTGGAACGGATCCTGAAAAAGGCCGAGCGTGTAGAGGAACATACTCGTGCCACGGGAGAATATCCCATGACTCCTACGAGTCCCCGGTTTCAGCCAGGTTCGCACATGGCCAAATCTCAACTCCTCACCTCGCCTGGACTCACCTCGCCGGGACTTGCACCGCAGATGTTGTCGCCGCAGCAGGAGGCGACCTGGCAAACAATGGCCGGCCACCCGGCGTTCCGGACGGATGACAAGCGGTTCAGCACAATGAGTCTTCCGCCATACCAAGCTTACCACCAGCAGCACATGAGCTACTACGCTCCTGCCCAACAGCAGCAGCAACAACAACAACAACTACAACCAGGGGCACCTACCAAACAGTTTGTGGCCGAGTTACCTGGCTCGACGATCCATGCCGGTCATCTAGCTCCGCCAGCACAAAAAAGTCCGTCGCTTGGCGATAATCGAATGAGCATGGTGTCGGAGTTGTCTGGGTCGGACGGCACGGCTAGGGGGTCTCCAAATCCACAGGCACTATCGGATCGGTCGAGTATGACTTCGGATCTGCCCAGTCCATATAAACGTTACTTGGAGGATAAGGAGAGAGAGAATGCGCCGGAAGGGAACCAGTCGGTCTCGGACCGTACGAGTTTGCTCTCGGAAATGCCTTCGAGGCCCGCAAGATAGGTAACCGAGGCATGCATATAGGAGCCTGACGACGGTGAAATGAGCGTTATGAATGATGAGCTTGGGATTGTGTAGACATAACAAGAGATTCTTTGGGCTGAGGGAGACTAGACGGCATTTGACGGCAACCTACCTAGGTACAGACCAGACTTATGATGGATATGGTCCAAACAGGCATTTTAGAACGCACGGGAAGGTCATGATGAACATATACGTCTTTTAGACTCGGGCTGTTGTTCTAAAGCCCCTGAGACGTGCATTGAATGGTGTCTGATACTAGCACCTCCGCGGAAACCGTGATCGCTGTTCAGCCGTATCTGAATAAACCGCGGTATCTCTGGTGTAGAGACGGGGTTGCAGAGAATATAAATCATCAGCATCGTTGTGAATCCGGAGGGCGGCTTGTGGTAATTACTTGTGCTGTATACAATAATATTGATTGGACTTGGACCCGGGGATGGCGTCAGGTTGGACGTTGGACGATGGACATTGTCATGCTGCTCCACCACCAGGTGTTGAACGGCTTCCTCTGGGTCCTCATGGCGGCATCAAGGGTCTATTTCTACTTGTTCGCTGAGCTCCATAGCCTCTATAATTCGTCCCCCTAGGAGCATGTCAGTACGACTAGCTAGAAGGGGTGGATGTTCGGTGGCTCCAAGACACTTTCCACACTCATCATCAACCCTCTAGCATTTCTGGCGGACGATCCGAACCTCCTAGACCTCGCCACTACTCCTAAAGTTATTGTCATCATCCTCACCATCATCATTGTTCCCATTGCGACGCGCGCCTCAACTCGGTATTGAGCAAGAGACGCACAATCCTTCATACACATGATATAGTACATACGCCATCCGGCCCCTCGCGAGATCATTGCGCGCTGCTGGGCAGACGTCCGACACTCCTTTGAACCACCGCGACGGGATCCTCGACACGAACGTTACGACCCCCTCTACTCGACCTATTCTTTTAATACCCACATGTTATCCTTATCCTCGGCGCGCAGAATAAACGCTTGTTTTCCCTGGCGCAGGGAATGAACCGCAAGGAATGCAAGCGCCGAAGACGAGAGCCGAACTCCAGCAGCACAAAGCAAAAGTACAGCATAGCATACCCAACCCTTGGAGCGTGACAACAGAAGGGCTAATTGTGCGACGCGCAGCTTGCAAACTCCTATTCGGAATTACTCGAGTAAGACCCGGATCTGCTCTCTCAAGACCCGCGTCGTTCAGACCCGGCTGACCGTGTACTAGACAATTCTCCTCGAAAGAACTCAAGACCGTCGGGAACTATACTTTGGGAAAACTGATTGGAAAAGGCTCTTTTGGCAAAGTCTACCTCGCGCGACATAATCTGACAAATGGCTCAAAGGTGGATTACTCTCCCTCATGTTGGGGCAATTACACGAAGCGCGGTATTGCTAAATCTGCGAACAGGTGGTGCTCAAGGCCTCGAACAAGGAGGACCCAAACCTGGCGAGGGAAATTCATCATCATCGACAATTCGTCCATCCGCATATTGCGCGACTATACGAAGTTATAATAACCGAGACCCTGGTTTGGCTCGTGCTGGAATACTGTCCTGGTATGGATTCCGCGTGCGCACGCGAGCAAACGATTCTCTTCTTCAAGCCAACCTACTGACCGCGCGGCATCAGGCGACGAATTGTACAATTACTTATGCAGAAACGGCCCGCTGCCGGTCGAGACGGTACAGAAGATCTTCACTCAGCTGGTCGGGGCTGTGGCATATATCCACAGCAAGTCTTGTGTACACCGCGATCTCAAGTTGGAAAACGTGCTTCTCGATAAGAACGACAATGTCAAACTGTGCGATTTTGGCTTCACCCGCGAATACGACGGCAAGGCGAGTTATCTCCAGACCTTTTGCGGCACGGTCTGTTACAGCGCGCCTGAAATGCTCCGAGGCGAAAAGTATGCAGGCGAGAAGGTCGACGTTTGGAGTCTGGGCATCATTCTTTACGCCTTGTTGAAGGGGGAGTTGCCTTGGGATGAGGATGACGACGCGGCCACCAAAGCGAGAATTCTGAAAGAGGATCCCGTCTACCCGGACACCTTCCCGGAGGCCGCCAAGTCTCTCATTTCAAAGTTGCTGTCTAAACGGCCACTTCATCGACCGACATTGGCAGATATCTTGGCAGACCCTTTCCTGGCCGAACATGCGCCACAACAGCAGGCCATTCTGAAGCTCTCTCAGCCGGCACCTTTTACTACACAACTGGAGAAAGACACGCTCGAACGCATGAGAGCCGCGGGCGTCGACATCGACAAAGTCATTGAAAGTGTCCTGGCACGTCGCTGCGACGCACTGGCCGGCTGGTGGACTCTATTGTTGGAAAAGGAGACCAGAAAGCAAGCTCGGAGGGAGCAGAAAAGAAAAGAAAGGGAGGCAGAGCTGAAAATCCTCCGTCGGCTCAGTGGCGCAAGTAGTCGACTGGAACGGATTGCAACAACCCTGGTCGAGGTTGACGAAGAAGGCGGTAATCATGGCGGCAACGACAATCAGACGACTGAAAGACGCCGAAGCAGCAGTCGAGGTAGGACGCAGCGGAGCAGCACGCCTCAGATCGTGGTTGGTGACCTACCACAACTTCCTGAAGGAGATGTCGCCCCATCAGCCGGGACCTCAACCCCTCCGCCGCCTCCTATCGACAAGGATTCGATTCGTTCATACAGTGGTTCAAGGCCCCCTTTGCCTCCGAAGGAGAGGAGCCGACGGAGCAGCACGCTGCAACTTGTCGCGTCAAATCCAGATCTACTGAGTTCTTTGCATGGCGTGAGCAAGAGCCGTGGTGGAAGGCTCCATAACAGGCGTTTCTTGACAGCACTGAAGCATTGGTTTGTCGAGTCCACCAAAAGGGCAAGGTCTCCAGGCACTCCGAAGAGCGACAAGACAGCGAATGGTCATATGGGCAATCAACAAGCCTCCAAGTCAGCCAATGCTTTGTATTCTACCGATCGAAATGGCAGGTTCGTGTCGGGCAACGGAGAATCTAACAGGTCTTCGTACGGGTCGGCATTGGCACCAGCCACTGCAAACACCAATTCCACTGCTACTGCTGCTGCTGGACAAGGCACAAAGTCAACAACGTTGCCGCGTGTCGACTCTAGCAATCGTGGAAAGAGTCATCGCAACTCGGCCTCTTCGCCTTCTCCACTGACGCCTCGATCGTCGTACCGCCGCAGCTCTACAGGCCTACGAGGGCGGAAATCAACGTCTTCGTCCGTGTCCTCGATTCGAAGTATGCCTCGACAGACCTCCCACCACAGCAAGGCATCGTCGCAAAGCTCCAACAGCCTCGACACGATCCACAGCTCGGGGCCTGGACCTTCCAAGACCGGCAGTGGCACATATACTAGCAGGTCACCACATTCGTCGATCAAGGTTCTTCCGGCAACTCCTACGACAGCCTCGAACAACTTTTACCGCTTAGCCACATCATCCGCTGCGGACCGCTTGGAATCCCAGAATAACAGCAACAAACCGGCTTTTCTCAATCTGTCAGGAACGCGTAATAATGACGAGACTTCTTTTGGTGGTGGTATACCTGGGCCTGGTACACCACAAGCCGGCACCTTTGGAGGTGGGGCTGGTACTGGGACTGGGGTCATGTTTGCCCGACGGAAAAAGTCGCCGTTCAAGGGACCCATGTTGAACTCGGCCTTCTTTTCGGCCCCTTCGTCTAATGTTCCTGCTGCGTTTGGCAGTCCGGCGATTATGGCCGGTCGACACCGAGAAGGGTCTGATGGGAAATTGAATTTGGGACTCCGAGATCTCGTGGGCAGAGGAAGAGGTGACAACAGATCCGGTTCACGTGATGGAGGAGGAGGGGCAGGCACGGGCAGTGGCGCGGGCAGTGGTAAACGTAAAAGTCAAATCATCGAAGAAGAAGATGAAGATGGTGATGCTGGAGCTGAACAGGCTGTCATGGAAGAAGATGAGGCAAAGACGGGGGCTGAGGAGGGGTCTCGTCCATACCGTCCCGTAATGGAAGGCGTCGAAGAACATGACGGCGATGAAGAAGAGGTTGAAGAAGTCGATGCGTTTCCTGCCATTGAACTCAACAAGGGCGAACGGGTGGAGAGTATCACGATCTGGAATGATGTTGCCGGCAGCGGCAGCGGCAGTGGTGATGATGGAGATGGAAATCAGAGTCCAAAGTCACAGACAGCTGCAGGAGAAGCTGCTTCTTCTTATCCGCAAATGCCCAAAGTCGAGGTCTTCCAGGGTGAAGGACTTCATGAACGTCTGCATGAAGAGGGGGCTGTTGTTGTCCTCGATGGGAAGGGTTGATCCAAAGGCTGATTGAGTGGGGAGAATCTGACAAGCCAAAAGAAAAGTCGAGACTGGAGTGCCATGCCATCGCCAGGGAGGGACACAAGCCTTTGAAAAAAAAAGGCGAACGAATGGAGAACGAAACTTCACTTTCGACCTACTGGTACAACTTGGTTGTTGGAGCAAATATGAAAGCGTACTGTGATCGCATTACATGGACAGAAAGGCCTACTCTACTCGAGTCGGTTCTACAGGATTAGGATTGCCTGAGGTCTACTACTGTATATAGTTAATATTATCATTACCTACCGTTACCTACCATTGTCATCACAGTACTCGTTAGAATAGTTCCACGATTCACTGCTTGAGCCTTTTTGATCAATGAAAACACTAAGTGCTGATGGGAGAGTGGGGTAAGGTCCTTAGGTGAACAGGAGTAGGAGTGGAGATAGCATAGCAGCAGCATCATCCTCCGTCAACCCAGTCTCGAATCGTCAGTGTCTTGAATGTCGAGTGAGAAGGGCAGGTATGGGACTGTAGGTGCTGCCTTGTACGGGCAGGTAGCCATGCGGTTTTCTAGCACCAGTACAGTGGCTACCTGGTAGGTAAGTACGATAAACAGATGCACAGTACTACTCTCAAGTCTCAAGGTACCTATGCTTTTGTTCTTCTTGTTGATTATTGCGTCTTCCACTGCAAAGCCAAAGCCGCATTACAGTATCAGCTATAGTAGCTCCTAGCTAGCTCCGTCTCCCTCTCTCATGCTTGCTTTATCCAGCTCAGCTCGAATAAACAAACCCGTTTCCTTTCCTTTGGCTCTCTGTACCAGACATTGTGAAAGGCATGATTCTCCTCTGTTGTATCGACTCAATGATGATTCCCAACTCCCTTGCTCCAACAGCCAGGTGTGCAACACAACATGTCCAGTCCTTATGGGAATGAATCACGACTTGTTCCGAGCCGACCACATCATCTTAAACATCCTTTCCCTACTGCATTGACAAGCAAAAGCCATCGCCGATGTTGTTTCGAACAAGAGCAAAAACCCTCATTCTTCATCCTCACAATCACTCAATCCAGCAACACAATCTGAGTCGAACTTCGACTGCATTCGGCCAGAACAGTACGGCGTCGGCGAAGTCCAGTTGTAGTCTCGGCAATGATTTCGAGGTCATCATCTGAGTCCTCGATGACGACAATATTGGTTTTGGTTTGCACTTCTCGACAGTTGTTCGAACCAAGTGGGGCATTGACCCTGGAGACTGCATCTTCTCGTCGTTGCTTTTTCTCCTTTGTCTGTGGTGGCGACATCAGATCATCACTCGGGGTGATACAATCGACAAAATCAGCTGCAGAGCGCTTCTTGGTACGCCAGTGGTTTGTGAGTAGTTGCTGCCCCGAAGGTAATATGGACCGAGGGCGAGTCGGTGCCGGTGTTTCGCCAGTGAGCAATTTCATCGACCGTTTCACGGCCTCTTTGAGCAAAGTATTCTTGCTGGATGAAGCTGGTGGTTCGATAGCTGGAGTCGGTATCCTCTCTGTCAGGCTGTCCTTAAGCAAACGTGGCGTGGCTGGCGTCGAAGGAGGACGACTTGCCAGTGGTGTAGGAACCTTGGCCCATTCAAAAAGTTCTTCCAAGAACGTTGCAAAGTCGTCGTCGGCAGTATCCAAATCCACGGCAGGGTTCAAATTTTCCGCTGTCCCAGGAGGCTCCAACTCGTTAGACAGTTCTCCGGGCTCAATGGCATTTTCGGTGCTCTCAACTACCTCAGAATCTGTTTCTTGCCATATCAGATCCTCGCCATTCTCAGTATCGTCGGTGGTGAAAAGAACGGAATCAGGTTGTAGATGCATTTCCTGGTGCTCTGTATCCAGCCCCCACGGGACGATTTCTTGATCGTCATATCTCATTAGCGAAGCCTTGAATTGAGCCGCCACCTTACCTCTTGGTGAAGCTTGTGATGCGGAGGTTGGGGTTGTTCTAGGAATCTCTACCGTGATGATAGATTTAAGACTTCCAGTCGGTGTAATCTCCATCTCCATTCGGCGACTAGAAAATTCGTCATCTGCAGTCGACAGTGACTCCCAGTCGTCATCTTGATCAGAAGGTTCGGTTGTTGTCGAAGCACGTTCTGAATCGCCGTAAATGCCTCGGATGAAGCTGCGGTAAGCAAACCCGCCACGATTCTTCATTTTCTTGAAGGCAAGGAGTAAGCTCTTCGCAAGGACCTCTCGGTAGAGAGAACGTACTCCGTAAAGACACTGCACCGTTAGAAAAGTAGATATGAAAACAAGCCGGGCGACTCACCTGACGAAGCATAACTCCAGAGATGAAATCCACAGTTTCGAAACTCTTCATAGTGTAGTAGAGTCTCAAGCTGGCACCTTTACCAAGGATCGCAACGGGCTCGCACCGCACCGAGCCCCAAGATAAAAACTGAGAATAGGTTAGATAGTGCAAAGAAATTTCTCAAAGCTGGATTACCTCTCCAATTCCAGTGTAGCCACGACGACGTGGCCTAGTACCTGAGCCAACACTGGTGCTCTCCCCCGCCTTCTCCAGATCACGAAAGCCGTAACGCTGACAAATGCTTGGGACGAGCCATAACCCAACACCTCTGCCGAACCTGCTCTCCAGTTCCTCACAGTAGTCGTTGTAGTCAATTACCGCCAGAAAGCGAGGCTTGGCACCTTTTTCGATAAGATCAAGAGCCCGTCTCGGGTTCTGGCTCCAGGAAAGAAAAGGCGACGAAAACGGGACTTCCCTCAAATGTTGCTCGACTAGATGGCGGAAGGCGCTGGTTCCAAAAGCCGGTGGCGGAGGGATTGCCGACTCGGACGAGTCATCAAGAAATCGTCGAGCCTTAAGGCCGTGAGCTGGCTCAAAAGCGCGGAATAGCAAACGTGGATGGGTGTGAACTCTCCTAACCTGGTTGTCGAAAGATATCCTTAGCCGTGCATCCATTCGAGACGACGCAGTCCGAGAAAAGTCGTTTTCGCCATACTGCTGCTAATGGTAAGCGTCCTCTTCTTCCTCTGACTGTGTGTGCCAGGAGCCACTCGAATCGGAGTCAATGTACGAAGAGTCCGGTTCCGTGACCGTTGCATCGGTGTAATCGATCCAGCTGCGTGCCGTCATTGACCGCGTTCTTGCCTCTCTGTTATCATAATTGTAGAAGCCGTTAGAGCGCGTATTATCATCTTTTACCTGCAAGAGTAGCAATGAGATGCCCAGTGACTCCGCCGCTGCCTCGATTTGCCCTCGCTCGATGGGAAATGACTCGTATGTATCCTCTAGGGACATAGACTGGATGGCTTGGTATTCTCCCATACCAATCCGCTTCAGATGAGCTACCTGCGACCTGATAGTCGTCAGCGAAACCCCTTCTGAAAACCCTTCATGTTGAAGACGACGACGGAACATTTGGTTGAAGATTAGTCTCATGTCGGCCTTTGAAACATTATAGAGTTTGGTCAGTAGAGAAAGGGTTCTCCGGTCTTCAGGAGTCCAAGCATGTTTGGGAGAATTCTGGTTGTTGAGAATAGTAACAGTATCCTCGTCCATTTTGGGAAGCAGCAAATCCAATAGTATCAAGGTAGCGGACAGATTGACGCTCTGATACAATTGAGGCTAGTGGAACAGCTTGGGGAGAGAGAGTAGGAAAGAAAAGAGCAATTGAAGGAAGCGAGAAGTAAGCGGGGTTGAGGACGGTGAGTATTGGACAATTTTCAGTCTGAGTGGTGGGCAAGAAACAGATGAGGCTGGATTCATTGAAGAGAAAGCGTATGGAAACATAACCTGGGGGCAGTGCTGTTGCCGGGTTTTCAGTCTGAGTTGTGACAAAGAGACAGGTGAGTCTCGGTTCATTGAAGAGACCAAGAGTATAGAAACATAAACCTGGGGACTGCTCTGTTGACGGTCTTCAGGCTGATTGGTGAGCAAGAGACAGATGAGGCTCGATTTGTTGAAAAGATCAAGTGTACGGAAACATAATTTGGGGACTGCTCTGTTGACAACTACAAGCGCTGAAGTGCTTGAATTCTTCCCTGATGGTACCTAAGGTCACCAAATCCATTGGCTACTTAGGCTGAGAAGCTGACATCCCGCCTTGTGAGTGTGAATGAAGTTTGGTCATTGGAGGTTCGGTTGTTGGATTCAAGTTCAGGTTGCTGTCCGAAAAGGGAGTTATATTGATCCGCAACCGGCAAAACCTCGGACGAACTTCAAGTTGCATTACAGAGACGTTGCACTCCGCCGTTCACCAATTTTTATCGCGGCTTGATGGCACGACGAATACAACTTGAATAGAATGTAGGTACTATTACTTGTATCAAAATGGCTGCCGTTGTTGCCTCCCACGAGCCTGAATACCTGTCCAGCTGAAGTATGATACTCAGGTACTTAAGATTGTCCAGTGCACCTCAGCTCAAGACTCGCAGGTGTGGGGTAGGCGCTACAGATATCTAACCTACCCTCTTCCCGATAATGGTACTCCTTAACCATCCTTAAACATTTCTAGTCAATGGAATGGAAGAAGCAGAGGCGACGCAATTTCTAGAGTCCCTCCTGGGCAAAACTCTACATGTGACCGTATCAGACGGTAAGTTTCCTGGTATCATTAAGGGCAGGGGGCAAGAGGCTGATATCCCAGCAGGACGCCTTTTCACGGGCAGATTCCAATGTACGGACAGTGTAAGAACACGAACCATGGATGATCCTAGCGATCCGAGAGCCTTGGGCGCTGATGCATAGCAGGACAGCAACATCATCCTATCCAATGCGTTCGAATACCGCGTGCCGTCCAAATCCACAGAGAAGGCTGCCATTGATGAGGTCAAAGCAACTGGTCGACCTATCAAAGCTGACATGACTTCGAGATTTGTCGGTCTGATTGTGATACCCGGGAAGCAGATCATGAAGATGGAAGTAGAAGAGAAGCGAGACTGGCCTGCGGGTGGTGGGCAGCCTTTGTCGATTCGGACCAGGTCGTGAAACTGAGCCTCTCTCCGGTTCTGTTTGTGTAGTCCAATATTGGCTGGCTCCAAGGGGCTTGTTTCGTGTTTGGATGGAGGAACGTTTTGGGTTCGGAATAAGCGATCGGTAGACACGGGGACTACAGGAAACAAACGTCTCATCACCCACACGCTCGGTGCCAGAGTGAGTCTGTGACCGTCGAGTTGCAATACTATTGATTTGAACATACCAAATGTGATACTAGTAGTAGTAGTACTATCTGTCCGCGGTGCTTGGGGCAAAGGAGGCCCGTCGGATAGAATCGCCGCTGGCTGATTCAAGCTGCTGGACAGGATGCGGCAGCGGCGGGCGAAGGCGGGACTTCGGGCCTTGGGAGTGTCTCGGGCTCCTCGGGGCTTGGCTGCCAAGGAGGTCTAGGCTCCCAGATGCCATTGGGAAGCTTTGGGAAGCTGAACTTCCACTGCGGTTCACGTCAAAAGCGACACGTCCGGAGTGGATGTACCTAGGTAGATTTAAGCTAACGAGAGCTCCCAGCGGCCTAAGGAGCCTAAAGAAGCCTTTGCCAAATAGACGCCTTTTTAAGCTCCGGGCTTTCCTTAGGCCTCCCTAGCCCTCTCGGCCCCGGTACCGGCTGAACAATGCCCCCAAACAATGCTGAAGGCGCCCCCAATGGCCTTATGCAGGGTTCTGTGCACCTGTGTTTTTTAGGCACCTTAAGCTCTATAATCTCGCCAGCGTTGTCTTCCAGGTTATCAGTGGCGCTCTCGCTGCCTGCGTGTGCGCAGTGTGGTTGGACGCGCTCGGGATTGACGCATCAACCCCATCACCAACGCTGCACTGCATCACACTACCTAACAACCTTACCTGACCATCACCGCTACCGACCTCTACCACCAGTGACTGCGTTTGTCTCGACTGACTGATGATTTATTTTACATACTCGCCTTCTCATCTTTTACTATCCTACTATCCATCAACACCAGCCCTGTGTTGTTGCTCCCATTTCATTCCACTTGCATCTAAGCCGTCTCTCTTGCAGTACCAGCACTTTCCGCCCTGCATTGCCAGGTCAGTTCTCTCACTCAGATCTCCTGCGCTTCCGCCAGTGACGCAACCCTGTTTCACCGCGAACCCCATGCGCCATCTGGCTCCACGGTAGCCTCTCCGCTACAAATCGCTCACTCCCGAATTATCAAAGACACTGCTACTACTAGTACTGTGCATAATTCAGCTGACTCGCCTCTTTGGACGAGTCACTGCCTTACTAACGGCTGACCTTTCTTTCTCTGGCAGGCGAAAACAAAGAACTACCTCCCGCACAAACACAACACCTCCCATGGTCAAGCAATCTGGGTGGCCAGCCGGACCTCTAGTTCTATCCGAAGCAGACAGACATCAAATCCAAACCGCCTTGCGATATCTGAACCGGTTACAAGCTGATCTGACCTGAGCATACGACGCGTGTGCTCCTGCCAGGAGCTCGTCGACCAGCCGCCAAAACGCATTCCTCAAAGCAACTGCTTATTCCACTTCTTAAACCGCCTTGACATCTTTCAAACCGTCCACAACCTCGTTTCACTGTCTTCATTCTCGTGTGCTGCAAATATTCAATGGGCCAACAACAGTCGAAAAGCAGCGATGGATCTAAAACCCCAATAAAGAGTAATTCTTCCTCCAGTCTCGTACCTGACAGCCTGCAACAATACCCCTCCATATCCAGATCCGACACCAAGGAGAGTACTTCGAGGTCGATCCGTTCTTCTATCAGGAGCAAAATCAAGAGTTCGGGAGATGAAAAGACAAACGATAGTCCGCGAGCCTCAGGCTCTGCTCTGGCGGGTCTGGAGGGTTCAAATACAGACAGAGGAGATGCGAGTTCGATCGCGAGTGGCCGGTCAGGCTCCTCTCGTGCCACGAAAGAGAGGGCCGCAAGCGCGCCGCTGGTAGAATCTCCCACATCGCCTACGGATAACGATGATATCCCGTCCCCAGGGACTGCCACGCCCGCTCGACCGCCATCGCCAACTCAGTCCAAGTCTGTTGGCAAAGGCCACAAATCGGTAGACCGTGCGCAGCGGACTGGAGAGGTGGGGGCGGTCTCTGACGAAGCACCTCATCAGGCTCACATTCACTCGTCGACTCAGAAGGCAGGAGAGTCCATCTTGGTGAAACGCGAAAACCAAATCAACCCTCGAACGCCCGAAACGAAAGCCTCACTCCGCGCCAAGCTGGCGGATTTGCCCGGCGGAGCATCACCTGGCCAGAGTATGGCGATTGGAGATGTGAACGATATGGACTTGGATGATATGATATCACGGCTCCTCGACGCAGGATATAGTACTAAGGTCACCAAGGCTGTGTGCCTGAAGAACGCCGAAATTACCGCCGTTTGTATGGCTGTGCGGGAAGTTCTGCTGTCGCAGCCGGCGCTGCTGGAACTGAACGCCCCGGTCAAGATTGTGGGCGATATTCACGGCCAATACAACGACCTCATCCGCCTATTCGAAATGTGCGGCTTCCCGCCAACTGCCAACTTTCTCTTTCTGGGGGACTACGTGGATCGGGGAAAGCAATCTTTGGAGACGATCCTCTTGTTATTCTGCTATAAGCTGAAATATCCCGAGAACTTCTTCATCCTCCGCGGCAACCATGAATGTGCGAATGTGACGCGGGTGTACGGGTTTTATGATGAATGTAAACGACGATGCAACATCAAGATTTGGAAGACGTTCATCGATACCTTCAACTGTCTCCCGATCGCTGCCATTGTGGCAGACAAGATCTTCTGTGTCCACGGCGGTCTGTCACCCAGTCTGTCTCATATGGACGACATTCGACAAATTGCCCGCCCCACGGATGTTCCCGATTACGGTCTGCTCAACGATCTGTTATGGAGTGATCCGGCAGATATGGATCAGGACTGGGACTCCAACGAACGGGGAGTGAGCTACTGTTTTGGCAAGAAGGTGATTGTGGACTTTCTTGCCCGGCATGATTTCGACTTGGTCTGCCGCGCACACATGGTGGTGGAAGATGGTTATGAATTTTTCAATGATCGATTGCTTGTTACAGTCTTCTCCGCTCCCAATGTAAGCTGCACCCTTCTCCATACGGATCTGACTAACGATGTGTCAAGTACTGCGGTGAGTTTGACAATTGGGGTGCTGTCATGTCAGTCTCCAGCAATCTGTTGTGCAGCTTCGAACTATTGAAGCCTCTTGACTCCAGTGCCCTGAAGAGTCATATTAAGAGGGGCAGGAACGCTCGACAAAATATGCTCAACAGCCCGGTATGTGATGTTCCGATCTTCAAGACTGATTCAAGGCTGACAGTTGATTCTAGCCTGCACAAGTATCTGCTCAAAGTTACTAAAAATCTGGCCCAGACAAAAAGCAACTACAGCAATCGGTGCTGTCAAGGGTGTCTTCATTATGTTCGACCGTTGAGGGCTGCGGCCAGTCGAAGCCGACTGCTCACGAAGCAAAGTCCCAGTGGATGGCGCAGGTCTACAGCCGACTTTGCAGGCTGTGGTGGTGACTTGATCGCGTTTTTGTTGATAAGTGCTCACAGTGAGCTCCTCCGGCGTAGGTTTGGCGTTCTGCTGGCCGATTGGGCCGAACAGCGAAGTGGTAGGGGTACCGGAGAAGCATGTCTTGAACAACAACTGAACTTTCGGAGATGAATCAGACTCGGATGGAGTTGAAACGAACCAGCTGGTGGTGGGCTTTGTGCCTGGAGTGTATTATTGCTTCCTCGATATGAATTGTACGAGTTGGACGGAAGGAGAACGGGTACCTTAGCTGTGCTGTGCAGTGCTTCCAGGTCGCAAGACGACGAGCAATAGTGATGCGATGAAGATGGAACAGATCGTGGCGCAGCAGCACGTACAAAACTCACTTTATGAACCAGGCACTGTTGCCAGGAAGTCCCTGAGGAGAAATCCCCTGCTCTAGTATGCCACTTTGTTGGCGATGCCCTCTTCCTAACTTTGAGATCTGATGTGCTCTTGCAGTTTTCAGCAGTGAGGATGAATGAAAGGTTCAATTGATAAACTTGAAACAAGACGCCGATTTTGTCTGAGGCCGGGAGGTGCGAGCTGGCGGCAGTGGCAAGGTGTAGTCAAGTTCTTCAAGTCGTTCAGGTTCAGGCTCCCCATCCTTGAACCAGGTTGACGGGAAGTGTACTACCAGCCTAGTTAGTAGAAGTACTGTACTACTAGGCGCGTGCTAATCTCAGGGCCGCAAGGGAGGAATCCTTAAGTGCGAGCCGTCGGCGCGTCATTGTCGCGTGGGCGACGATACAGTGAGGACTTACCCGGGTAGGCATGGAGCAACCGCTGGACGCGACGAGTCTGGTTGATTTCCAACTGTTACTACTAGCGTTCAAGTTTATGATAGCCTGTAGCTGCAGTTATAGGTAAACTACCTAGGTTGCAAGCTGTTGGTAGGCGCAATCATACAGGTAAATACCTGTAGTGCTTCCTACCTAGGTAGGTAGCGGTAAAATGTAAGCGCAGTAGCAAGCAACGCGGCGGCCAGTAGTAGCGGCGGGAGCTGGAACACCGCTACTGTGCACCACCAAACACAGTGCTAGCATTGACTGCCACTGCAGTGGTTGCCCTCTCCACCTGCACCCTCTCAGCATCTCGACGGACTATTACGCTCTATTGCTTCTGCAACAACCAATTTTGAACTCAGTTTCGAATGTTGTTCCTGCATCCTTCTCAAGATTGACTACTGCAGCGATCAATGCTTCTGCTTATCTGGTGCATGGATTACGAACGCTTGCTTTCTACCCTCCCACCTTTGTATACCGGCGACTACTGGTACTAGTACGAACACCTGCCCGCAACCTTCGAGATACTGCAGTGCTGTACCTGACCGGAGCACCGCACCGACCTCCTCTCCGCTTCGAAGCGTGCCGCTTGCCTTCTCCTTCTAAGAAAGAGCCCGAAAGCCATCTTGACTCTGTTGTCAGAACACCTCGTCGTCCTATATCGAAGTCCCTTGCTGCGATTTTGAAAGTACTACAGAGAGGTCTGAACGGCCAGTTTCCGATGCCATCATGAAAGCCGCTCCTCTTCTTATCAGCTGGCACAATGAAAGTGCACCCATATATTCTGTGCATTTCGATCCTCATGGCAAAGGGCGGCTAGCAACTGCTGGGAAGTGAGTTCTTCCATGCCCTGAGATCTTTCATGCAACTAACGAAACCGCAGTGACAACAATGTTAGAGTACGATCCACTGTTACTGTCTACATACACCTTTAACTGACGTTCTGCGAAGTTATGGAGCATCGAAGCTCAAGGAGAAGAGAGGAAAGTCACGTATTTGTCTACCCTCACAAGACATACACAGCCTGTCAATGTTGTCCGGTTTTGTCCCAAAGGTCAGTCAGCATGTGGAGTAAAGAGCTTTGGACGAGTTCTGACCATGACTGCAGGCGAGATGCTTGCTTCTGCCGGCGATGACGGGAATGTGCTGTTATGGGTTCCCTCCGAGTCCTCCATGGCTACCTTGACAGAAGAACATGCCGACGACAAAGAAACATGGAGGATCAAGCACATGTGCCGGACCTCCAGCGGAGCAGAAATATATGATTTGGCTTGGTCCCCCGACGGGCAGTACTTCATAACAGGAGGAGTTGACAATACTGCCCGAATCTTCAGCGCACATACCGGTTTGTTCACATCGTGCCGTGTCGAAACAGGACTTGGGCTAATTCCCATAGGTACCATGATCCGCCAGATAGCAGAACACAACCATTTTGTGCAGGGTGTGGCATGGGATCCTCTTAATGAGTTCATTGCAACACAATCGTCCGACCGTTCAGTGCATATCTACGCTCTTAAGCTCAAGGACGGCACTCCAACGTTGTCTACACATGGGAAGTTTAACAAGATGGATTTGCCCGGCCGACGCATCTCTTCCCATAGCCCGGCTCCTCCACCTGATTTACCGCACCGAGCATCTAATGCAAGCGCCAACAATCTTGCAATTGTCTCTCCAGCCCCGTCGAACCCCGGCACTCCCCTGACGACAGCTCTTCCGATGGATCCCCCAATGCTGACTGCTAGTCGACGGTCATCCTTTGGTTCTTCGCCGTCCTTCCGTCGCTCTGCTTCCCCAGCGCCCACACTACCGCTTCCTGCAGTAAGGCCCGAAATTTCTTCGCCCAGCCTGAATGCCGCAATGGGACTGGCCGTGAAGAATACCAACATATACCACAACGAGACGATGACCTCCTTTTTCCGAAGACTCACATTTTCTCCAGATGGAAGTCTGCTGTTTACACCAGCCGGTCACTATAAGACGGCTTTTCCGACCACTGGAGACCCCACCAAAACCGCGGAAGATGTCTCCAATACAGTCTACATCTACACCCGTGCCGGGTTCAACAAGCCTCCAGTAGCGCATTTACCAGGCCACAAGAAGCCTTCGGTTGCTGTCAAATGTTCTCCTGTTCTCTACACGTTACGTTCGACCAGCAAGCCAACCAACCATATCACCATCGACACGTCGTCCGCCAGTGAAGAGATCCCCTTGCTTCCAGATCCTATCGTTCCGCAAAGCACTTCAACGTCCAAGCAACCCGCCTCACTGTCCACCGCAACCTCCGCCCCAGAATCGATGGCTGCTCCATCACCAAAGCCCGCGGTGGAGAACGAATCTGCCAACTCTGCTCCCCCTCCAGCATTCTCGCTGCCCTACAGGATTATCTATGCGGTTGCAACTCAAGATGCGGTGTTCGTGTATGACACGCAGCAAACCACGCCTCTGTGCGTAGTGAGTAATCTTCACTATGCCGCCTTTACCGACCTGACATGGTAAGAGTCGACCCCCGCCCCTGGTTGACGTGGCTAACAGTCTATTGAAGGTCGAACGATGGACTTACGTTGCTGATGTCATCCACGGACGGTTACTGCTCAACATTGGCTTTCACGCCCGGTGAATTAGGCCAGGTCTATACCGGACCTCGCCCAACCTACAATCATCCCATCGTTTCTACTTCGATTCCTTTGCCGACAGCATCTTCCAATTCCACACCCATACCGACACCCACTGCGGCAGCTTCTCCCTCTTTGACAAAAGCATCCCCGGTCCCTGCACCACCCTCGATTCCGTCTCCAGCCCCGTTCATCATTCGTCCTGGAAGCCCTGCCCGGTCGAACTCTCAATCTTCGATAGCAACGATGGCATCTATACAGACTTCTGGCCTTGCCAGCAACGCCACTCCGACCATGGGGCATGTTCCATTGGTCACGGCCGCCAACTCGGGTCCACTTGTGGGTATACCTCCCATGACCACACCGCCTCAAACACCGGCAAGCATACAGGGAGGACAACATTCTGCCACAAGCTCAATTAGCGGTACAATTCTAGGAAAACGTGATGTTGGCACGACAAGTGAGAGCGAGAAAGAGGAGGGTAAATCCAAGAGACGAAGAATAGCGCCCACTCTTGTTGCTCCAGCGGGCTCGGCGGAGGTGCCAAAGACGGATGAAAAGTCGTAGGGTTTCTGCAAAACGAGCTGTACTTTGTACATTATCTATTCTTCCGGGGAATTTGTTTTGATTCGAGCTGGCTGGCAGGCTGGCGAATTGACGATAGCATGGCGTTGGGATTACATCAACAAAGGGAAGGCTGGAGAGGGGATAACGTCAAGTTCCAGCCACGAGCATGAGCCTTTGATAGGAATAAGCACAATAATAACATTATACCGAAATAAGACACGGGTTGAATATTCTGTGGATTGGAGATGATTGTGGATGGTTTGCAGTAGAGGGTACACCGAAGCCTCGTTCCACGTGATCTCGCGTATATGACGTGCATCAGGCTGCCGGCTCCGAGAAACCGAGTTTACCGGCCGGTTCCATCGACTTGTCAAGAGGCTGCAATGTTCTAATCCAGACTATTTGATGGGCAACCCTGGGTATTTGGCCCGTAGGACCAGTGATGAGACCCCAGCGGTTCGTTGCTAACGTTGTAGTGTGCCGTGTCTTGACGCGCCACGTTCATTATGGGTGTTACAGGACTCTGGACTGTGGTTGCGCCAACTGCGCGACCGACTCAACTGGCATCGCTTAATCGCAAGCGGCTTGCTGTCGACGCCTCGATCTGGATCTACCAGTTCCTTAAAGCGGTGCGTGACAAGGAGGGAAATGCACTGAGGAACAGTCATGTGGTAGGATTTTTCCGGCGGATCTGCAAATTGCTCTACTACGGGATCAAGCCGGTGTTTGTGTTTGACGGCGGGGCGCCGATACTCAAGCGCGAGACGATACGAAAAAGGGCGCGACGGCGAGAAGGACGACGAGAAGATGCGGCGCGGACGGCGGGCAAATTGCTTGCGGTACAAGTTGCCCGGGCGGCGGAGGAGGAAGAAAAGAGAAGAAAGGCACGGGCGGGAGGAGCAAAAGAACGCACACCGGAGGAAGAAGAGTTGCCGGCCGACCAAGAGCTGGTGTACGTGGATGAAATCGGCATGACGCAAAAAGAAAGACAGGCCGGACGCCAGTTCAGGAAAAAGGACCAGTACCATCTGCCCGACCTGGACGTCAGTCTCGAGAGCCTCGGAGCGCCCAACGACCCGCGGATCATGTCGCAGGCCGAACTGGAGGAGTATGCTCGGCAATTCCACAGCGGCGAAGACATCAATCTATATGACTTCAGCAAGATCGACTTTGAAAGCCCGTTTTTCTTGTCCCTCCCCGCGGGCGATCGGTACAATATCCTCAACGCCGCGCGGTTGCGCTCCAGGCTCCGTATGGGATATTCGAAAGAACAGCTCGACGGCATGTTTCCCGACCGCATGGCCTTCTCCAAGTTCCAGATCGAGAGGGTCAAGGAGCGCAATGAACTCACGCAGAGACTAATGCATATCAATGGCATGGCCGAGGACTTTCTCAACCAGGGCGGCAGGATCGCTGGTGAGAAGGGCAAAGAGTATATTCTGGTCAAGAATGAAGGTGTCGACGGCGGCTGGGCTCTGGGCGTGGTGTCGAATAAACAAGGCACTCGGAAGGAAAATGCAATCGATCTCGAAGACGAAGAGAAGTCGGTCGATTTGAATACAGAGTCGGCGGAAGAAGATGAGTTCGAAGACGTCGCTATTGAAGGGTTGAATCGCATCCCAAAGGCCTGGCGGCGCAAGAGGAAACATCCCGATGATGACGGTCTGTATGCTGGGACCACTGCCAGTAATGCTGTCGAGGAGATTGCGAAGAAACGAAAAGCCGTGTATGACGCGCGAAAGGCTGCTGCAAGTTTTCCGCAGGCCCGTCCGGCACCTCCTCCTCCTCCCGGAGAGGCCGCTGGCGCTGCTACCGCTCCTGGTCGTGAGGAGGGAAATGATGACACGCTCTTCGTGCCGGAAGAGAAGACGCGGGAAGATGATGACGAGGACATCGACGCCTTGTTTGAAGATGTTCTACCTCTAGAGCATGCTCACGAAGATGATGACAATGACGACTTACAGAAAGCAATTGCGATGTCGTTGGAGCAACCGTCAGACGATGCAGTTACCGGTGCCGGCGTTGGGGGAGGATTTGTTGCGAATGAGGGAGCGGCGGGTGAAGATTCCGATCAAGATGACGGCTTCGATCTACAGGCTGCCTTAGCGGAGTCTAGGCGGTCGAAACACCAAGGCAAGACCAATGTCAGAGACAGAGATGCTGGACCTGCATTATCCATGCCTGCTGCAGAATTGCCCAAGTTCGATGGACCTCTGCCCTTTGAATCGTTGAATCTTGGGCAGTCTCTACTAGGCAAGAAAAAGTCCAAGAAAATCGAGGAGGATTTGTCCGGGGGCTTTGACAGAAACCTCGGTGATGATGCTTTTCGCAAAGACCGACCGCCTCAGCCTATGCCTTCATGGTTCGATGCCGCCCCGACCACCAAAGACCTCAAGCATTCTCCCGAACGGCAAGACGAGGATGAGCAGAATCTAACAGCGTCTAGGGGAGATCTTGCTGATCTAAGGGAAACCATCCGCCGCGACATAAAGGAAATCATTGATCTCGAAGCCGAGGAAGACAAAGGCTCACTTGAAAACCCGGTGGACGTGGATGTGGATGTGGACCAAGAAAGCGAAGTTGAGGAAGTGGCACCTTCTCAGGAGGCAGGCGACGAACCAGCTAGTCCAAGTCAGCCTGAGTTGGCGGAAAGGGATGGCATAGGCAGCGAAGAGGATGCTGAGCGGCAAAAGCGCGAGGAAGAGCGCGAGAAGCGGTACGAACTAGCACGACAGATCGCCGCGGAAAATGAACACGACGAGCCTTCAATGGGAGACGTCGCGGAAAAGGCCCAAGCTGAACCCCCGCAACCTTCTGCAGTACCTGACTATATTCCCAAGCAACCTCCCGTGCAGAACCCTGGTCCTGCAGAGGCACCGGAAAGTGACTTTGAGGAAATTGACTGGAGTGAATCGGAGCATGGACAACCGGAGAGCCCGGGATCACTCGGGACTGTAGAGGATGAGGAGACTCGAGAACGCGTTCTTTCTCAGCCTTCTGAACTAGCCAAGGAACAAACTGCAGCTGCTGATGCAGACGAAAACGATGACGATGACGAGGGCGAAGCCTTTGAAGATGTGGACATGGAACCTGCTGCTACTGCAGCGGCGGCGGAAGCATCGTACGACTCTTTTCGTGGACGCAACGGAAGCAGCCAAGCGGCAAAGGCGTCTTTTGACCAGGAAGCAACGACATTTTCATCAACAGTCGAACAACAACGAGACTCTGTCGTCCAATCTGCCGAGGCTGCCGCAGCTGCCGAAGAAGAAGAATTCGAATATCTCTCCGAGTCTGAAGAAGAACTAATGCGCCAACTCGCAATCGAAGCTGAAGAACACGCGCGCTTCGCCTCATCCCTACACAACCAAAGGACATCGGAGCAAGCAATCCGCGACTACGAGAACGAACTCAAACAACTACGAAACCAACAAAAAAAGGACCGTCGCGACGCCGACGATGTCACACAAGTCATGGTCCAAGAATGCCAGGCCCTTTTACGTCTATTTGGCCTCCCCTACATCACTGCACCCATGGAAGCCGAAGCGCAATGTGCAGAACTCGTCCGTCTAGGCCTAGTCGACGGGATCGTGACTGACGACTCGGACATTTTTCTTTTTGGCGGCACCAGGATCTACAAGAACATGTTCAACGCGGCCAAATTTGTCGAATGTTATCTTGCCTCTGATCTCGAGAAGGAGTTTCTGCTCGATCGTCGGCGACTGATTAGTTTTGCCCATCTCCTGGGCAGTGATTATACCGAGGGCATTCCTGGAATCGGACCTGTGACAGCTCTTGAGATTCTTACGGATTTTGAGAGTCTGGATGAGTTTAAGGCTTGGTGCGATCAAGTCCAGCTGGGGCGACCGCAGGATCTCGAAGATCAACTTACGACTCCGTTTCGGAGGAAATTTCGAAAGACGGTGCAGAAGAGGTTGTTTTTGCCGCCTAATTTTCCGGATAAGAGGGTCGATGAGGCGTATCTCAAGCCGGAGGTCGATTCGAATCCGGAGCCGTTTCAGTGGGGGGTTCCGGATTTGGATAAATTGAGGGGGTTCCTGATGGCTACGATTGGGTGGTCTCAAGAAAGGACGGATGAGGTTCTAGTGCCGGTTATTAGGGATATGAATAGACGAGATGTGGAGGGTACGCAGAGTAATATTACGAGGTTTTTTAGTGGTGGCGTGGGTGTTGGGGCTGCACCTGGTGGTGGTGGTGGTGCCAAAGGGGGTGCTAAAGGGGGTGCTGGTCAACTGGCAGTCGGAGGTGAAGGTCCAGGTAATAATGCCGAGGCTATGGCGCCTAGGAATCGGACGGGCAAGGAGTCTGGACGTATGAAGAATGCTTTTAAGAGGTTGAGAGGGGAGGCGGAGAAGAAGAGGAAACGGAGGGTGGTTGATGATGACGATGCTGATGATGAGGATGGTGGTGGTGATGATGAAGACGATCGTGATTATAATCCTGCATGAAGTCAAAGGGAGTGGATTGTGGTTTTGCACCAAGGGCAAGAGAGAATGTGGATAACGAGCCATCATCGGTTTGAAGCACGTTGACGAAGATGGATGGTGGTGAGCATGACATGAAGTCCTGAGTTGAGGCATGCGTGTTGTCTTGACCTTTCTTGCCCTTGTCCTTCCTATAGCATCAGGTTGCTAAGCACTTAGTACCTCCATCCCGTCTTGCTTTTCTGTTGCGATTCCAGGTGAAACATGCCCAGCCAGCAGGCCAGTTCAATATGGTTATCGTCGATCCATCTGATGGTGGTCGGTTGCGAGAGAGCTCGACTTCGCGGTTGAATGTCTGGCAAAGTGCAGCTGGCTGTCAGTCCACATTGTTATTCGTCGGAGCAGGGGTGAACGAACCGGGTGGATGGGCAGCCTGAAGTGTGTCCAACTGCTTCCTGTGACTCCATGTGGTCCGGGATATGAAAGCATGACGTTCCTCAGAGTGCTATTCTGCGGAGAGACCCCCAGCATCCAGTAAGTCTCCGTTGTATAGCGATTGTCAAAGGTTTCTCGGGTGTGGAGAGTTCAGCCTCGTTCGGGCCGCATCTGCATGTCAAGCAGATCTGCGCCTCCCATACACAGAACTAAGTGCGGGATAGGAGGCTGCTGGTGTTGGAGTTGTGATCGGACATTGGAAGGGTCGCCGGTGATCGTTCGGCTCGAGTGGTTCTTGTGTCCGAATGGGTCCGCTTTGTGGACCGTGGTTGTGCTCGAAATCATGTTCGAGCCGAGCTAGACATTCTGCTCGCTTTCGAACCTTTAACTCTAGATGGGAACATCATACTACCCCCGGCAGCAATTGTTGGAGGTAAGAATCGTAGGTTCAATGAATTCCAGGGTGAAAAACACAGACAGGACAAGGGAGACACCAGAGCAAGCGGTTTTGCGCGACCTTTGGTCGGCACCTGAGGCACCAAAGGGGGGATGACCGGCAGCCTGGGAGAGCCGTATGCTAGCCCCATGAGCTTTCCAGAGCAAGAAATCAACTCTGAGGAGTGTTGGAGCAGGATTTTGCAGGATCCGGTAGCCGTGATTCAGGGTCTGCCCATTCGGCGATGCAACTGCGGACACATCAACCGTCTATCGTCGGCACCCTTGTTCTCAGTGTCCTCGGCGTAACTACTCTCGGCTATGTAGCTGGTGTACCCTTCGTTGCAACAGTGAGGGCATCGGTGTTGCAAGTACGACTTGGGGTCGAACCAGTTGAGAATATCAGTCCAGTTTCCTTTCATGTCGTCGAACTCGGGACTTTCCATCTTTAGGGTCCAGTAGTTGTCGTTCCATGGCAGGAAGCGGAAACAAGCCCGACACAATCTCAGTCTCTGTGGTATGTAGTGGTTCCTCTGCAATAGGCGAAACAGACCGTCCTTGTCTCGATAACCGCGCCATGGTGACAACACACCCTTGCTGCTTGCGACTCGACCCATGGCCTTACAAGTCAAGGCAAAGCAGACTTGAAAGTATGGGATTTTGACTTGTTCTAGGACGAGAGTGAGAACTTCGGGCGGGAGTTGGAGCAAGGCGGAGCCATTTTGAGGTGACACGACAGTCTGATTGAGAATTGAAAGAGGAATAAAGAATTCGGTTCCTTCCGCAGGGACTGATAGTGGTCGAGCAACAGACTCAAACCGAGGAAGGGATACAGAAGGATTAGCCGGATCTTGTCTTCGAATTATCCGTGAACGAAGGTGGTATATGATTGTATCGTCCCCGTCCCCGTCCCAGTCCGTCGACGCAGCCAAATCCGCAAAATAGCTTGCGGGGTTTGGTTCCGGTTCTACGGCGTGGCTCACCAGCTTAAAAGAGGCACCGATACCGCTCGCGCCGGCCATGGGGCGTCTTACTTCCGCCGCCGAGGCGACGCGGAGCAAGCGTGCAAAGTTGATGTTGTGGGAATGTCCGACTTCACTTCGAGATTCGGTTCATCGGAGTTGAGGCGAGTCTGGGGAAATGCACATGCGGATCTGGAGATCGTCCAGTGGCACCGTCACTGGCTGCCAGTGTGCAGAATGACAATGAGGGGAGACGCGTGCGGAGAAGTCAACTTCTAACTCGCCAAGCATTCGTATGACTAAGTGCTTAGTCAACCACGTCCTGAACTTCCCTTGCGCATTCACAGTCCATACCGTGGGATCCTATGTCCTGCTGGAAAGGATAATCTACTGGTGACTTACAGCAAGTCTCGTATATCAAGACAGGGAAAATTGCCGGAAGAAATTGCCAATTGAAGTACTACAGTTATTCGAGCACCCGTTCAACTTCACAGTTTCTTGTTGACCACCAGTCCAGGGCTGCAGTTTCTGATTGGTCGTGAAGTTGATAGATGTCAATGCCCAGAGATTAGATAACCACGGTTTGATCTTACAGCACTGTAATTCAACGTCTCTTGAAAATGTCGTCTTGAGTGATATGGGTGCGAATGTCCAGAACGCTGGCTCGGACTCGATCAGAGCGAGGCAAGTAGCCTCCAATCCGTCATATTATGTCTGCCCGCTCAGCGTATGGGTATGGGTATCTTTGGTGCCGTCGTAAGGCAGGGGGCCCTTCTCGCATCGAAGCTGTAAGCATTCATCCCCGGCCGAAATGCTCGGAGCAGTCTGGCACGGAGAGATGTGCAAAACGGGGCAAACTCATCGCCTCAGCATCTAGACGGCATGATCTGTATGTCTGTTTTGCATGGATACCTAGGTGATATCACAGGGAGTTGAATTGGAACCAAGCATTGAAATAACCTTCCGGGCGATGATCCATGGGATACGTGCCGATCGGCGCTGATTATTCTTGAAAAGTCTTGTTTCGGTGCCCTATTAGAGGTGATAGTGGCTACTATGGTAGGTGAAGGTATAAGAGCAAGGCAAAGCCCCCTGCTACCCGGAATATCCACTGGGACCCCCTGGCCGAAAAAACAAGAGGATATATTTTAAAGGTCCAGAATTATTCCTCAACGCAAAGACCCCCATGTGCTTTGGGAGCCTAGCAAAACTGGCCTCTGTGGCTCAGTTGGTTCAGCTTGGCTCTCAATTCACTGGGCGACCGAGACTCCTGTTCGATTCCCGCAATAGCCATTCAGTCTATTCGTTCAATCGAACAGTGTCCCCCTCCTCCCGAGCTTTCAGATCCAGGTCTTGTCTGGGTTTCAAACTGGCATCGGCCAGAAGGCGTCAAGACCTCGATTCCCTGTGCTTACCGTCCCCTCCCCAGCCCCGCCGGCTCTCCTCCCGAATCGGAAAAACCTCGACGGTTTCACTTACCAGGACCCCCATTGCAGAGGGGTTCCTGGAAAAGTTTTTGCCATTTCTGATGAATTCTACTATGATACTGCTTTCAGTTTCTCTTTCCACTCTGAGCTTCACGCCGAATCGATCATGCACAAACACGTCAGAATCAGCCGAGAATTCTTCGTCTGTTTTTGCCGATATGCGCCAGCTAGACGCACTGTACGAGTTATTTGAGCTGTGCTTTTGCTTTTTGCCCTCACTACAGCGTATGTCCGCAAGATAATTGAGTTCTCCTGTTTTATGACCATCGAGATCGTTGAACTTGTCCACTTCTCCTCCTAAGCACGTTATATCATCTGTATGGGTTCCTTGAGTTTCAGTTGATGATACGACTTTGCCTATACCCACAAGAGCAGGGCTCATGCGCGGTTTCTGTCTGCGGCTGGCTATAAGCGGAAACCTATGACAGTTGTTGGGCTACGGATACGACCAGTGTTGCCGAGTGCAGCTCTAGCTTCCCAGCTAGATTACTACAGAATGTCCCAGAGACATGACGGAGAAGGGTATTGGTGCGGGACCAATAATGCCTTGCCATTTTCCTACCCACGGCTTCTGAAGTGCAGATGTTTGCAGAACCTCATCTTAAGCGCTGTTGATGTCAAGCGTTCGGCTTCCGCTGAAGGTCTGCTATGGTATGCAGGGGTAAATACTACGGTCTGCTGTTCCGCAGCTTCTAGATTGACGGCAGCCTAAAAGATGCTGTGAGCTAATTCAGGTCGAGTCAATCGTCGATTAGGATTCAGGTTGACGAAGAAATATCAGTCAACTGTAGGAGCACACCATGTCAAGCAGATGTTTATCCCAGGGCACCGTACCTGGTCTGTTACTCTACCGCTAGATACGGTGCATTTGACCGCTAAATGTCGTTGACAAGACATTAACTGTAGACAAGCTACAGCAATGAACAATGACTGTGAGTTGAAGTATACTTGTAGTATACAACCTGAACCTAGTAATACTGTGGTGAATATGGTGGGAGACCATAAACCAGGGTGCCATGCAGCACAGCAGTGGTTGACAAGGAAATAGGTACAGTTGACGTGTGCGGAGTTTCAGACAACTCGCGTTCCACCATCATGCTAGGAATATTATGTCCGCAGCCTCAGCCCCATCACAGTACATTTGAACTTACTTAGTCCAGCTTACTTACTATTGCACGCGACGTACTGTAGATAGTCTAGACGCATACAGACAGCACAGCACCTCTAATACGCGACGACTTTTCCTACCATCACTATGGCCGAGTCGCATCCTGAGGGAGCCCCGCTTGAGGCACAGTTACCCGCAGAGTCAGAATCGGAGGGCGAAGAAGAAACCCACGCAAGCGCGGAAGGATCACAAGATCCCGGCACAAGCACGGACGGAAAGGGCAAAAAGAAGAAGAAGAAGTCCAAGAAGGCAAAACTGGTATCTGCTCTGAAAGGGGAGAAATCATCGACATCCTCAGACGCCGCCGCGGAGTCCTCTTCATCCAAATCCAACCCAAAGTCAAGCGATGAAGCAGTCAAGAAACTGCTAGATATGAACCCTTCACTGAAAGGTGAATTGGCCGGGATCCCTCCGGAAAAGGCGTCGGAGATTCTTAAGAAGATGGACGTGTCACAACTTCTGAGCGGACTCTCTCTCAACGGCAAGAACCAAAAAGACATGGCATCATACAAGTTCTGGGGCACGCAGCCCGTGCCCAAGTTCGATGAGAAACTCGAAGACAAACCCGACGGTCCGATCAAAGACGTCACACCCGAAATGGTGCCCAAGGAGGCCGCGCCTCTGCCAGAAGGGTACGAATGGGTAGAACTGGATATGACCAACGAAGGCGAGATCAAGGAAGTCTACAAGCTCCTCTCGCAGCACTACGTCGAGGACGACCACGCCATGTTCCGCTTCAACTACTCGGCCGTGTTTCTCGACTGGGCACTCAAGTCGCCAGGCTGGAAGAAAAGCTGGCACATCGGAGTGCGCGCCAAGGGGCCCAGTCGACTCCTGGTAGCCAGCATCTTCGGCATCCCGATCAAACTACGCATACGAGAACATGTAGTGGACGTCGTCGAGATCAACTTCATGTGTGTGCACAAGAAGCTGCGGTCGCGTCGTCTGGCACCCGTGCTCATTAAGGAAATCACCCGCAGATGCAACCTGGACGGTGTCTACCAAGCAATCTACACCGCGGGCGTCGTCCTGCCTACACCCGTCGGAAGCTGTCGCTATTACCACCGCAGTTTGGACTGGTTGAAGTTGTATGAGGTTGGCTTCTCTCCGCTGCCGCCTAACAGCACACCAGCCAAGATGGTTGCTCGCAATCAACTGCCGCCCAACACCAGCACGCCCGGATGGCGCGTCATGCAGGACAAGGACGTCGATGCCGTGCATGATCTGCTCTCGCGCTACTTGAAGAGATTCGATCTTGCCCAGGAGTTCACCAGGGACGAGGTCGAGCATTGGTTCATCAACAGACAGAAACCTGAAGACCAGGTCGTCTGGTCCTTTGTTGTGAAGAACGACGACGGCAAAATCACCGACTTTACCAGCTTCTATTGTCTCGAGAGCAGTGTCATTGGTGAAATGAGCAAGAAACACGACAAAATCCGTGCCGCCTATCTCTACTACTATGCCACCGAACACGCTTTCAATCCAAAGGAGAAGGGCTTGAAGGAGAGATTGCTGCACTTGATCCAGGACCTGCTCATCGAAGCAAAGAAGGTGAGTCCTATTCGTTCTTCAGTCTGATGATATGTTTTCTTTTCTTGCTAACAAATGCCCAAACAGGCCAAATTCGATGTCTTCAATGCCCTGACTTTGCACGACAATCCCCTGTTCCTGGAACAGTTGAAATTCGGCGCCGGCGATGGACACTTGCACCATTACCTTTACAATTGGAGAACGAAGCCTATCAACGGAGGTATCAACGCAAAGAATTTGCCGGACGAATCCAAGAGGGGAGGCATAGGAATCGTGCTCTTGTAGATACTGTCCTAGTGTTTGAGCGACAAAAGCCAAAGCGTTTGATTCATCCCTAGGTAGTGTGGAATGCATGCCGGCTTGTTTCAAGACCAAGGCCCGACTCTCGCTACAGAACGGGCAGGAGACACGGTCACCAAGCGGCAGAAACAGTCAGCAAAACACAATGCACAATGCAAAATGGCTGAAAATGTAATCGTGTTCCTTTATTCAAAGAAACCCACTTGGTCGTCCAGTAAAATGCCAAACTCTTCCCAGCCTTGTTTTTGTACTGTACATGAACGTCGTTCTGTCAAGGGTATAAACAATTCCACCCAGCCATCAAACAGTAGTGTATTCGGAGTTCCAGACTCTTAACTCCACGTCATGCGTATTTTTGATCTGTGTGTACAAGAGAGTGAGCGTCCGCTCTGCTTGCGATGAACGATTTCTCGAGGAACGGCGTGGGATACTGCACACACTCGGGATTAGACTGGTATCCAATCCGCTGGATTCGTTCGAAGTGAAAGTCGCGGTCAGCGCCGGCCGGCTCGAAGGTAAGTGCAGCATAAGTCTGGTTCGGATGAAGACGATTTGGACTTCTCGGCATCCCTAAGCGCGGTGTAGGGAAGGAGCGGAGACGGCTGCGAAATTAAATTTCCAATGTGTGATCTCAAACTGACGACCCATGTGATTGGATGCTGACATATTATTTCCCCTGACGTTGCTTGTGCTTCGGGTTCTTATCGCAGATGATGAAGACGCGGTTCTTGCGGCGGACGGCCTGTTTGTGAGGAGCGTTTCGTTAGCAAAAGGCCCCAAAGCTATGGGTTGACTCTGGATGGTGCGGGTTGGCGGAAATACATACTTTGCAGCATTCACATAATCTCTTTACCGATGACCGTGTCTTCATTCCCCGGACTTGCATTGCCAGCGGGGCCGCCGGAAGCGAGAGTCGTTGTAGTCCCTGCGAGCTTCGTATCGATGTGCCGACATTGTATAGGGACGACCGCGATACCGAGCTGGTATAGAGCCGGATTTGAGGTAGGATAGAGCGCGCGAACGTCAAGCGCGTGGAGAAGACGGCTTGTAACATTTTGGCCGCTCGCAATGGCAGAACGGTTCAAACTTGAGGACGGTTTCACAAGGTCGCGGACAAGGTGATTTTGCAGTGTGTCGATGCGTAGGTACGTAGTCTGACCGCCCGAGACTTAAAAGTCTACTTCGAGCCGAGGATGATGTCTGAAATCGATGACAGTGAGCAGCGGCGATATGGTGAATGGAATGGCTTTGCTCGAGGTTGAATGTCGACAGGGACGTCGCTGCTGCAGTCGTGCGCTTGCTCGTGATTGGAAAAGCACCGGATCAAACTGCTACTGCCACTCGAGAAGCCCGCCGTAGAATCCAGGTGCACGTGATACAAAAATATACGACGGAACCTTTGTGCTCGGCGGTCAATCTTGGATCCGCCTACCTGGAGTCTGGCTATCACCATCACCAACAGTCAATGCCACCGTGACCGATGCCACTGGCAGCAGGCAACTGCTGTACCTAGCAAGGGTCAGCGAACCTTCAACCGCTCAGACACATTCTAGATGGCACCATCGTACTGCGTTGAGACTGTAGCTGAAGAACTACCGCTCCCCTACTTCCCACTGCGCCTCCCAGCGCCTCACTGGACCAGGAGTAACAATGCGTTGCCTCCTCCCTTCCAATCAAAGGTGTCATCAACAGCCAAATAATGAGGGGAGACTGATTCTGGTGCAGAGAGGCTTACTCTAGGCTCACAAGGCCAAGCTGTTGGGCAACCTCGCAGGTCCGGTCGCACCACTCTGAGGCCGCGGTCTATGCACAGCCGGCACTTTCCTGAGCATACCAGGGGTCGGACGACTTCCTGAGGCTTGACACAGCCGCCCTCCAGCGATTGTAGAAACCTAGGTGTCTAAACCATGCAAGGCGTCTACAGATACGGCCAAAGCACAATGCCTTTCCCACCCTGCTGAGTCCAATATGCGGCTGATCTGAAATCCTCCTACGTTTTCTGGCTTTCCCCACTTCAATTTCCTATGCCACCTCATTTTCCTTCTTCAACCTACACCGCATCTTATTATCAGCTGACGGTCCAATTTCCTTCATGCTGGTCAATAGTTAGGATGGTCGTTTAATCGACAGAGTTCCCAACTTCCCACCTTGAAAGTTCGGCCAGCAGCTCAGCTGCTCTCACAGGAGCTCTACTCTAGTTTCAATGGATCCACTCAGCGCGATCGGGCTAGCGAGCAATATCCTCAGCTTTATTGATATCTCCGGCAGGGTCCTGAAGGACATTTTCGAGGTATACAACTCGGCAACTGGAGCTACTATTGAAAATGCTCACATCGCGATCGTGGTCGGCGATCTGGTGGAAGTGACTGGATATCTCACTCAAGAACACCATACAGACAACAAACATTCGAAGGCTCTTTGTGACCTGGCAAAAAAGTGCTCGGTATTGTCAGCGGAGCTCTTACAGCTACTGGGGAAGCTTCAGCATGGGGAGAAAAGGTCGAAATGGAGGAACATCAAAGTGGGAGTGAAGAGTGTCTGGAAACGGTCAGAGATTGCATCAATCGAGCAGAGGCTGGATAAGTATCGCTCCGAGTTCATCCTGCGCCTCATTTTCATGTTCAAGTATGCGACGAACACATATGCTAGAAGTTTACTGACCTCACGACTAGTGACGAGCAATCAACCATCAAAACCCAACTAGACACCATCCAACAGGACCGTTCGAAGGTCGGTGCCCAGAGAGCCGACCAGCTCGGCAAACTACGAGATGACGTGCGGGAGGCCTTGCAAAAGCTATCGCAACAGGGCCAGACGGTCCGTGATAGCGCACGTGTCGCCGACTCTAGCACGGCCACTACACTGGCAGAGATCCGCTCCTCACTGGCCGAGCTCCTAAAGACAGCGAGAGACATGCCTTCGGAGACTCAAGTTCTTCGTCGCCTCTATTTCAGTTCTATGTACACCCGGGAGGATTCTGTTGTAAATGCCTCAGATGGGACATTTTCCTGGCTAGTTGAGGCAAATACAGAATCTGAATTTGGCGAGGATGTCTACGAGCTGGATGACGTGAGCTTGAAAAGACGCGACCCAAGCCCTCCCCCTGACCCGGAAACAACTGAACTGGGAGGATGGTCTCCTGGTCAGCACACCAGGGTTTTGCAAAGCAACAACCCAAGCGCTGGAAAGGACGGCCATAGCGGTCGCGGTTCCGAACTAAGCGCGCCCACGACGGCACGCTCGAGTTACAGTGGCCTCTCTACAGCGTCATCTAACAATGTGAACGAAGCAGCGTTTTGGGAAGGTTGGGAAATATGGCAACGCAATCAAAGCCGCAGCTTCTTTCTCACCTGGCTTCAGTCCGGCCATGGGGTCTTTCACATTTCCGGCAAGGCAGGGTCCGGAAAGTCGACTATGATGAAATTCCTATCGCACCATGACCGTGTTAGAGACAAGCTTCGGGCTTGGGCTGATGGGAAGAAACTTGTTTTCTGTCAGTTTTTCTTTTGGAAATCTGGCGACAAGGTTCAAATGTCCCTGGAGGGGCTCTACCGATCACTTTTATTCGAGGTTCTGAAACAGTGCCCGGAACTCATCCCACAAGTGTTTCCTGATCCGTTGAGGGGCTCGGGGACCTTCACCGATTTTGATGGTCCTTCACTACGCTTTCCTGAGCTCGAAGCGGCCTTTAACGTCCTGATTGAGACACATTCTTTCCCAGAACATCGGTTTTGCTTCTTCATCGATGGTCTAGATGAATATGAGGGCGATAGTCCTCAGCATTGGGAACTTGCCCAGAAGATTCAGCGATGGGCAAGTTCGACCGATGTCAAGTTCTGTGTAAGCAGTCGTCCTCATACAGAGTTTATGCAGACATTTTCCGGGGATGCATCTCACAGAATACGACTCCACGAGTTGACCCGTAGTGATATTCATCGGTTCGCAACCGACAAATTTGAGCAAGACACAAACTTCGAGTGGATTCGTGATATATATGCGGAACTGGTCCGAGAAATTGTATCTGCTGCGGACGGTGTGTTCTTGTGGGCCAGACTCGTTGCGCGGTCTCTTCTCGAAGGTGCAGGACTTCAATATTCCCATAAAGCGCTAAGAGAAAGAATGGCAACAACGCCAAAAGATCTGGAAAAACTGTTCGAGCAGCTTCTCGGATCAGTGAATCCAGCAGACCGCAAGGAGTCGGATAAGCTGTTGCTTCTTGCCGGGTGTGGCTACCCTATCTCGAACACCCTTTTCTGCCTCTGGCTGGAAGACCTGGACCGCCCCGGCTTTCCCTTCGATTTGCCATTCCAAGCATACTGCGACACAGAAATCAGAAAACATCACGAAACAGCGCGTCGCCGCCTTCAAGGCTTGTCAAAAGGGCTGCTCGAGGTAGTCCCCAGTAGGACGTATGGTCAGCCTTATTTCGCCTATTCTGTCCAATTCTTTCACCGCAGCGTTCCAGATTATTTGGCCCAAAATCGGATACTGGACAAAATACAATCTCGAATACCAAGCTTTAACCCAGTCGAAGACCATTTTCGGTTACGGTTGGCGCAGTTTAAATTTGTGAGGGCGACCCCAAGATATGATCCAGATACATGCCTCCTAGCTGCAAATTTCGATTATCTTCACGAGCTCACTTCTATTCTCCGGGACTTGGGTCGCGCGGCAGACCGCGGCCAGATCAGTCAGTCCACCGTTATCCTGATTGTTGCCGAACTGAATAACGTGCTTGAAAGTTACAAGCGATCTCAACGAGAGGAAGTTGTGGTCGAAACTGGCATGCTGGTGCTGCCGAGGACTAGCACATGGATGTGGTGCTGCCAGGGGAAGGGTCAACCCTGGCTTCAAGTTTCCTATCTCCAATTAGTGGCAATTTATGGGCCCGTTTTCAATCCATATGTGAAAGCCAGGATTCAGACAAACGGCAGCCGGTTGCAACATTTCAGTCGATTCAATTTACTCTTCCCTGCCATGCATAGAAATCCGGAACTCGCGCGTTTCCTGCTGGAAGCTGGTGCAAATCCAAACGACTCGGCGGATGTTTTAAGCTTTAAGCTTAGTCCGCCCACTGTCGTAAGCATGTGGATGGTCTACCTCGCTAGACTGGTTTCATGCACGCTTTACGGGTCTTTTGATCCGGACTTCCACTTCCTCGATCCGTTCTTGGTGTTGGAACAGTGCCTCACACACGGTGCGGACAAGGATGTTTTTTTCTTGCTCTCAAGGAGTGAGCGACCTTTACAGGATGGGGATGAGGGTGCTCTGTTTTCCTTAACGCTACAGCAATTCGTCGACTTCGTCGAACCGCCGAACCGGGAGGCCATCCAAGCATTACTCCGACGAAACAAGAACCAGAGTTTGTGGGGTCGAACGATGCGAGCGCTTTCCGTATTGCCTTCACCCAAGACTTCCTCGGCCGACCCGGGAATCTACGAACCTGTTGAAACGGAATCACTGCGTTGCCAATGCTACTATGTCGAGAGGGTCTGTCTGAAGGGTACACGGGTCGATGCATCGCCTTACGTGTTCGATTTCTACCGAGATCGAAGGGCATTGTCAGCGTTCGCGAGTATTGCCAGATATTTGAACAAGCCGATGGCAGAGCGGCAGTCTGGGATATGCAGCTGATTGTTGGTGCTCTTTCAAGTCTTTTGTTTCGGAGCAGGGCTGGCAGTTGCTCCCTACAGGTCTTCTAGCCGTCTTTTTTTATACAATATATATGGGCATTGGCTACCATGACACAAAAAAATGTAAGTCCGGCATAGGACCCCGAGACTGTCCACTTTTCAGGTAATGTTGCGCCACTTCCGGATCTAGGTTCGTTCTGCTACGCATGATGGAGCGCCATCTTCCCATCTGGCGACTTTCTACAGGACGTGGGTCGCCGGAGAGGAATAAATTCCTTAGACATCGAAGCGGCGTGCGTTACAATACAGTATGGGCTGATGAGGTGATGTCCTCTGACAAGGAGAGAAGTACAGTATGAGTTCTATATTCTCCTCATCTCTCAATCTACACGAACGTGATGATGGGACTTATCGAACACTGTGCCGCCGAAAGGTATGTCTGTCTAAATCATACGACATAGTTCGACTATACGCATTCCATTGGGAAAAGTCAAACAAGTATGATTTCATCGGCTGATAATTTTCGAATCTATTCATTACCTGTGATATAGATATAGATAATACCATAACCCGTTCGTCCATCCCGTCCATTTCAGCTCCCATTCCGACATTTCGTACTCTCTCGATCACACTATAAATGAAGTCTCCCTGTCTCCGGGGGTATATAATATATAAGAGTTTTGGCATATAGTTTTCATTTCTTTTTCTTCTCATTTTCCATTCTCCCCGGTATCTGGCCAGCCCGAGTTCAGCAGCCTTATGTCTAGACTCCAGAGCTCACAACACCAGTGCAAGCGCATATATTATGGCCAGACCGATTATCATGGTCTGCCAGGATCGATCTCCAGACGTCACTTTCAGACGCGAAGCAGAGCCCGGAAACGCAGACGGCGCAGCTGGAGCGGGGCTCGTGGTTTGCGGTGTTGCCGGGCCGGTGGCTGTGGGCGTGGCCGAACCTCCGTCAGCCCCGAAATTGCCAGGCGTCACGGTCATTGTGGTCAGATAGGAACTGGTCGTCGAAGCCTCAGGGAGGACCAGACTGGCGCCGCCGGATGTCAGATCGGAACCGTAGACTGTGGTTGTGCTGCTGCCCGAGATGGGGAGGACGATTGTGATTTGTGACCATAGAGTGCCGGTGATGGTGCTCAGAGAGTAGATTGTCGTAATGGCCGTCGAGGTCGTTGTATAAACTGACTGGGCAGCGGCAGAAGAGGATGGTGTTTCAGAGATAACTGACGTGGTAGTAGGAACCGTCGTAGCGGTGGTCGTCGTGATTACAGGTAAGGTTTGGGATGAGGTTGTCGGTATAATGACAGGGGAGGATTCCGCGGACCCGGTTAGTGTGGAGACACCAGTAGATGTAGATAGGACCTCGGTGGTTGAAGTGGTTGGTGTCTCAGTGGTTGCGGTTGTAGCCACCACTGTCGTCAGTGAAGTGCGTTGTCCTGTCGATGTGGCTATCGTTACCGAGCTCTGCGAAGTAACTGTCGCGGACAAAATCGAGGATACCGTGCTTGTCGAGGTGGTAGCCGTGGTCACCACCGTGGTTGAATACTGCGCGCAATAGTCCAGAAACTGCTGGAATTGAGGTGAAATCTGTACGAAACTGCCGGAGCTGTCGCTCTTATGCACAGAAATACACTGCTCGCATTGATTCAGGGATGTTTCGAACGCCGAACCTGGCACGCACAGCGCTGACGTTTTGCCCCTCGCCTGCGCTTCCAGGAGACAGTTGTTGCACCATGGGTAACAGGCGCCAGGGACGCTAGTTTGAGCCTGCCGCGCCGCGAGTGTGGGTGTCGGTGCCGGCAGAAGCAGAGTGGTCGAAGTGACGGTGAACACTTCGTCCACAATGAAGATCTCATATGTCAAGCCGAAATCTTCGGGGTTCATGTTGAAGTAGTCGCCGATGGCATGGTATTTCAACGATGGGTCCTGCAGTGGCGTCGCGTTTCCGTATATGTCTGCGTTCCATGTTTGCAGTGGCTGAGTTAGCGCCTCAGCCGGGATACATTCGTTGGGTGCGCAATAGAAGTTCTGGTCCGGTAGGCCGGCTTCGAAGTTGCAGTTCGTTCGGTTCGGCCTGCACAGCCAGCCGGGAGGACAGCCCCATCTGGAAAACAAAGTATATTAGTTCCAATGTTACGTCGGACAAAATAGATTGTCTTTTAGGAGACTGGAAGAGGAGGGATTATTCGAATTATTCGGCTGGCCAGGTGATGCTAAGCTTTGTTACTTACGTCCAGTCAGTGGGGTATGGTCCGGAAGCGGTGTACGTTGGGTTGGCCTTTCTTGTGGGACAAAGTGTGATGCTGGTCACTTCAGTCGTGAACGTCGACACGAGGAGCTTCTCGGTAGCAGTCGCGGTGGTAGGACTCGGCGACACTGTTGTCGAAGTCTCCGTCTCCGTAACAGTTTGAGTCTATGGAAGTCAGTACAACTAGTTGGCGACAGGAATCAGAGGAAGCTAACCGTGGTGACGACTGTTGTAGATATTATTGTCTGGTAGATGGTTACAGGTCGAGTAGTTGTTTCTGTGATGGATGTAGTCGTGGTCTCGGTAAAAGATGCAGTCGTAGTGGCAGTGAAGGATGCGGTGGTGGTGTTCGTAAAGCGTTCAGTGAGTACTTCAGTGGCTGTGGTGGTGTCTGTCAGCAGCTCCGTGGCCGTGTTGGTGACAGATTCAATGGTAGTAGCGGTAAGGATCTCGGTGGATGTGTTGGTGAAAGATGCTGTGGTGGTATCGGTGAGGATTTCAGTGGCCGTGTCGGTGACGGACGCAGTGGTCCTTTCTGTAAATGAAGCAGTGGCCGTCACTGTCACTTTCACAGGTACATATTCTGTAACGTTGAAGAAAACTGTAGGCGCGGGCGGACACGTGTGAACCCAGGTGCCATCGACAAATGTCGGACTGCGAGTAATCGGCTGTGGGGGACCAGGGAACGGCACGCCATAACTGACATAGCTCTCAGAATGAGCGTACGCCTTGATGACTGCCAGTGAAAGGCTTGCGAAGACGGCAGGAAGAGAGTGCATCTTATTGCGATGGTTTCCAAGCCTCAGTTGGGCTCAATCAACGTGTACTCATGATATGACGGGACGACAGACTGAGGTGCAAAGCGAAGGATGTTCAACGAGAGTTGTGCCCAAACGAATGGGAGCAGAATAGGAATGAAGGTAGAAACATCCTATGCTAAGATACCTACCGTTGAAGTAGCGAGGAAAAAGATAAAAGGCCTTGCAGCAGGCCTGGGAGACTTGCCGTCATCGTTGAAGTAGCTTGGGATGGCTGGCGTGGACATTTCATTCCAGGGTCGGGCTTCAATTGATGGACACGCCACATGGAAGCGGGTATTTTTCCTGCAGTACTTCTTACCGTTGAGGCCTGGTTAGTATTGTATTCTATGCACAATTGTGACGTTCCTGGCTTTTGGATCAGCTCTGCCTTGCTAGTTGCAGGTGGCAGCGCGCCAATCAATGACACAGGCGGCGCTTTCGAGAACAGGCTATCGAAAGGGGTCCGAGGGTCTTGCCTCGATCTCGACTAGTCTTGTGGGAGCGGTCAGATTGTGGGCAGCGGGTGCGTTGACATGACCGGGGCCATCGCCAACAAGGCGGAGGGACGCGATGGAGGGCGATGGGGGGTGACGGGGATTGATGGTGGGTGATGCTGCGTCGACGTTGAATCTGGAGTTAGATTCCGCGCCAAGACGGGCTTCACCCGCAACCTTGTTCCAACTTCCCAACCACGTCCTGCCACACGCCGCCGCCCGGTCGCCGGACTCTCAGCTCTCTGCTCTTAAGCTTCCTGCCCCCCCGGTCCATGGTATGTCTTAGAAACCGGTTTGTGTCTTGCTGGGCCATACCCGAGAGGCATGTCTCTTGCTCTCCCGGCACACCTGTTTCTGCTCGGCCTGGCGTGGACGACTTACCTGTCTTGTTGCCCTCGCTTAGCTGCATGTCTCTACCATTGTAAGTCGTTCACGGGCTGGACTTTGCAGCGAGAAAGCATCATTTCGTGCCTGGGCTACGCTCACCCCTGCGCATTGGTGTTGTTTCTGTCCTCCCCGGACCCTCTTTGCGTTGTTGTTGGTGATTGCCATTGATGCTCCACTGCCGCTGCCTTCTTTGCTTTAGCGCTTGAACTGTCTGAACATGCTCTCGATGACGCATGCTCTTTCGGTCTACACGCTTGTTCCGGTGTCACTCCATCGTGGCGACGTTGAGGAGCTTGTGTTCGTTGGACTGGGCAGGCACCATGGTTTGTACCACTGATCGGCTGTCAGGCCGTTATGACGGATCGAAGGTGGCAAACGTCACTATGGTCGCTAGTCTTGAAGACTACTATGAGTATTGTCTCAGAGAGATGCCGCATGGAATTTCCTCGACGCACATTAACCGCGGTCTCATAGACGGCCCAGGTGGTAGCATCTCTTGACGATTTGTGCGATTGCTGTGTTTTTGGCCGCCTTACCGCATCTTGATATACAAAATATGAACTCTAGCCTCCTGGGCTGTAAATCGCCATGAGGCCGTGTATCGCGACGGTTTTACTCGGATGGTATCTGATCAGGATCACAGAGGCCGTCTCGGTCCAGGAGAACTATACGATATGTAACTGGGCCCGTCTGCGGGCGGCTGTGGTACGAGATGCGCTCTATCTTGACGGAGGTCTGCTATGGTGGCAGACGGCGTTCGCTGATGGGACTGCGCCGGTGGTGAGTAGCGACGGAAATGTAGCTGGGGATATGTTCCGTCTGAACTTGTCGATACCGTTTGATACGAAAACAACCAACATATCGGCGCGGTTTGACCGGATGTCGAAGGCAGGCGGCGCCGGAAACAATATTGCTCCCAACTATGTGGACGGGACGATGTTCACCAACGATGGGGAATTATATCTCTACGGGTGAGTTAAGACACTTTTTACTTGATCTCGTCGCTGATTGATGAAGTGGTCTCCCCCGCCTTACAGACGCTGCCTCTGCGCAAAGCGCGGATGCTGTCCTAGGCTATGAAGCGTACCAATATGGGCCTGACCGCCAGAGCTGGAGCCCGGGGTTTTATCAAGGCAGTCTCCCTGATGGGGTAACAAGATACATTACAAATGGAGCGGGTGTCTCAGCACCAAGTGAGAATCTGGGCTTCTATTTCAGTGGCATGCGATCACCCACCTGGGGCCCGATCTACTACGACGACTCTTCGGCCAACGAGACTGCCAACACTCTTATTCAGGTCGATATGTCAACCATGAGGGGCGAAAAGTGGACAAACACCACTCTTCCAGACAATATACCACCCCGCGCCAATGCCGAACTTGTCTGGATTCCCGTCTCCAAGCAAGGAGTCTTAGTGGCAATAGGAGGAGTTGCCGCGCCAGAAGAGATCTGGGCGACAGGTCTGAACGCTACGCAGACGTCCGAAAGCAAGTTGGAAAGCCCCGGCTTCATGACCACCTTGCCTGTCTACGATATTGCTTCGCAAACTTGGTATCTCCAGAACACCACCGGTGAATCTCCTGGACAGCTTACTGAATTTTGCTCTGTTGTTGCCCCTTCGAAAGATTCGTCATCTTTCAATGTTTACGTTTATGGAGGCTACGATGGACTCAATGCTGAAGACCTGCCATCCGATGACGTGTGGATCCTGTCAATACCTGCCTTCACATGGGTCAAAGCGTACACCGGACATCAGTCGCACGGCCGCTCCGGCCATCGTTGTGTCATGCCTTATCCCGATCAGATGTTTGTCATTGGAGGCATCCATCAGAACCAAGCTATGTGTGTCGAAGGAGGCATCATCCAGGTGTTCAACCTGAACACCCTGCAATTCCAGGATACGTACGATCCGAACAACTGGTCTAACTATGAAGTTCCAGCCATTGTGACCAGGGCCATCGGTGGGAATGCCCAGGGGAGCTCTGCGCAAACTGCGTCTTGGTCCGATCATGCTCTTGCCGGCATTTTCTCCCAGAAGTATTCCCGACAAATTGCACAATACTATCCTTACAAGTCAGACGGCGACAGCTCCAAGAAGGGCGGTTCGGGAGTGAGCAAAGGCGCCATAATCGGCATCAGCGTTGCAGCCGCCCTGATATTCTTGCTGACTCTCGTTCTGCTGTTCTTGCTCATCCGGCGCCGTCGCATCATCCGCAGTGGTGGTTCTGAGAAATCGGCCAGTTCCAGCAACAGCCGCGTCTCGCGCTGGCTGAACGGCGCCTCTTGTGCAAACGCACACGATGCAGGTTCCAAGCACGATTCGTCAGTCTCGCCACCGGAAGTCCAACAGGTCTCCTACAATGCAGTCGATCATCAGCCCACACCGCCCTTGCAACCGCAGCGGCACGAGATGGCATCCACGGAGCGCCCCAAACCGCCCTTTGAGCTGGCTACGCCGTACAACAAGGACGACCACCCGCGCCATTCTGGCGTGGTCGACTATGCATACAACCCAAACTACGGCCACACTTACTCGAACACCAACACCAACACGAATTCGAACTCGAACTCAAATTCCAACTCGTCTGGGCCGTACCAGCCTTCACCCCTCGCCAGCCTCAACGAAGTCCCCAATGCAGCCGGGGCTTCTCCGCTGCGCACTGTCCGCTATCCACCGCCGGCACACGGCGTGCCTGACGACGACCTTTCCAGCTACAGTCACCATTCGTCCACCGGGACCCACGAGACTCCGCCCTGGCCATTGCCAGCATCCCAAAACACGTGGCGTCACAACGACCATCAAAACGCCGGTCGCAATTATAGGCATGACAGGGCCAATGGAAGCGACACCAGCTCCGTACAGCCTATCATTCAGGAGCTTGAAGGCAGCAGACAGCTCGACCCCGGCGCGCCTAGGGGCGATGACGGCGGTGGCTCCGGTAATCCCTATCACCACCGCAACGAATCGGCGAGTAGTGGAGTTGGGACACTGCCTTCCCCTAGCAATGCCCGCCACGAGGGCGGTTCGACGCTACTGGATGAAGAGCAAAGACGAAGCCTGTTCGACACGATCAGTCCCGTCAGTCCGACGATGGGTCGGCACCGGCGATTCTAGCGTGTACAACGCAGTTCCGCCCCCCAAAGCTTTCGGCGAACACAAAGGTTCACGTTCAGCTGTGTTTATTCCCCCGGGCGACGCTTTTATTGACGCTTTTATTACATTTCTTGAAGAACGACGAACACAAGCCCAATATACGACGAGTATGACATGTCCAGTTATTATGATTTTTTCTCGCTAAGCGTGTTGGACGAGCGGTCGCTTTTTATCTAGATATATGATATCGCTCACGACGTATCTATTATACCACAATAACGATCATGTCGTCATTTTCTCCCTTTATTCGGCGTTGGCGCCCTCTAAAACTTCTAGGAATCCACCCACAAGATGTAAGCTTCCTGTTACAAGGGCAGTCACCTCCTGACTTTCACTTGGTTGAGCAGCATTAGTAGTAGTGGTAGTAGCCGGTAATGATTTGGCAAAATTCCGGACTATGTCCACTGCTTCTTCGATTGTTCTGACTACCTCGACCTGAGTTGACGGGTCGATCTGTCTCCATGTATCGGCCAGGTCGTTTTGGACCTTCAAGGCTTCGACGTCTGAGGCATTGGTGTTCACGGAAATGAGGTCAGGCTTGTAGCCCGTGTCTTTGAATGTCGTATTGGTACAGAAGATGGCGTGTGTGAACGGATGAGAATCCTGTAGAGCCGCGGAGAGGGTGTTGAAAAGTGCTTTTGCAAGAGCACTGGCGTCACGTGTCTGTTGATTGAAGATAAGGAAGCGAGGCTGAACACGATCACGGGACTGGTTGCGGTGGGAACTGGCGGAATCTTCAAGTTGTGAAGCAAACCATTTCCCTGCGAGTTCAATGCTCTCGAGGGTGTGTCCGCCGTCAATGCACCATCGAATACATGGTTCGCGGCGCGTCTCGCACCGGCCAGGCCATCGGACCGTCTCCAGGCCACGGCGGAGCTTAACCTCAAACTCTGGATCGGAGTCAAGGCCTTGTTGCTGCAGCCACTCTCTCGCCATGGCTAGAGCGACACTAGCATTAGTCTTCTGGAAATCTCCCTCGAGGCCGAGTTTCGTCTCCCCACTGCCGATGGCCGGGTCAATGTCCACGTAGGTAAGAATACTCCCTTTCTCCTTCGAGACCTGTTCCATAACAGCTTTCGCCTCTGGTGGTTGACTGCTGGGCGTGAAACATTTGACACCCCTTTTCATGATTCCGGCTTTGTGCCAGGCAATTTCGCCAATGGTAGACCCAAGCATTGCGACGTGATCGATGCCGAGACTCGTGATGCCCGTCACGGCGGGAGATTCAATGATGTTTGTGCTATCATAAGCGCCACCGATGCCGCACTCAATCACGGCCGTGTCGACCTTCTCACTGATATAAGTGTGGAAAGCCATCAGTGTAAGGAACCGGAAATAGACCGGCTTCGCGCCAGGAGCGCTGGGATCCTGCCCTGCTGCCTTTGCTGCATCTTCCAGCCGATCCCACACTTCGAAGAAGTACTGTGTAAATTGTGCTTCTGAGAGCGGCTGGCCATTGATCTGTATACGTTCTCGGACGAAGCGTAGATGCGGTGATGTGTATAATCCGACTTTTGAAAACGGCTTCGGCCCAGCGCTTCCCACGAACTGCGTGAGAATGGAGGATGTGAAAGCGGCCGTTGATCCTTTGCCTTTTGTTCCCGCTATGTGAATAGCTTTTAGTATGTTCAAGTCCGATGACTATTGCACTCCCAGTTAGTCTTGACTAGTCGACTGGGGCTGCGCTGGCAAATGCATCGGCCGGGCTCGCATACTTCATATCCGATCTTGCGGCACCACTCCTGCATTTCGGGAATCGCCTGCTCATTCATCTTCCGCCCTGACTTCCGGATCGCATCGACAATGGCGAAATTGGATTGCAGCGTGTTCAATGCCGCAACGGCGTCCTGGAACACTATGTCAATTTGAGGCCTTCTCCGAAGCCATTCTAGGATACGTACTGCGTATGTCCGCGCCATGGCTGCGGAGGTTGTCGCGAAGCCCCGAAAATGGCCAGACTGTAGGACTGAAAGCCTCCGGGTCCATGCCCGCATCATCGGGCAGACATGACCATTGGCACTTGATCCAATGGCACTGGTGAACCACTGCAAGACAATGCGATCAGACGGACACACGAGTCGTGAAGTGACTGCGCCAATGTACGGCAGATCACTCCTGGCTACGGTGGACTTGAGTGTCGTCAGCGTAGTCCGTTCAACGACGTCTGATGAGTCTGACCTCAATAGGCTGGGGCCTGGTTCACGTCCGTATACAGTATCCTTCCTTCCTTTAGGAAAACATGAGCGAGAATGGGCCAGTCTCACTCATCAGAGCCAGCGAGGGAGGTTCCCATAGGTGAGTTCATAAGTCAAACGAGCCAGACAGATTCCCAGACCTGATATTCTGGAACTGCTCCAGAGCACCTGAGCCATGAACTGGCCCTCCGCTTTGCGTCCAGATGTTTCACTCCTCTGGAGATTACTCATTACAAGGACAACTTCAAAACATTGGCCGACCACCAGGAAGATGTCGAGTACTGGAAGGAGGAGACCTTGTGTCGCTTCCTGGCCTTACCCGACCTTCTCAATGCGGGGCCAGTACTCTATCACATGTGCACCTATCTGGGAGCATTCCCATTTCCCAGTCTGGCACCTTGCATATTGACCAGGGAAGCAATGTTGAAAGTAATCACCATCATGACCGGTAGGTATAAAAAGATTTTGAAACGAGGGGACCAGGATAAAGTGAAGCTACTGTTCCGAAGTCTGGCTGTCTTCGACCGGAGTGCCAGCATGTCGTCGCCCACACAGGAGCCCAAGATGGAGGACATCATCAAGGAACAACTTCCGGAAGACATGTTGAGAGAACAGGAGATTGAGAAAGGGACTACTCCTAGTACTTCGGGCTTTGCTGTCGACGAGCCTGCCAATGATGATGAGGACGAGGACGAAGACGACCTCGCCCTAGCCGCCCTGGATACGCTGGACGCCATTGAGGTTTTCAAACATGACCAGAAGACGGATCGTAAAATCCATCATGCCATTATCCCCGTCGAGAACCTGAAGAAACTCGTGATGCTGCTTCTGTTGATCGCCGGAATAGACCCTCTGACTCCCATGGGATTACTTGGCCAGAGCTTGAACCCAGAACGATTGCACGCTCTGAGTGTTGCAGCCGATGCCATCATTGCGGCTTTCGACCCTGACCCTCAGACCAATGGCATCGGATATACGAACTTTGTCAAGACGGCCACGACCACTCTGCCTTGGCTCTTCGAACCTTTCAGTCCACTGTTTGAACATTTCTTGTTCAGCAAGAACATCAATCTCAACAAACATCGCGGCGAGCCAGAGCCAACCGTTCCACCTGAGCCTAAGCCGTCCCCTATATACAGGTCGGAGGAGGACGAGAGCGACAACGACTCGATCTTCAATGACACGCTTCTATCCCAGATCTCAATGTCGCTCAAACTCTATGCCCCCACCGGTTCGCTCGTCAACATATTCACCTCCGGTGCGAGATTCAATCAACTGTATTCGACGTCTTCACATGGCACTTCTCTCAGCTCCTTTTCGAGACAAGTCCTCTCATGGCAATCGGGGACTATCGTGCTCATCTCCGGCAGTCTGCCCGACACTGAAACTGCCAACAAGTCGATCACGCTGGCCGCATACCTTCCGGAACGGTGGCATGATCCCAGCTCCGGGCCCAGAGTGACAGCAGCATCGCGCGACCGCGACCCTTCGGCGCCCAGAGCTTGTCTAGTCCAGCTTCAACCCAGGCAGGCAGTCTTCCCCGAAAACCCCTACAACCGCACCATGAATGTATCGTATTTCTCGAGTAAGACGGGCATTGCATTGGGCTGCGTGATTCCGCAGCAGTCGCGCACGCATACAGTCTCTCAACCACCGGTGCTGGGTCCCGTCAGTCTGTTGATAGATACGGATCTGTGCACAGCCACGTTTCAGCATAACGGCGATGCAGGAAGCGGCGCGTTCGTGACCGATCCTGGTTTGGAGACCGCGCAGGCCCGCCACAAGGACGCTACTCAACCGAAGAAAATCACTTTTGACATTGATAACCTCGAGGTCTGGGGAATCAACTTCCCCTCGGGTGAAACAGAGGACGAAGTCACAAAGCAGAAGAAACGCCTTGCTTGGGAAGAGGCCGAGGCTGCCAGGAGACGGGGCGTAAATTTCGGAGGCGACCAGGATGCTGCAAGGGCTTTGCTGGAACTGGCGGGTTTGGTCGGTGACAAGGCTGGCAATCGAAGCGGCGGATCGGTTTGATCCAGATGCTGGGCGGACTACAAGTCGATAGGACGTACAGTACCTGTTATAACTACATATTAATGACAGAGTAAAGCACTCGAGGAAGCAGTCTCTCTTAGCATCACGTTGCTTGGGCTCCACGTGGACAACTAAGATCGGTGCGGCCGATCCGGGTTTGTGAGCTTGCACTGTAAAACATTGTCTAGGCATTATATTCTGTTGATAAACATAGCCGCTGGCGGCCGGGCACATCTCGAAACGCCCTTCAGGACAATATGTCACCACGGTGGGAAAGAGATCATCTAGCAGCATGAGACGACCCAAAGACGTCCTTGATGCGACGTAGGCCATGTGTGATCGGATTTGCGCTCTGGGCTGCACTCGTACTCAAGACCCAGACGGTGGCATTGCCCGACTGCGACGGCAAGAAATATCCCATATCCAGCGTCCTGCCCAGCCATAAGGCCCCCCCTTCCCATACGCCTGCTAGCTGTGAAACCGGAAAAATCTCAAAAATGTGCGTACAAAGTATAGGTCGGTCAACACTGGCAGTTTCCGGCTCCTTGGGTGCCGGTAGACTCTGGACGTAGATCTACACCGGGTCGAGGGTTCGATCTCAAATTTCGAGGACCAGCCTGGTCAAGGGGGAGCTTTTTAGCAATGGCGGTGAAGAGTTCGCGAACATTGGTCGCCGTCTTCGCCGAAGTCTCGAAGAAGAGAAGTCCGGCTTCCTTGGCATATGCTTCGGCGTCAGCGGTTTGGATGGCGCGTTTGTCGGGATGCTCGTTGACTAGATCCAACTTGTTTCCGGCCAACGCTATGACGATGTTCTCATTCGCCTGTCTCTGCAACTCCTTCACCCAAGATTTTGCCTTGTCCAGTGATGACTGTGTGTAATATCAGCGATATGGTTTGAGGGGTCTGTACGGTGGGGAACTTACGGCCTGGGTAATATCATAGACGACCACGGCGCAATTGGCATTCCGGTAGTACATTGGAGCCAGCGATTTGTACCTCTCCTGGCCCGCGGTATCCCATATCTCAAACTTGACCGTCGTGTTTTCATCGAGCGATATCGTCTGCGTCAAGAAGGCGGCGCCGATTGTGGACTCGCGGTAGTCGTCAAACTGGTCTTTGACGAATCGAAGCACTAATGAGCTCTGCACCGGGTCAGATGGTTTGGATGCGTCGGAAACGTTGGAGACCGTACCTTTCCGACCGCGGATTCACCTAGAGTCTCATTAGCCTGCGGTCATTTCAGATATCACCGTCCCAACATACCGAGAAGAACAAGCTTGAATTGGGCAAACCTGCCGCCTGCGCCAGGTCGGCCTGCCGGAGCTCTCGTGGCCATGCCTCAAATACTGGATTTTTAGAGCGATACTGTGATGTGTGTCTGGTTGCTGACGGTTCAAACAACCATTAAACGTAATGCGGCGTGTGTGGTAAGGAGTACGGGGATTCGAGGATGTGCTGATGGGTGATGTTATTGCCTGGCAGTGGCTCAGTCGTTACAAGTTGGGGACTCGGAGGGCAGACAATGCATAACTCGGTGCTAGTAGCGCTAGCTGAGCTAGTGGTGCTGATGGCAGCCGTGCAGTATCACTAGTGTTGTTAGTGTCCACTAAACTGGGATTCGCAGCCAAGGATGACGACGCCGGGAAACTTCAGGTGGACAACTTGTTGAACTCCAGCCTCCCAAAATGCGCAGCCCGCAATAACACTGGCACTCACAAAACGGCTGTGCAACCGCCAATCACTTGTCGTGGTGGTCACTACTCGCCTACAATTCCAGCTTCACAACCACTTTCTTTGATTGTGTCCTGTCCCGAGTCGAAAATGAGCTGATAACGAAATCCAAGCCCTCTGAGTCTCCTGCGTTGCTTCACACGCGCCCGAAGCCATGGCGCATCTACTGCCGTTTCGCGATATCAATGTCCATGCATCCACCAGCCATTATGCCTTCACCTCCCCTTCGACACCTTCTGCACCAACACTCGTCATCGAGCGACCCTCCGGAGATATCCGATTGAACGATGGCTCCCTCATTGGCGCAAAGCGTGTCTCTAGCATTGCAGGCATCCTGGGCATTATCAAGTTGAAACTAGACAAATATGTTATTGTTATCACGAAAGCACAGCCCATGGGGAGGATCCGAGGACATATGGTCTACAAGGTCGTAGCAACGGAGTTTCTCCCTCTCAGAGAACGGCCTGTCCATGACCCCGATGAGGACACCTATCTGTCCTACCTCAAGGCTCTACTCATCTCTGGGCCTATGTATTTTTCATATTCGTTCGACGTCACATCAAGCTTTCAGCGCCAGTCCGAGTCCGATCTTTCACAACCGCTCTGGAAGAGAGCCGATGACCGCTTTTTCTGGAATAGATTTGTTCAGACCGACCTAATAGATTTTCGGATGGGAGATGGACGCTCAGGAGGGTTAAGAGGACAGCAACAACCCGGGATTGACCCCTACATCCTGCCTGTCATGTTCGGCATGTTCGAAATCAAGCCTGCCCGGATCAAGTCGACCAACTTTAATTTTGCACTTATTACCAGGCGGTCTCGCCATCGTGGTGGAACGAGGTACTTTTCTCGTGGCATCGACGACCAAGGCCACGTCGCCAACTTCAACGAAACAGAGCAAGTGGTCGTGCTGAATGATGTTTCCGGGCCCCCGGCCGGCTACGCTGGTGGTGCCGGCATACAGAATGGGAAGGTTGGCGACCCAATTTCTGAGACTCAAGTTCTCTCGTTTGTCCAGACACGAGGTAGCGTGCCCGTCTTCTGGGCCGAGATCAATGACTTGCGTTACGTACCAAGGCTACAGATTCGAGGGGTGGACACTGCTGTTGAAGCGGCTCGGAAGCACTTTGAGGAGCAGATCAGAATTTACGGTGAAAACTACCTGGTCAATCTGGTCAACGCGCGCGGCAGGGAAGAACGTGTGAAAAAGGCCTATGAACAGATCATCAGAATACTGGTCAACTCTCCGGGTGAATCCGTCGAAGCCGACCAGCGGACTGACGAGAAGTTTCGCGACATCAGCGCGGAATATCCACAGTCAATGATGGATAAGCTGCACTATATCTACTTTGATTTCCACAACGAGACCAAAGGCCTGAAGTGGCACCGGGCTGAACTTCTGCTTGACGAACTGATTGATGGCCTGAGAAAGGGGCAGTACTTCAAAGGTGTGGAAATGCCAGGCGATCCCTCTGGGGCCCTTGAGGTTCGCCTGAAACAGAAAGCAGTGGTTCGCACCAATTGCATGGACTGTCTTGATCGGACCAACGTCGTGCAAAGTATGCTCGCACGGTGGGCACTGACGCAGCAATTCCAAGACCTCGGCATTCTACAGCCCGGCGAACGTGTAAGCGACGATCGCGCATTTGAGTTCCTATTCAGAAACATTTGGGCCGACAATGCTGACGTTGTTTCTAAATCATATTCGGGCACTGGTGCCTTGAAAACGGATTTCACTCGAACGGGAACTCGGACGCGGGTAGGGATGCTGCAAGATTTGAGCAACTCTTGCACTCGATATATCCGCAACAACTTCTTGGACGGGCCTCGGCAGGACGGCTTCGACCTTTTCCTGGGCGCCTACCTTCCATCGACCTATGGAGTCGGAACATCCATGATGTTCACTGACAAACGACCACTCATCGTTCAGGCCATCCCATATGTTTTTGCGGCCTCTCTATTTATTGTTATCATTTCAATGTTCACCCGACGAGCGCAAGACTCTACAGTTTGGCCGTTGCGGCTGCTTGTTATCTTGTGTCTGATGGTTGCAGGATGGTCTTTTCAATTCTTGTATACTTATGGCTTGCTTTATGTCAATTGGCCAAAGCTCAACACCCCGAGCTTCGCCATTGAAGAAATCAATCAGGCTTTGGCACGGGCACACAAGGACAAGATCATTGGTCCTTTGATTGCTGCGACGACCACGAGCAAAGAAAGAAGGGCTAGGAACATCAGTACAGCTAACATGGGGTATATGGAAGAGGGTAAAAAGAGAATAGAATGAGCGGGAAAGCGGGTGGTGACTGATTCACGGGGCAACCGATAACTCCGCAAAGATAGATCATGTACTTTGCACAGCAACGATGATGAGCATTGAATGAAACTACGGGGTACCACTGCGTCTGGTCTGGTCGCGGATCAGGCAATCGCCGAACCCTCCGCGCGGAACACGTTGCAAGAGAGGGCTCACCATTGGGGACGCTGAATGCTCCCAGCCCGCCTTGACCTGCATCCACGCAGTAAGCAGGAAATCGTCTCCTGGGCAGTGCTCAGCCACCACAGCACGCCGGTCAAACCCTGATTGCACATGCTCTAGTGCTTGATGTTCCGCGTTCTGCGTAGAGGGTGCTACAAATTACCTGGTGAGCGCCATAACGGGGAGGACGATGCGGTGTGGACTCTGATGCCGCTGTCTGGAGTCGCTCCACAAGATGGGGGTTAAGCTTTCGGTCCACGTCCGATGATTGGCCAGATGCTGATTTGAGCTGACGCTAGGTATCTTTCAATCAACCTCGCCTGGTGATCTCCTACTGTGTACTTCCCTTCCTCTTTCCCACGAATCCTCCCACCCCCCCGGCTGCTATGAGGCATTTATCACACCCCTCCATTTTTTACCAGCCGCCCCTTGCAGCATGGTCTTCCTCTGAGGTATTGTTGTGTCCATTTCCGCTTTGGGCCCTCGGCAGAAGAGACTGTGCCGCTTCATGGCCAGCTTATCGCCTCGCGTGGCGCTGCTAAGGTGGTACAACCACGGTCCCCAGTCCCAGTCCGAACACGTTTTTCTCGACTCATTCTTATGACTCCCGACGCCCTGCAGCTCTTATCTTAGCTACATGGTGCCATGACTCCATTCTTGCGGATGGAAGGATGGTATTGAAAGGTGGGAACTGGCTCCAAAGAATACGTCAAAGAAGTAAGAAGCCGAGCGTGGCTGTGTAGCAGCATGCATGCTCCAGAAACGGCAGTTGTGAGGCGCAACCCATAGGGTCCTGGCGCACTGCACACGCTGTAGTTTTGTCAAGAGGAAGATAAGTACCTTACGCCGGCTCCTAGGTGCACGTTCTCGTCATGCTCTCGCGCCCTTCTCTCTCAGTGCCGTCGCTGTCTGTTGCCCTTAGCTCGCTCGCGAGTGAATTTCACCTGCTTTTTCGAGCTCCCCAGCCCTTCTTCTCATGGCCCAGCCTCGCATTCATTTTGATGATGCCATTGAACCTGTGCGGTCGCATGGTAGTGGTGGTGTCTACCCCTTACGGGACAGGGAAGCAACAGGAATCGGCAGCATTCGCTCCAGTAGTGCAGCAAGACGCCGCAAACAAGGAGATTTTGATGAGGAGGGAAACAATGTCGAGGAGCGCGATCTGAAGACAAAACAGGTCCGACCGCTCAGGATCGTTTGAGAGTATGGTTGACGTCTGACCTTTCCAGGAATTCTCTGGACTGAAGCTCCTGTGGCTTGCATACCAGTCGACTGGGGTCATATATGGCGATATCGGTACCAGCCCTCTATATGTGTTTTCTTCGACTTTCACAGCAGACCCCAGTTACGACGATCTCCTCGGCGCGCTGTCCTTGATCATCTGGAGTCTTACTATCATGGTCAGCATCAAGTACTGTCTCATCATCTTGCGAGCCGATGACGAAGGCGAAGGCGGAACATTTGCTCTCTTCACCCTCTTGTCGAGGTATGCCAATATTGTCCGTCGTGATCCCCGAGAAGAGCAGAGGATAAGGATGGAACGCCATCTCACCGGAGAGCTTGGGAAAACGGCGCAAAAAGCTCGCAATCTCATGGAGCGGTCTCGAATCATGCAGTGGGCTTTGAAGGTTGTCGGCGTGTTTGGTGTGGCACTCGTCATGTCGGACGGTGTCCTCACGCCTGCTCAATCGGTTCTGGGTGCCATCCAAGGTATAGAAGTTGTGTCACCAAGCATTACGAACTCCACCATCGTTGGAGTTTCATGCGCCATACTCGTCGTCCTGTTCTTGATACAGCCACTCGGAATCACCAAGCTTGCGAGCACTTTCGCGCCTATCGTCATCATCTGGCTCCTCTTTAACGCCTGCTTCGGGATCTACAACCTTGCGAGGCATGACGCTTCTGTCCTTAAGGCATTTTCTCCATACTTCGCCGGATCTTATCTCGTTCGACATCGAACGGAGGGCTGGAAGAGTCTGGGTGGCATTCTCCTGGCATTCACAGGCTGCGAAGCCCTCTTCGCCGATCTCGGAGCCTTTACACGGCGGGCTGTGCAGATATCGTGGCTTCTATTCGCATTTCCCTGCTTGCTGCTTGGATATATTGGACAAGCCGCCTATATCTCTGAAGATCCCACTGCCTGGACCAACCCATTTTACAACACAGTGCCGCATGGGTGCTTCTGGCCATCACTTGTCATCGCAATACTTGCTGCTATTGTCGCCAGCCAGGCGATGATCACGGCGGTGTTCCAGCTCTTATCACAGATCATGAAACTATCCTACTTCCCGCAAATCAAAGCGGTGCACACCTCGAAGATCTTCTACGGCCAAATCTATATCCCGGCCGCAAATTGGCTGCTTATGATTGGCACAGTTATTGTGACGGCGGTCTACAATAACACCACAAGCCTGGGACATGCCTACGGCGTGTGCGTCATCCTTGTGACATTCATGTCCACGTGCATGGTTGCAATTGTGGCTTTGATTGTCTGGCGGGTGCCGGCCACGATCGTTGGCTGCCTCTGGCTAATCTTTGCTCTCTTCGATGGGGCATTCCTCTCCTCTGCGCTGACGAAGGTTCCTGATGGCGCATGGTTCACACTGGCACTTGCGGTGGTGCTGTCCTCCGTCTTCGTGCTGTGGAGATTCGGCAAGGAGCAGCAGTGGCACGCCGAAGCAGCTGATCGCTTCCCTCCATCGCACATGCTTTGTGCCACGGAGAGCACCAGCGCCCAGAGTCGTCAGTTGAAACTTTCACCCGCATTTGGCGGAAAGGAAGTTACCCGTATCGACGGATTCGGCATCTTTTTCGACAAGGCAGGTGCTCCCTCTACAACACCTACAGTCTTTATCCACTTTCTTCAGAAGTTCCATGCCGCCACAGACATCATTGTCTTTTTCCACCTTCGACCCTTAGAAATTCCTACAGTGGCACCTGAAGAACGCTACGCGGTAACGCGATGTTATGTTGGATGTGAGGGTAACAGCAAAGTTCCTATTCAACATTGCTATCGGGTCATCATCCGTCACGGCTACAATGACGAAGTGGTCACCGAAGACTTGGGACTTCTCCTCTTCGAACAGATTCGCGACTTCATCATCCGTGACGGCGCAGGTGCCGACCTAGCCAAAAGGCTAGAGACGAGCGGCGACAAGGCCGCTGTGCTACAGGAGAAGATTGTCGACTCGGCAAGACCATCTTTGGAGGATGTCGAGATTGCAGAACGGCTGGCAGAGTTGCAACTTGCTTATGCAAGCCAGGTGGTATATGTCATTGGCAAGGAACAGTTGCGCATCAAGCGGGGAACAAACTTGGCCAGGAGAGCCCTCCTGGAATTGTTCTTGTGGATCAGGGAGAACACCAGGTCCAAGGTGCAGGCGCTCAACGTTGCGATAGACAAGCTTGTGGAGGTTGGGTTCGTGAAGGAAGTGTGAAGCATGCACCTTGTTGGACCTTGATGGCTCATGGGTATACAGTTTGAAGGCAAAGTTATCTAGCAGAACAAGTCAGAACCCGCTCTCTGTAAGCCACCAGTATCTAAGTCCGTCCAACTCTATGATATCCAATAGAACTCATAAAAGCCCTAGGGCTAGGGGTCCAGGGCCATCATGTGGACCACTATAGTACCGTGCATAATAAGCGTAAAGGGCAGCTCAGCCTTGCTCTGTTTCAGAATCTTTCCCATTGGCTGGAAAGTGGAGCCTCGCCGGGAGCGACACTTGGCGCTGGGCAGCTCCAGAAAAAAGTTGCCCGGATCGCCGCCAGGGTCACTCCGAATTGATTGATTTTGGAGCGCGTGTCAGGCCATTCAACTTCTTAATCTTCGGCATTGCAATTCAAAGCTGGGTCAAGATGAGTGCCTCGTATGCGTTACGAGGTCCTTCCAAGCTCCTCGGGAGTCTTGCCCGGACGCCCAAGTCAGCCATTGCTCGACAATGGGTTTGTCGACGATGCGCATCTACTGCGGCGCTGCAGACCTACGCCGCAAATGTGAAGAACCAACCCACACAACGGTCTCTCGACCGACGGTGGCAGCAACGACGAGGTGCTGCCGGCGCTGCAGCCGCCATGTGAGACTATCTCCTACGTTCAGCCTAATAATGCCAAACTAACGCATCGCAGGCTTGAAGAGGCTCAAGAGGACTCGGATGCTCTTTCTCAGGAGACTATCATCCAGAATCTTTCTCCGGAGGAAGCGTATCGTCTATCGAAAGTCAGAAATATTGGTATTGCGGTATGCTTTGTCGACTTCTACTTCTCAGGCGAGGATTTCAGCTCACTGTGACCTGTTCTTAGGCGCATATCGACTCCGGCAAAACGACCGCGACCGAACGTGTTCTGTACTACACCGGGCGTATCAAGGCGATTCACGAAGTCCGTGGCAAAGATGCCGTCGGTGCCAAGATGGACTCTATGGATCTGGAAAGAGAAAAGGGAATCACTATCCAGTCTGCGGCCACTTTTTGCGACTGGGTCAAGAAGGAGAATGGCAAAGAGGAGAAATACCACATCAACTTGATCGACACGCCAGGACATATCGATTTTACCATTGAAGTGGAACGTGCTCTTCGAGTTCTCGACGGGGCTGTCATGATCTTGTGCGCCGTGTCTGGTGTCCAGAGTCAGACTATAACCGTCGATCGACAGATGAGAAGGTACAACGTTCCCCGAATTAGTTTCATCAACAAAATGGACCGGATGGGAGCAAATCCTTTCAAAGCCGTGGATCAGATCAACAAGAAGCTCAAGATGCCTGCAGCCGCCGTGCAGGTGCCCATTGGCGCCGAAGACGAGTTCCGCGGAGTAGTCGACCTGGTCACCATGAAGACATTATATGCTGAAGGCGACAATGGCGAAATCATAGTTACCAAGGACGAGATCCCAGCAGAGGTCCAAGAAATTGCCAAGGAACGAAGGGCGATGCTGATTGAAACCCTCGCCGATGTCGATGAGGAAATGGCCGAAATCTTCTTGGACGAGAAGGAGCCCACCGTGGAGCAGTTGAAGGCCGCCATTCGACGAGCCACCATTTCGCTCAAGTTCACACCTGTCTTTATCGGTTCTGCTCTCGCCAACAAATTCGTTCAGCCTATGCTGGACGGAGTCTGCGATTATCTACCCAACCCGTCAGAAGTGACCAATACCGCCCTGGATCGCCGTCAAGGAGAACAGGCCGTCAAGCTCATCCCATACAACTCGCTACCGTTTGTGGGATTGGCATTCAAGCTTGAGGAATCGAACTTTGGCCAGCTCACTTACATCCGCGTCTACCAGGGCAAACTGAAAAAGGGAATGAACGTCTTCAATGCACGAACCGACAAGAGAGTCAAAATCCCCCGTATCGTGCGGATGCATTCCAATGAAATGGAAGAAGTCTCGGAAATCGGTGCCGGCGAGATCTGCGCCGTGTTTGGTGTCGACTGTGCTTCCGGTGATACCTTCACCGACGGCCAACTGGGTTACAGCATGAGCAGCATGTACGTTCCCGAGCCCGTCATCTCGCTGAGCATCAAGCCCAAGAACAACAAAGATTTGCCCAATTTTTCAAAGGCCATTGCACGATTTCAACGAGAGGATCCGACATTCAGAGTCCATTTCGACACGGAGAGCGAACAGACGATTATTTCCGGTATGGGCGAACTGCATCTCGAGGTATACGTGGAGCGCATGCGGAGAGAATACAAGGTCGACTGCGAGACCGGCCCGCCTCAAGTTGCCTACCGTGAAACCATCACCAAGAAAGTCGACTTCAACCACTTGCTCAAGAAACAAACCGGTGGTGCGGGTGATTATGCCCGAGTCGCCGGATGGATGGAGCCCAAGGGGAACCTCGACGGCAACCACTTCGAAGAGCAAGTCGTGGGTGGCGCCATTTCCGAAAAGTTCTTGTTTGCTTGTGAAAAGGGATTCCATCTCTCTTGCGAAAAGGGTCCCTTGATCGGCCACAAAGTTTTGGGCACTTCGATGGTCATCAACGACGGTGCTACTCACATGACTGATTCCAGTGAAATGGCGTTCAAGAACGCCACTCAACAGGCCTTCCGTCAAGCGTTCATGCAGGCCGACCCGGTCGTGCTTGAACCGCTGATGAAAACTGTGGTTACTGCACCCAACGAGTTCCAGGGTAACGTGGTGGGTCTGCTCCAGAAGCGGAACGCTGTTATTAATGATACTGAAGTCGGTGTCGATGACTTTACGGTTTGGGCCGACGCTAGTTTGCAAGGCATGTTTGGCTTCAGCGGCAATCTGCGTGCTGCTACCCAGGGCAAGGGCGAGTTCAGTATGGAATTCAGCCACTATGAACGCGCACCCATGCAGCTGCAGAAAGAGCTGGTCGCCGCTTATGCTAAAGCCCAAGCTGAGAGGAACAAGAAGTAAATGGATCGACAACATTTATTTCCCGGTGAGCTTATGGCAAGGCAAGTCAGAACGCAGCTTTGCGTTTGGGCTGCTCAGGGAACAGTCTGTGTGGCAGGAGTGCGCTACCTGAGTTTTGCCAAATGTGAAAGCTCACCACTACTTGAAAGATACCCTTGTGACTGGGCTGGGAATGTATCGCTTGATGCAGCTTCGCTTGCTTCAGCTCGGTGGTGACGGGGCCAAACCCAAGCTTGCCTCGCTGCTCTTCTCTTCCCAGGGCCTCATCAATATCAGATCAGGACGCATACATGCATTCATGCCTGCTCCGCGGTGGACTCCTGCCTCGCTGTCTGTCTCATCACACCTGAGATCGACATTCACGACAATCACAATCTGGGAGAGGCACAAAAGGAAAAGTGCAGACACTGAAGAATACTACGGTAGTCATGAAGAGAGGGCGACGGTGTTCTAGAGACGGGTTGCTTTTACGAAAGGAAAAAAAAGGGAGGAAAGCCAGTATGTGTGTCCTGGTTCTTTTGCAGTTGTGAAATGGAACACGGTGGCAGGGGATGTTCACTGGATCTTTTCATAAGAACTTGTCTTATTACATTACTACTACTATCAAGCTCTCTCTCCTCTTCGAACAGCTTGGAAGGCATTGCGACGGCGTTTCGAAGGGAATGAAAATGTGGAAAGGTTTGATATCAATCAGGACTTGGGAAGAAATATCATATCAATAGATGAATGGAATTTTTGATTTCTGAT